AAAATGCAAAGACGATAGTCTTTATCGTAAAAGTGTGTAAAAATGCAAAGACTATAGTCTTTTGTAAAGATCATAATAAAAATGCAAAGACTATAGTCTTTTAGTAAAAGTGTGTAAAATGCAAAAACTATAGTCTTTTAAATAAAAGTGTAAAAATGCAAAGACTATAGTCTTTTAAGTAAAGAGATAAAATCAAAAACTATAGTTTTAAAAGATGTAATAAAATGCAAAACTATAGTCTTTTAGCGTAAAGTGTGTAAAAATGCAAAAACTATAGTTTTTACGTAAAAGTGTAAAATGCAAAGACTATAGTCTTTTAAATTAAAGTGTAATAAAAATGCAAAAGACTATAGTCTTTTGCATAAAAGTGTAATAAAATGCAAGACTATAGTCTTTTGCATGAAAGTATTAATAAAATGCAAAGACTATAGTCTTTTATCCTAAAAGTGTATAAAAATGCAAAGAGACTATAGTCTTTTTAAGTAAAGTCTAATAAAATGCAAAAGACTATAGTCTTTTGCATAAAAGTGTCAATAAAATGCAAAGACTATAGTCTTTTACAATAAAGTAATAAATACAAAATAGTCTTTGCATTAAAGTGTGTAAAATTCAAAGACTATAGTCTTTTGTAAAAGTGTGTAAAATGCAAAAACTATAGTCATTTGCGTAAAAGTGTATTAAAATGCAAAGACTATAGTCTTTTGTAAAAAGAGTGTAAAAATGCAAAAACTATAGTCTTTTGCATAAAGTGTAAAAATGCAAAGACTATAGTCTTTTCGTAAAAGTGTGTAAAATCAGAAGACTATAGTCTTTTTAAAAGTGTGTAATATAAAGACTGGTCTTTTGCATAAAAGTGATAAAATGCAAAGACTATAGTCTTTTGTAAAGATGTAAATGCAAAGACTATAGTCTTTTGCGTAAAAGTATAATAAAATGCAAAGGTTATAGTCTTTTGCGTAAAAGTGTAATAAAAAACAAAGACTATAGTCTTTTGTAAAGATAAAATGCAAAGACTATAGTCTTTATAAAGATGATAATAAAAATGCAAAGACTATAGTCTTTTAGCGTAAAAGTGTGTAAAATGCAAAGACTATAGTCTTTTCAAGTAAAAGTGTGTAAAAATGCAAAGACTATAGTCTTTGCGTAAAGGGTAATAATAAAAAAGCAAAGACTATAGTCTTTTTATAGTAAAGGTGTGAAAATCAAAGACTATAGTCTTTTAAGTAAAGTGTGTAAAAATGCGAAGATTATAGAGTTTTGCCTAAATGTGTGTAAAAATGCAAAGACTATAGTCTTTTTAAAAAAGGGTGTGAAAATGCAAAGACTATAGTCTTTTGCATAAAAGTGTGTAAAAATGCAAAGACTATAGTCGTTTGCGTAAAAGTGTGTAAAAATAGAAAGACTGTAGTCTTTGACGTAAAAGTGTGTAAAAGTGCAAAGACTATAGTCTTTTGCGTAAAAGTGTGTAAAAATGCAAAGACTATAGTCTTTTAAGTAAAGGTAATGTAAAATGCAAAGAGACATAGTATTTTTTAAGTAAAGTGTGTAAAAATGCAAAACTATAGTCTTTTGCGTAAAAGAGATAATAAAGTTAAAACTATAGTTTTAGTAAAAAGTGTGTAAAATGCAAAAGCTAAGTCTTTTGCTTAAAAGAAGTGTGTAAAATGCAAAGACTATAGTCTTTTAAAAATAATAAAATGCAAAGACTATAGTTTTTAAATAAGAGATAAAATGCAAAAACTATAGTCTTTTGCGTAAAAGTGTAAAATGCAAAACTATAGTTTTTGTGTAAAGAGAGTGTGTAAAATGCAAAGACTATAGTCTTTTTGAAAAAAAATGTAAAAAAAATGCAAGACTATAGTCTTTATGCTAAAAGTGTATAAAAATGCAAAGACTATAGTCTTTTTAAGTAAAAATCTAAAAATGCAAAGACTATAGTCTTTTAAGTAAAGAGTATTAAAAAATGCAAAAACTATAGTCTTTTTTAAAGTGTGTAAAATGCAAAGACTATAGTCTTTTGCGTAAAAAGTGAAAAATGCAAAAACTATAGTTTTTGCATAAAGAGATAATAAAATGCAAAAACTAAAGTCTTTTAGCGTAAAGATAATAAAATGCAAAACAGTATGTTTTTAGTAAAAGTTATAAAAATAAAGACTATAGTCTTTTAAGTAAGAGTGTAAAAATGCAAAGACTATAGTCTTTTGCATAAAAGATAATAAAAAATCAAGACTATAGTCTTTTGCATAAAAGATGTTAAAAATGCAAGACTATAGTCTTTTCTAAAAGTGTAAAAATGCAAAGACTATAGTCTTTTGCGTAAAAGTGTGTAAAAATGCAAAGCTATAGTGTTGCGTAAAAGTGTGTAAAAATTCAAAGACTATAGTCTTTTGCATAAAAGTGTGTAAAAATGCAAAAACTATAGTCTTTTGCGTAAAAGTGTGTAAAAATGCAAAGACTATAGTCTTTGCGTAAAGTGTGTAAAAATGCAAAACTATAGTCTTTTGCATAAAAGTGTGTAAAAATGCAAAGACTATAGTCTTTTCCGTAAAAGTGTGTAAAATGCAAAGACTATAGTCTTTTAAGTAAAAGTGTGTAAAATGCAAAGACTATAGTTTTTGCATAAAAGTAATGATAAAAATGCAGACTATAGTCTTTTGCGTAAAAGTGTGTGAAAATGCAAACACTATAGTCTTTTGTGTAAAAGTGTGTAAAATTGCAAAGTCTATAATCTTTTGCAAAAAAGTGTGTAAAAATGCAAGACTATAGTCTTTTGTGTAAAATTGTTTAAAAATGCAAAGACAATAGTCTTTTTAAAAAAGGGTGTAAAAATGCAAAGACTATAGTCTTTTGTGTAAAAGTGTGTAAAAATGCAAAGACTATAGTCTTTTGTAAAAGTGTGTAAAAATGCATAGACTTTAGTCTTTGGTGTAAAAGTTTGTAAAAATGGAAAGAATATAGTCTTTATGAAAGAATGTTTTATGCAGTGCGGTGTTTGAAATTAATTGAAGATATGATCTTCGTACTTTTCTGGACAATTAAAGCAATTGTCTAATTGCTGAAAAATCCAGGTGACTCAACGGGATTCGAACCCACGACCTCTGCGGTGCTGGTGCAGTGCTCTGAACATTGAGCTCTATAAGACCTGGAGGGGAAAAGGGGCGTGGACCAGGTGGTCAAAATCATGGCGGTAATGGCGGATTTTGGTGGTCAAAACTTACACTTTAAAAATTTTTTTCAATATTCACTCCCTCCTGATTTCCAATACTGTTTATATGACGATAACAAGTGAAAGAAAACATTTACGATACCGACAGAATATCATGTGAAAATAATGCTTCAACATTGCGTGAAAACACAGTACAGACACGTCAAAATAAAGAAAATCGACGGTAGAGAAACGCATATTTTGGCTGTAACATTTAAGTTGTTTTATGACATTGTAACCTTTTAAAAGTGAAAATCAAACGGCATTCTTTAGTAGACCTGCCAATCTTGTCAAACTTATACATTATTTCATGCTTCTGTGTGTTTGACTGTTTGTAAACAGTTTGGTGCTACTATTTTCTGGCTCAAATGGATAAATCTGTGTTAAAATGCTCCTAAGGAGCGATAAAATGTTTGCTTCATTCCTACGACATAAGTCAACTGAAAATTTACCATGGATAAGTATCATAAGTGTATTATCATTACCTGATAAATCTACTGAAAACTCATAAAGAAAGTATGTTGAACTAGAAGAGCTACAAAAAAGAAAAACTTCATTTACAGAAACGCTAAGTAGTACTTTAAAATTGTTTGCATAAATCCAACTTTCCAATGCCATTATAATTGTCTACACTATACAGTCAGTCAAATTGAGCAGGCAAACAGTTTAATAGTTATTTTTATTATACAACATATACCATAGTTCTCATTAATTTTGCATGGCACTGCATTCAATTTCAACACAACTCTGTTGTAAACTTTCCCTTCATCTTAAAAAAGAAACATGAGCAAATTATGCCCCATTTTTGGGAGGTAAACTCATTTCAAATCAGGAGAGTTTAGCTTGATGCCTTGATCATGATACAAGATGGATGCAAAACTCCATAAAAATTGACAGCTTCGCCACGTCTGGCGAGCGATTAAGTGAAGAACAAACAAGACTGGACCAAAATAACTTTAAATTAAAACTTAGTAGTAGAAACACTCTTCAAGTATCGTGTTATAAACAAAACAGTAAAACTAATACTGTGCTACTTTCCAGAGTCAAGAAATGTTTCCTTTTCTGTCGCTATTTCAGCATCCGCAAACCACAGAAGTTGGCAGTTTAATAAATAAAATTTTAAAAAAGTGTTTATGTGCTTGTAAATGATGATCGTCCAGGTTAATAAAGTCCTGAGAAGGACTGTTTTTGTTGTTGTTGACTGACGTTTCGAAACTAAGGTTGTCTACATTTTACCAACTGTACCCGTGGATGGTCTAGACTTGCTTAAGAAGTTACTTCATTTTAATCCTGAGAAACGTCCTTCGGCAAAAGAGGTTTTGCGATATCCATATGTCTCTAGGTTTCATAATTTCTCAGATGAACCAATAATAGAACATGAAGTCCATCCACCTTTGAGCGATGATCAACAGCTCACTGTGGATGAATACAGAAAGAAATTGTATGAGGTATAAGGGTGAATTCTAACAATCTATGTTTGAAGTAAATGGTTTGAACCGGGAGTATCGTTACATGTTAGTAAATGTAGATCGTCCAGGTTGGTATAGTCCTGAGAAGGACTGTTTTGTTGTTGTTGACTGACATTTTGACTCTGAAGATGACTACCGCTAAGGTTGTCGAAACGTCAGTAAACAACAACAAAAACAGTCCTTCTCAGCTGGACGATCATCATTAAAACATTAACACTCATTCAAACTAAAAGTGTTTATGTTAGGAAAATAAATAGTTTTGATATTTTCTATACTCGCAATCGTGGTGGTCAAATCAGGGTGGGCGACAAAAATTTTATTTCATGAGCCCGCGTCTCTCCGCTGACTTTGACCACCAAAATCCGCCATGTTTTTGGCTTACAAAATTCCTTCGCGTGACCAAATTACCGTCTATTTAAACGATTTATGTAATAAAAAGACAAATTGACAAGTGAACGAAACCCTCCTTTTTCCAAGCATTTGCAACGCTTCAAATTCATTCAGAACTCTTGAATTTCTCGCAGCGTAGCCGAAAGGCATAGGCATCAAATAAGGAGACTCATGTCCATCATCACAGCCATTTTGATTTCTCCCTTGATCTTTTGTAGCGTCGGGCTTGTCTGGAGTGATGTTATTGCTTAAACCGCGCGACATGAGATTTGGAGAGGATAAAAGGATGTCCAAGAAGCTGCTGCGTTGAGCATTGGTTACCGTTCTCCGGATATAGACATCTATAGAAAGTATATGACATTAAAAGACAGTAGCTATAAATTCTTCGTCACTTTAATGCTTCTTTTACTTCATGATCTTCATTTATTCAAGTGAAAGCTTTGATTGGAAGTTTTCAAGCATGGCTATCATTACATTGACAAATATATATTCCGAGAAGGGTAACTTTCGTTATGACACTGTGATTTAATAAAAATGAACTTAGAAAACCAAAACGGGCTTTTCAATTCATCCAAAGACTAAACTCTTTCTCCTTCACATTAGTTGACTTTTTAAAAAAAAACTTAAAAAATGTAACAATAGAAAATAAAAAATGTTGAAAAGCGTTTACTTGAATCATACCTTATTGGCAAAAATTAATTAAGAAATGAAAGATGTTTACTGTGTTTGCACAGGCTTATGCAAACAGAGGAGACCTTTGGGAGAACTTGAGAGCAGATCAGTGCAAGCCCGAGACCAAAGGTCAAGGTTTGCACATGCTCGAGGGTTTTCACGAATGTCTCCAAGATTTGCATAAGCCAGTGCAAACACAAAAATTTTATTTCTTTTATAAAATAACAATTATGTGAAAAAAACAAAAATTTTTCCTCTAAAATGTATTCATGATGGATTTGCAAATTCTCTTTGTCTGATTGATTGTTTTGATTGATTTGATTGGTTGAGCTCAGTTGAGTTTTGCATTGCTCTAGACCAATCAGCACAAACATTTCATTGTGTTCATTTTATAAAGAAAAATAGCAAATAGTAAGTCTTTATAGATATATATTGAAATTATGAAACTAAAATACAGCCCTACCTACACTGATTTTCTGAAATACATAAAGAAATGTCGAATGCAGGGAAATGACTTTCATAATACCAGACCTCATGCAATCTACATTGTAAAATTATACATGATACAAATTTCACATTATTCAAGCTGAAACATGAAAAGTCGCTGTTTATATTGAAATATGAATCCTGAACAAAGTTCATAGTACTGAAAGCAAAACAGCCTGTTCTTACAAAAGTGCATGCTGTATGTAAGTCCTATGGTGTAATTGTAGACTTTAAAAAAAATTCAATCCTTAGCACAAATGCTTTCATAAGTTTATCTCTACCACCACAAGAAAGTGCACAAAACAACCATTTTCCTAACTATAAATAACTTATCTCGAATACTTGGCCTTATAATCTTTATCTTAGCCTCTATTTTCACTACAATACTAAAACTCTACTTTAGGCCTCATAATTCTAGTTTGAATTTCAAAAAACGTCTTCTTGATCATGCTAAATTAACTGTGTTGCCTTTTAACCTATTCCCTAAGACAACAAACCCTGCCTAAGCACAATCCTATTCCGAATGTCAACAGTTTTTCTGCTAACCTTGATTTTAAATCTTATCTTGACCTTTTTCTTTATGATTTTTCTTGAACTTAATTGATCCTAAAAAATCACAAAACATCATTCAGCATTGAAGCTTGAAAACTCTTCTTGTCAACAATTTATATGGTTTTAGGGAGACAAAATGTATCACAGTTGGTTAAAACAGATTTGGCGATTTGACATTACATCAATAAATTGTTAATTGTTATTGACAGTACAACTTCAGAAAGCAAAGACAATTTTTATTGTAAAAAGACAATACTTACCATAAAGCCTGTGTGCTGACTGCGTCCATTCAAGTATCCTCGCTAGCTATAACCCTCTTTCTTTATCACTTTAAGAACGCCACCATGTTAGCATAACGATATATAGACGCTTGCTACTATTCTTTACAACCTAAATGCCATTGAGACGCAAAATATTGCGAAGAAGAGGTTTCAAAAGAGCGAATTTGCAAGAAAACATGTCAACTGTCAAAATGATAGAAAATTTACTTCGTTGAAAAAAACACGAGGCGCGCGTGATTATCGACGCGAATCTTGAATAATGAAGTTTATAAAATGGCGTCCACATAGAAGGATTTTAAATGTTATGTTTTACTCTGTTTCAGTTCGATACACGAGTCGTTATTTTAGTACTAAAACCACGAATGCAGGCATGGATTACGAAATATTGCATAATGAAGTTGATGGTGAATTTTACATTAATTTGAAAGACGGTACACTACCAGCTACATAACATCGTTATTATCGTTTTATTGTTGTCATTTTTGTTACTAATATACTTGTACAGGTAGTCACATAAACCGTAATTTTGTTTCAGAAAAGGCTGTACTACAATATAAATATCTCGACGATAAAGAAAATACAGTTGATTTTTACCATACTGGTGTACCTAGTGCATATCGAGGAAAGGGATTGCTGCTGAGTTAGTAAAGGTGATTATGATACCGTTTTGTACATTGTTCACTTCTCTAGTTTTAGAATCATTATTCAACGGTATATTTTAATTTTTTAGTTTGCATTTGAACACATGGCATCGTTGAACGTACAGGTCTCTCCGTCTTGCTCATATGTTGAACATTACATCGCGAAAAACAAGAATTCTGATCTGGTGAAAAAATTAAAAATTAAATTATGACCATGAAGCATCATAAATTATTCAACATGTCCGCCAAATCGTTATCATCTTCTGCCCCTGCAATGAACTCATCCAAAGATAAAACGCCATCTGAGTTCTTATCAACTCGTTTAAATATATCGTCGGTCATCTCTTTTGCTAATTGGTCATCGTCATATTTTCCCGAAAGCTTTTGAATCGCTCTCAAGATTCCAAGAAGCTCCTCTCTAAATAAAACATTTGTAAAGGAGTTGTATTCGAACTCGGAATTATTATAAATAATAGTCGTATAATACGGGAATATGAAAGTTAACCTTGTGATAAAGCCATTTCCATCGACATCGTACATATTAAATGCCCATTTTAACCTTTCATCTGACGTACCTCTCTGCATCACAGACAGCGAGACAATCAATTCGCGAAAGTCTAAAATCCCATCTTGGTTTGCATCGAAGACGCGAAACGTATGCTGAGCAAACTCGGATGAATCTCCCGCCGGAAAAAATGTTGAATAAAGCTTTTTAAATTCATCCAATTTCATTGATCCAGTTTTACTCTTTTTGCGAAATTCTTTGTAGAAAGATTTTATTTCTTTGTGCGTGAACTCCGTGCGCTGAGATAACTCTTTCAGGTTTTGTGGCGTCAGTTTACTCTGATCTTTTCCCATAATTCAAGTCCACAGAATACTAAAAATAAGTATAAACATACTTGGTCAGACAGGGTGTACGTTTATACTCAGACATCAAAAAATGCGTGGGCTATCGTAGTCAATCGCCCATTAATATTGTTTATTAATATTTCAACATACACCTAACAATACTATCGTGAAATCAAATGAAACCAGGTTGCGCATAAACGAAGGTGATGCAAAGACACGCGTTTTAGTTGCTTGGCCAAATGGTCTTTGTTTCAGAAATTCATCATTTAAGATTTTAGTGCGCTGCGCGCAAGTATATTAATGGTCTTGCTTTGAGTTTAGAACAATGTAATATTATAACAGTGTTTTTATAGTACTTACCAATGAATCACCTCGAAATGAACCAAGGGAAAAACGTGATTTGGAGTATGGCCTGTTGACAAAATGCCAATCTTTTCGATAAACATTAAAATTAGTGTCTTTGACCTTCGTTTCCTGTTTTTCTTTCTGTAAAATCTCTAACCATTACACAAACGCCTGACGTATGAAACATTGTCAAATGAGATCCTGATAGCTTGTTGTTAGGGCTTAGGATCAAAATTTTTAACTCCCAATAATAGGATTTTCTATCGGCTTTTAAGAAATGTTTAAATATTTTGAAAAATGTCGACACACACCCCCCTGACTAACAAGAACAACTTAAATGAAGATATGATCTTCGCACTTTGCTGGGCAATTTCAAACACCGCACTGCATAAAACATTCTTAAGAACAACTTACATGTTCTATTGGAAAAACGTTAAGTTGAGGTGTGTTGAAGTATATTTCATTCCCAATTCTATTTATTTTGTTTTCTTACTCAATTATTCATAAACAATTTTTTGTGTTTATCTTCGTCGTGCGTCATGCTGGCTGTGAAGGCAAGGTGGGTCAGAGGTGGGTTCATACCTTCATGCGTATTGTTGAAGGATACCATTGAATTAGATGTTTGAGCCAATGAGAATGCGCGAACTACCAGTCACGTGCTCAAAGCGTTTCCTCATTCCTTAAAGTGTCGTGTCAACGTAATTGTGTTGTTGTGAAGATTGCAGAGAGGCGAGGCGTAAGTCATTTTGGGATAAAATAGCTTCTATTCAGTCGAAAGAAAAATGTCAGGTCAATTCACTCACGGTTTGTTTGGCTGCTTTGACGACTGCTTGTTATGTCTTACAACGTACTGTGTGCCATGTTACACTATGGGAAAGACAGCCGAAGCTGCTGGCGACGACTGCCTGCTTTGTGGTTTAGCAATGATGGTTCCTTATTTGAATTTGTATGCTATCTGTTCAAATCGTGGCAAAGTTCGCGAACAGAAAGGAATTCCTGGCAGTGCAGGGGAAGATCTTCTTACTGTTTGTTGCTGTGCTGGATGTGCGCTAATGCAGCAAGCTCAAGAGATGGGTGTGAAGGCGCCATTTGGACAATCCATGAGCAGAGAATGAACGATTGAACTGTGTGCACTAACCACTTATATTTTACAATCAATCTCATTAAAACTTTGTACCTTTTCGATGTAATAATAGCACAGTTTTCAGTATTTCATAAACATAGCCTACATACAAAGTTCATTTCCAAGTGACGTGTGAATTAAAGTCTAACTGCACTAACAATACATTGTACTATTATTCTTGTTCAATTGATTTTTATTCGATGCTGTTTTTGAGACTTGTGAGACTTGGAAAATTCTAAGAAGTTGGTGATGTATTGAAATGAATTGAAACGACGATAAGTCATTGATAAACGGTAGATATGATACTGAAAATGACTTTGTCCTTGTGTGCAAGAAACGCGATAAAGCGTATTAATCATCCATTTTTGTTATTAATTAATTAAAACTAGCTTAAAGGAAGATATTATTCGTTCAATAATGGAATAATAGGAGATCCTAGTATCGCTTTTGACATTTACATCTACGTGTACTGATCTTACGGACGATTATCGACTTCCTGTATTTGCAAGATTGAAATCGAAAATCATCACCATGAAAACAGGAAAGGCTACTTTACAAATCGATATTTCGGCCTTCCTCGGTCAACTAAAATTTAACTTTCTCTCGTTAATAATAATTCACAGCAGTCATCAGTGTCATGTAGTTTTTTTTCATGAAAATTCCTTCGAAATAGGTCACATTAAGCACGATAAATCATAAATCCTTCCTATCTAAGTAAACATTAGTCACATTCCGTTGGCAATTAACTCCCATGAAATATTACTTGCCTTGCTAATTAAAGCCTAATTTCAGTAGCCATTTTGAATAAATTATTATTAATTTTAGATGTTTAGCTCAGAAATAAACTGTAAGATTGATCAACAAATTGCCAGAAACCTTGTGAACATGAAATATTTGTCATTAAGGAGTTTATAAGGGTTGAATTTGCAACATACTGTTGACTTTGTGTTGAAAACGGAACGATTAAGAACATTGTATGATTGTTACAGGATGGGAGGGTATGTAAGTGTTGGGGTCGACAATAATGATTTGATTGATAAACTTCGCGATGTGGGTTACATCAAATCACCCGAAATCATGTTTGCGTTACGTGCAGTAGACAGAGGGCTTTATTTCCCAGAATGTAGAGAAAGTCTGGCATATAGAGATTTGGCTTACAAGAATGGTGATGTTCATTTGTCGGCTCCTTGTATTTATTGTGAAGCCCTGGAAGGTCTGCAGTTGAAAGATGGTCTGTCATTTCTGAACATTGGTAGTGGTACAGGATATTTATCCACCATAGCCGGTCTACTGCTTAATGGTACTGGAACCAATCACGGTATAGAGATATGCAAAAATCTTATAACTTTTGCAGAAGATAAAACGAATTTATTTCTGAAGCAATGCATGCCACATATTTATGGATTGGAGTTTTGTAACCCTGTGTACATTCATGGAAATGGTTTATGTTTGAACCCTGACTATCGCCAATATGACAGAGTGTATTGTGGGGCAGAAGTGAGCGCACAGTACAAAGATTACATGAAGTCTTTGCTCAAAGTAGGCGGGATATTGGTGATGCCTTTTGATGACCAGGTAATAATGTTTGAAGTCATTATTTTGAGTAAATAAACAAGTAAACCTGACCTTTTTTCAGTTGATGAAATTCACAAGGACATCTGATGTGGATTATGAAAGCAAGTCATTGCTTCCTGTTTCATTTTCACCAATGATTCTTCCAGACAACAGAGAGATGTTGTTGACACCAATTAATATTTGTAAGATGCTTCTTGTCGTTTTTTTTTGAGCTTTGTTCATCAATGAAGCCGTTTATTAATTTCTATAGCATCCAATCCAAGAAGTTTGCAAGCGCAATGTAGAAGTGTTGTTCGCCATTGTCTCGGTGTAAAAAATTTAAGAAATTTGTTCTGTCTAAAATTACCACTACCAGAACCTGTACTTGAATATTTACTGTATCAATAAAACTGGAAAGTCTTACAAATTTAATATACTTGTAAATAGCAAATTAAAAAAATCTTTCTACAAAACTCGATCAGTGGGATTCTTCCGCATTTCATTCAATACCCAAAAACTCCACATCAAAAATTAAAGTTGCATTTGGAGGGATAGTGGTGAACGGTTAAGGATTCTAATGTACGCAATAGATTTAGTGCACATGGTCATAATTTCTCAAGGTGGTGGTTTAAGCTCTTAATATGAATATTTACTAAAGGATATACACCGGGGTGTCCTCGTGAACCGTAACCATAATCTGGTGAGCATGTTAATGTAGCTATCTCACCAACACTCATCTACAACAAACATGATGAGATAAACAAAATGTCGCAAAACATAGAATTTTATAAATAAATACAAGTCAATACCTGAGCTACACCTTCATCCCATCCTAAAAAGTCAGGATAATTGTTACACTTTAATTGCAATAGAACTTAAAATTTATTCATTTCACATCCAAACTGGTTACCCCGAATGACTTGACCCTTTCCTATCTTGAACTTGAATGGCTTTCCTCTATCACGAGATGAATCAAATTTTTTTCCATTTTGAAGACAACCTAAAATAAAATCCTTTAAATTTCATTTCTCATTCTCATGTAAATGTGTACCCATCCTCATTTTTAGTAACCAACAAGAAATGTCTCCATGTTGATTATTTCACATTTCATTGCACCTTCCCATGATTGCAAGATTATAAAAATTGCAACATTCAAGCTGGAAGGGCGACTTTTCTCCTAATATATGGCCTTTCATACATTAATTGAACTTAAAACCAACCTGTATAATGAACAATTACAGTCTGTCCTACTTTGGGGAAAGTTTTGCCTAAAAGGTAGAAAAGTACATCAAAAATATAAAAATATCCACGAACAATATGTTGTCATAAACAAGCAATTAATGCGTACCGTCTCCTGGTTTTTTAACATCAACTTGTACACCCATTTTTAAAGTGGTACAAAATAAAAAATGGCGAACTACCCACTCAAGGAGTATTATTACATATGCGAGTTTGTCACCTACGGGATTATTCCAACACGTGAACATCTACGGCGACCTACCCCTCCCCAACCCTACTAACTCCCACGCAATGACGACCTGGTGGGGAGCTTTCGTTGTTATATTACGAAAAAAATATTCTTTATTGTAATAAAACATCAAATATAACATAAATTATTTAATAATTTAACAAAGTCAACAAAATTTCCTATAACAGTATAACATATTTCATGTATTGGTCAAGGTTTAGCATGTTCGTTTTTCCTGAAATGTTGAAGGCAAAAATATATCCTCAGGTTGTTAGATGCAACATCTATAAGAAGAGGGGAAAATACAGCCGAGCTTTTAATTATTGTTTGTAATTCATTCTAACTCCTCTAAAATATTGTAAAATGAACAATTACCTTTTTGTTTGTGAAAATGTAATGATCATACAATAAAAATGGCTAAACTTTTTTAGTGTCAATAGGGAAGTTTCATATATGGTGGTGTGTCCTGGTGAACCAGGTTAATTTTAATCACAGAGCTGTTACCATCAGATGGATTCTCGATAAGTTCCAGATCTTTCAATCATCGTTTGTAGGCAAAAATTGTTCTTCTATAGGTAAATTTCACCGATGAATTTTTAATGTTTTCAGCAAATATGCCCAAGCCATGCCCATGCCCCGCCCCAATTTTTTGCATAATTTGATATTCAGACTCCAACACAAAAACACAGACTTCACAACACCTTGCCTATTCACATATCTTTACGGCCTCGACTGACTATCATACAAACTGTTTATGAGATGAGAAATGAAATGATGAGAATGAAGAATATTTGTTTTCCATTCTCATGTCTTTGCCCTTCGCCAATTTTCTTTCATCACACAACATTTTCTTTGGTCAGCAACCGATTTAACTTCCATGTTTTCCACATAGAGAAGATGCTTGCACTTGTTCAAATACTTTTTCCTCTTAGTCTTTAAAAGAAAGACCATAAGTACTACAAATCTAAAATATAACAATATTCCCAGTCAAATACGTTTTTTAAGGTTTATTACCAGTTGACTCTGCACTCCGAAATTTTTTGCGCCAAATTATCTAATCAAGAAATAAGTTAAATTTACCAGTGCAAGACTTTTCATCATTGACAACTGTGACAATAAGATATTTCAGCTGACATCCCCACTATGTATTGTCTTATCCTAAATATCAATTGACATCCCCACTATGTATTGTCTTATCCTAAATATCAACTGACATCCCCACTATGTATTGTCTTACCCTAAATATCAACTGTCATCCCCACTATGTATTGTCTTATCCTAAATATCAACTGACATCCCCACTATGTATTGTCTTATAAATATCAACTGACATCCCCACTATGTATTGTCTTATCCTAAATATCAACTGACATCCCCACTATGTATTGTCTTATCCTAAATATCAACTGACATCCCCACTATGTATTGTCTTATCCTAAATATCAACTGACATCCCCACTATGTATTGTCTTATCCTAAATATCAACTGACATCCCCACTATGTATTGTCTTACCCTAAATATCAACTGACATCCCCACTATGTATTGTCTTATCCTAAATATCAACTGTCATCCCCAATCTACTAAATACATCACGCATTAACTTACAATATATATGAAGACATTACCTTCAATATTAAATTCACAAGGAGGTAATGTTGTATTTTTCAACATCTTAAATATTTCTTCTGTGTTCAAAAAGCTCTTCTAGTAGAAAGAGGATGGAAAGAAAATTTAATGATTCATTTACAAAATTTGTGAGTCTTGAAATTACACTTTAATTTACCTCAAGGGAAGATGTAGATTCCACTTCGGTCACTATAAAACAATACAAATTATTCATTAATAAATCCTGTGAAATCACGAACACCCTCTATGTTTTCTACATTGTTGTTATAAATAATATAATCATTCATGAATGTTTTAAAAACCGACATCTCCGCTATGCATTGTCTGACCCTAAATATCAACTGTCAACATACAATAAATGGTGACATTGCTGTCAATATCAAAGGCGCAGGGAGGTAATTCCGTATGTCTCAACATTTTAAATGTTTCCTCTTTGTTGAGAATGCTCTAAAAATAGAAATGTATGGAAAGAAATTTAATGATTCATTCAAAAAATCTCTGATTCTTGAGGTTACTTTAAAGCGTGTTTACCTCCTGAGAAGAAGTAGATTCCTCTTCAGTCACTATAAAACAAGATAAAGTATTCATTAATAAATCGTTCTCATTTCATTTCGACAATAAAAGTATTTGAAAGATGGTTCAAATGTTTTCCCGTAAAATGTATAACCAACACATGACCGTTTCCTTGGAAAGACACATATTTTCATATTGGTCATGGTAATCAATAACAATTCACAATTTCTTTAAACGTACCTGTTGATTTTGGCTGCCTCTTCTCATAAGCAGCAACCTCTAAGGGTTTCAAAAGATTCACTTCAATTCTTGGAACCAAAGCTAACTTTGGACTTCTTCAATTTTTTCTTCTTTTATTTCTTCTTTCTCACTTTCTTCCTCATCTGTTATCAAGAGATTACAAAAATGACAGTTAAAAATGTGTTTTTGACAATCAAAACCAAACTCAAGGTTGCAGAAGCCATGAAAAACATATGTTTTTTTCTGTTAAAATGAAATTTCAAATTACGCTTGAGTTTTCAAGAAATTTAGAGATGATGTGAGTTTATTCCTAAATATTAAGTTTAATTACCACTGGTTGTTAGTTCAATCTTCTTGAGGTAATTTTCATATCTGTTTCTTAAACTCTTCCATGATCTACCAGGCAGTATCTACGAAAAAATTATAGTAATTACATAATTTCTGAGTGCAAATCAAAGCTCAAGAACCAAAGAGCATAAAATTACATTTTTTTTCATCATATCAATCCAGATTACCCTCCCTTGTAAGCCCAAACTCTCGCCACTGGCACTCTTCTTAACTTTGTTGATGTATGTTAATATTCTGTAATCTTCATCATCAGTGTAGTATCTTTAGTAAAAATAGCATTCATTTCTTAGTAATTCCTTTAGAAATTAACAGTTTTGATACACATGGTTAATGCGTCTTTCTTCAATTTATTTCCTTCAAAATCTCGCATTACATTTTTAAATCACCACAAGAATTTCAGCGATACCTTTTTTTCCCAGCTACGTGTTCAGCCATTGTTGTTCGTATTTACATAAAACATTCAAGATTGCTTATAATTTGATAAGAAATGTGGTATTATGTCCATTTATACCGTAGAGATCTATGATTGATGCAAACTTAAATTTTACGTAAGGATTTTCCTTAGAATGACAGCGAAGATTAAAGTCTTACAAATACAAAATTACGGCAATATAACGACTTCCTCATTTGACGTACCACGTGGTTGAATTTTGATATAAAAAAATTGACTGCTCAATTTAGGTAAATCAAAACTAGATGAATACATGAAAAAATAGCTTGAATAGATAAAATTCCTTCCCAGAAACATGTCTATGCGACCAATAAATGAGGCTTAGCTGGTCAAACTCGTGAAAAATAATTTTTAACATAACTAGTTAATAGTTAATAGCATTGAAAACATTGTGGCGTCGTTGCCATGGCTAACTGCCAGGCGGCGAAGAAAATGAAGACGTCATGATTACGGTTGACCAATGAGAAGAGAGCATTCTCACAGCGTTCGACCGGTGTCTTTGAAACAACATTCATATCACGTTAGAATAATATTACGACTTTTTTTATTAAAAAACTTCATCTTATAGTGGAAGAGTTTGGTAAAAAATGAGTGCTGATATAGAAAGCCACATCACAGAAAAATATGAGATTAAAAAGCGCCTTGGCAAAGGGGTATGACGCTAAATCATCAATGAATCAACACAAGTGCATTGTGTCTTTGATACTGATTCAATGGCATATTGTTAAATCATATTTTTCAATGACGATTTCTTGTTTGAAGGCTTACGGAATAGTTTGGAAAGCTGTGGATAGAAAAACAGGGGAAGTTGTTGCCGTGAAAAAAATATTCGACGCCTTTCGAAACCAAACAGACGCACAGGTGTTCTGGTTCAATGTTAACAATGAAATCATAGTTATAACGTGGAAATTTGACGCTGTTTTGTCATTCTAACGACTTATATTTCTGTCTTTTTTCTTTTCCAGCGCACGTTTAGAGAAATCTACTTCCTTCAGGTGAGCATACAAGATATGTAATCAGTTTGATGATGTACTATATTTGATTGAGTTGTATGTGTCTACACTAGGAATTTGGTAGTCATGAAAATATAATTAAATTATTGAATGTCATAAAAGCGACGAATGACAAAGATATATATTTGGTCTTTGAATATATGGGTTTGTATACGTTACACTAACAAGTGATTTTTGTAATTGGCTGTCATTCACATTATTGATTTTTGGAAATATTTCTTGACAGACACAGATCTACATAATGTAATCAAAAAGGAAACATTTTGAAAGACATCCACAAACGCTATATAATATACCAACTGTGCAAAGCAACACATTATTTACACTCAGGAAATGTCATTCACAGAGATCAAAAGGTATTCTATCTCAATAACATAATTATATTTTTACAATGTTTCCAATAAAATTCTGCTTTATGTCTATTTAGCCAAGCAATGTTTTACTTGACACTGAATGCTTTGTAAAGGTATTGAAACTAGTTTTTTAATTGAAAGAAGGCATTTTATTAACATACCCTGTGTTTTATTTTAATTTCAAAGATTTGTGATTTTGGTCTGGCTCGATCGTTAAGTTGTATTGAATTAGAAACAGGCGACCCTAGTCTTACCGACTATGTTGCTACTAGATGGTATCGAGCTCCAGAAATACTTCTTGCTTCACCAAAGTATGGTCAACATTTTATACTGTAATTTTTATGTTGTTCTGCTTTAATATTCTTGTTTATTGTTAGGTACACAAAGGGTGTTGATATGTGGTCACTTGGTTGCATTTTGGGAGAAATTTTATTAGGTTTGTTTAGTTAAGTATTGCTTACAAAAGGTAAAGAATTTCTTAATGAAGTTTTATTTCTAGGAAAGCCTCTTTTTCCTGGTACTTCATCACTCAATCAAATAGAGAGAATCATGGCAGCCATCCCACTTCCATCGAGACAGGGTACGTACACCACTTTATTTCATTTAACTTTAAAATGTCTCTAAGATCATGATTTATAATTTTACCATCAACCAATGAACAGATATCGAAAGCATTCAATCTTCTTATGGTTCATCCGTCATTGAAAGAATGCTCAACAAACCAAGGAGATCGTTGGAGGACATTTTGCCAACTGCACCCGTGGATGGTCTAGACTTGCTTAAGAAGTTACTTCATTTTAATCCTGAGAAACGTCCTTCGGCAAAAGAGGTTTTGCGACATCCATATGTCTCTAGGTTTCATAATTTCTCAGATGAACCAATAATAGAACATGAAGTCCATCCACCTTTGAGCGATGATCAACAGCTCACTGTGGATGAATACAGAAAGAAATTATATGAGGTATAAGGGTGAATTCTAACAATCTATGTTTGAAGTAAATGGTTTGAAACTGAGAGTGTCGTTACATGTTTGTAAATGTAGATCGTCCAGGTTGGTATAGTCCTGAGAAAGACTGTTTTTGTTGTTGTTGACTGACATTTTGATTCTGAGGATGACTACCGCTAAGGTTGTCAAAACGTCAGTCAACAACAACAAAAACAGTCCTTCTCAGGACTATACCAACCTGGACGATCCACATTTACAAATATGTAACCTATGTTTGGTTCTTAAAGGGAAAGAGATATGTTTTGTTAATAATACATTTAATTTCAAAAGTTGACTTTAATCTTCATAACAATGAAATTTTGTAAACCTTGTGTTGTTGAAAATGGTCAATCTTGAAGTTTTGAAGAAATTTGCGTTCATTACTTCAGGATATTCTACAAAAGAAAACACAGCTACGAAAACAAAGAAAGGAAATTGAGAATGAGGAGAAACATTTGAAGAACGGACAAAGTACATGTGATGAAGAAAAGAAAAGAAACGTTGAAAGTACAAAAACTTTGAATATGGATAAAATGAAGATAGAGGGAAACAAAGGGACACACGAGGATAAAGATTACACCGAGGTACCAATTGGGACACATGAGGATAAAGAGAAGAATGTGAGAAGTAACAGTACAAATGTTGCATTATCAACACAAAAGTTGACCAGGGTCAAATCTCAGCCCATTACGAAGGAAGGACATACTCGTACCAGTCCTCTGAAAACGTTCACTCGAGATGATGATAAAGTAAGGCAACTGCGATACATAACGATGGCAAGTGAACTTTAACATTAAGATATTTTACTTGTAGATTTTCCAACGGGCTTCACGCCCCCCTGTCAATAGAAGCAGAGCCATTTCTGCACAAGTGAAACATGCAACAATCACGCGAAGTACAGCACAACATCACGTGACTGATCAAGCATCCGGATTAACTGTGACAAGTGCTAGAGTGGTAAGTTAGGATCTCAATGGATAATAGTTGACATAAAATATCCCGTGAAACAACACATTTGTTCATTTAGATACCTGGACAACGCCCTGCATCCAATAAGGTTGTATATAGGCCCTCGCGACGGCAGATAAACAATCCAGCGGTAGCTCAGGCAACTATAACGAACTTTACGCAAGATCACGGTACCATCGAGAAAAGTGTTTTAGATAACCTCAAGAAATGGTAACCAATCACGGTCTGAAATCTACCTTTCCAATTTGGAATCCTTTCCTATCTCGTCGTTCTAACATTGACCGTTTCTCGTATCGTTTCTTCATCAGCGTAAAGATTGCTCACAAGATGATCTACTGAATGGTAAAAACTGCACAAATAAAATTTATTTATATGCAATGAAGAAGAGGAATGAAGCCCACAACGAGAAAAACCACAAATTAGAAAATCATGACGTATTTTACCAAGTTTTTATAAATTACCTGTTTAAAGATTTTTAACGTCTATTTGAGAAGTTTCGTAAAATTACTATACGCAAACGGTTGAATTTTTAGCTCCAAAGGTTTATTGGACGAAATTTATACAACGCTAGAATTTGTTTAGTTAGTTAAGATATATTTATTATTTATTACAATAAGACTGATTTCCTTACATCTTCAAATAAAAACGTGAAAAATTTATGATTACTGCGTGCCAGACAGACCAGGTGGAAAAAAAGTTTAATCTAAAAGTTATGGAGTGATTTTCTATGATAATACATGTTACAAATGCCTTCACTAAGATTTCGCATCATCGATAGAAAAAAAAAACATGACTTTAATCTTTATAAAATAGAGCTTCATCAGACGCATATTTCTTGAAATGAAAAGGCGTCAATCAAAAATTTAGGTTTTTAAAGACATCTCAGTTGTTGGTACTGTTTCGACTTTAAAAACCTCGGTAAACAATCTCTTTTCATTAAATAATAAATCTGTTGTTGAGCTTCTTCAAAAGTATCTCTATTTGGCTGATCCATCCGCGCTTCCACGGAAGTACGTGCTCTTGAGTCGATACTGATCTATATAAAAGAATGTTTTATGCAGTGCGGTGTTTGAAATTAAATGCGGGTTGAGTCACCTGAATTTTTCAGGTTCATGAGACAATTGCTTGAATTGTCCCAACAAAGTGCGAAGATCATATCTACATTTAACTGATCTATATAGTTGAAACAATATTCATAAACAAGAATCAACGACTGTCGAAGGTAAAACCAAGACTATACATCAAAACATGTACCTCAGTCGGAGACTTATCGGAAATATAGGATTCGTATATTCGTCTGGCCTCAAAATTCCTCATTTCTCCTTTCAATTTCTTATATTTTTCAACATCCAACCAAAAGCTCAGATTTTCTGAGCAATGCTGACTTTTTAAAAAATCTTCAAATATCAACAGTCCGTACTCGTCAGCGAGTAAAGCGTCAAAGTTGGTCGCCCATTGTCTAGCTTCGAGAGATGTAGGTCTGTTCATAAAAATGTACATTTATAAAAAATGAATTCACAATCAACCGACAGCATTATTATGCAACATTTCTATACTGTTCTTTTAAAAAACTAACAAAGATCATCACTTAGTGATCCAGTGTTACTACAAAATGAAACCTAAACTAAACTAACTTTATTTATACTAGAAGATATCTCTATAAGTTCTAAACTGTTCTTCTTAAAGATACAGTAAAGATCATCTCTTATTGATCCAGTGTTACTACAGAAGGAAACCTAAACTAAACTAACTTTATTTATACTAGATATCTCTATCAGTTCTAAACTGTTCTCTAAAGATTCAGTAAAGATCATCTCTTATTGATCCAGTGTTACTACAGAAGGAAACCTAAATTAAACTAGCTTTATTTATACTAGATATCTCTATCAGTTCTAAACTGTTCTTACTAAAGATACAGTAAAGATCATCTCTTATTGATCCAGTGTTACTACAGAACGTAACCTAAGCTAAGCTAACTTTATTTATACTAGATATCTCTATCAGTTCTAAACTGTTCTTCCTAAAGATCCAGTAAAGATCATCTCTTATTGATCCAGTGTTACAACAGAAGGAAACCTAAACTAAACTAACTTTATTTATACTAGATATCTCTATCAGTTCTAAACTGTTCTTACTAAAGATACAGTAAAGATCATCTCTTATTGATCCACTGCTACTACAGAAGGAAACCTAAACTAAACTAACTTTATTTATACTAGATATCTCTATCAGTTCTAAACTGTTCTTCCTAAAGATACAGTAAATATCATCTCTTTTTGATCCAGTGTTACTAATGAAGAAAACCTAAACTAAACTAACATTATTTATACTAGATATCTCTATCAGTTCTAAACTGCTCTTTCTAAAGATCCAGTAAAGATCATCTCTTATTGATTAATGATCCAATGTAACGGCCTATATAGCTCTATCACTTAATTCTGCCAAAAGATACAAACAACATAGTCAACTAAATTGTTTCTTTATACATTCAATTTTACGGAAGAGAAAATGTCCCTATTTTGTCCATATACATCAACAAGAATGCTAAATTATACATCTATATACCTGAATGTTCCTGCTGCCACCTGTTTGTTTGCACTAAAGTTCAACGTCCATCTGTTAGAATAAAAAAATTGGAAAAATTGACAACGCATTAAATAAATAAAAACTGCCTACAGAAAACATTACTATTTCAGATTTACCAGTAACAAATTCCACACAACAGTTATTACTGTGGTTGTGTAAAAACTAGTAAGACGAGTTAAACGCAAAAACCAAGAACTAAACTTTATAACGGCAAATAAGTTAACACTTTTGAGCTCTTTAGTCCTCTTTTGCCTTAATCGGCGCGTTAACCTTAAAGTGGATATTCTAGGCGCAAAAAGCCCTTAACAAGACGCCACTTTAAATATTTTATGCGAAGAAAAGGCAATTCAAGGTTAAAAAAGTAAACTTACAGCTAAAAATTCAATACAAATAAAATTAAATTTGACAGGTTTTGAACGTCGAACATCAGGGGGTGTAATTAAAGCATAAATTTTCTTCGCGCTTGAAATGCTATATTTTGATTACAAGTTGCCCAGAGACAAACCATTTAAAACTTTTAAGAATCGCCTGGTACTGTCACGATGACCGAGCAACTTCGCAGGCTTGAGTTAATATATACATCACGCATATTTGGGAATCTTAAGCTGCTGTATGATTATTCCCGCCACTTTTGAGGGAAAAGTGGGCAAGAACGTGGGCTGAAATAGATAAATATTGTTTTTAGATATAAATATACACGAACACATCAGTGGCTACGTTTGATGATCGACTTATTTACAGTAAACAGGCCGACTCAATGTTTGAATATGTAGCTAGCAATAAAAATAGACATATAAAATCGGCTTTCTAAGTTTCATCAGTGAATAATATCATAGAAAGTTCATTATTAATTACTCACTACATATTGTCGTTAACTTTAAAAGAAAAAGCTTCGTGATTACTACGTGTTTATCCCAAAACATAAGTAAAAAGTTACAATACATTAGTAAAACCTTTATGAAGAAAACAGCGCTTACAAATTTTTCCAGAAGCGATGTTTAGGTTGGCTTGAAATGCGTTTTACACGGGTACAAGACATCTGGAAATGAGATCATTCTTCTTCACATTAAATTCGAAATATCGTAGACTCCCTCGAAACTGAACTTTATCGTGTCTATATATTACAGCAGATGCCGAAATTTTTTTCTTTACAAACCTCACCAAATGCGCTGTTTGAGGCAAAATATCAACAATCGTCTCTGATTGAAAATGATTTTCATTGGTCAACGTAATAATTTGACACGAAATGAGCGATAGAAGAGAATTATCTAATACATCATCATTATGTTTCATAATTACATAAGCGAATTCACAATAAATGAACCAATGGGAAGGAGATAGAAAAATGACGTGAACAAAGTCTACTTTAAAAATAACATCTTCGCTGCACGAAACTGTCATTTATTCACAATTAAACGAAAATTATTTGCTTCAAGTTTAAATCTCGCTCTAACGCATGGAGAAACATATTTTTTTGATATTTCAAAGATATCCAAAAATATTCTCTGCAAATAAAAGAATTATTGAGCTCAGGATTTCGTGTGTTTTATGCAGACAAGATAAGATGGCCAGCTGCCCGAACTTTAAAGATAATTACATCTCTTCTTTTCAACAGACTTTCCGATATAGAATGTTAACTAGTTTCAATAAATTATTCGAAGACAAAATAACATCTCTAGCCTAAAAGCAAGAAGAGATATAAACGTAATACAGAAAGCAAATGTGGACTCATAAAGAGAGACATTTCTATAGGATGAATTTATTCATTCATGCATAAAAATGGATCGATGAGAAAGATCAATTTCTTCTTTATATGGAAACTGTTTCTCATGAGAGAACATCGATGGTTAAATAACGATATTATATAACAACACAGCTATTGTATAAATTTATAAATAGCAATAAAACCTATTCCCTGAATAATAAAAAATGAATATAACACTACAAATGGATAGGACAACATACATATCAGTATATGTTAGTACTTTATGCAAATACATGGAGAATGAATCATGCTTCAGTCTCCATATTTACTGCCGGACTATTGTTCAATAAGTTACACATCAAACTTTGATTTTTTTCGAAATTTTTTTTTCGAAATTTTTTGCTAGCAATACTACACTTTTTTCTCTGTCGTGTAAACTCCAGGATTAATGCAACTATAGTTGAGGAAGCTACACCATTTTAAAGACCCTCCCCACCTTACCTCTCCATATTTCGAAGACCTAACTGTCAAACTTCGAGCTCAAAGTTGAAGTTGAATCAAACACGAATGTCTGCTGAAATTTTTCCAACAAGAAACCGATACTGGACCGCAACACACAGAAGCACAACATTAGATTAAAATAAGAACGGGAGACAAAGACAATACGACTAATTAATTAAACTTTACAAAACTTCCGGTTGTGTCGTCGACGCAATTAAAGCATGGTAAATTATAGACAAGACAAACCTTGCACAACACGGAGAGATATGAGTGACATCACGTTTTCTATCGTTTTCAATGGAATGAACTCTTGAATTACGCGAGCCCATGTGCTGAAAGTTGAAATCAAAAAACTAAGCAAATTCAGCAGGTTACTAAGCTTCCAAAATGCATTCAAAGAATTGAGAAATATGTAATAACGCGTTATCGCAGACAAAAATATAATCTACTCATTTTTGAAATTGAAAAACGAAACTGTCAGCATGCTCTTTTCGTTATTAATTAAAACGTTTTGGCTTTGAGGGTCTTAATTAAACAAAACCAATCCCAAATGACCTCAAAAATAATCGGTCAAAGAGATCAAAGATTTGTTAATATCTCAAATAGTAAAACAATCTTCTATCTACTGAGCTACAAATCAACTGTGAACTATGCTGACATTTCAAAACACAGTTCTAGTTTCTTTCATATCTTAATATCATAGATAATAACATCACGTTGTTGTGATGTACTCAGGTATAGTAGCAAGATAATCAGTGTCTTCAATGTTCTACCAACTAAACTACAACATAAACTGTGAACTATAATGATATTTTAAAACACAGTTCTAGTTTCTTTCATATCTTAATATCATAGATAATAACATCACGTTGTTGTGATGTACTCAGGTATAGTAACAAGATAATCAGTGTCTTCAATGTTCTACCAACTAAACTACAACATAAACTGTGAACTATGATGATATTTTAAAACACAGTTCTAGTTTCTTTCATATCTTAATATTATAGATAATAGCATCACGTTGTTGTGATGTACTCAGGTACAGTAACAAGATAATCATTGTCTTCAATGTTCTACCAACTAAACTACAAGATCAACTGTGAACTATGATGATATTTTAAAACACAGTTCTAGTTTCTTTCATATCTTAATATCATAGATAATAACATCACGTTGTTGTGATGTACTCAGGTATAGTAACAAGATAATCATTGTCTTCAATGTTCTACCAACTAAACTACAAGATCAACTGTGAACTATGATGATATTTTAAAACACAGTTCTAGTTTCTTTCATATCTTAATATCATAGATAATAACATCACGTTGTTGTGATGTACTCAGGTATAGTAACAAGATAATCATTGTCTTCAATGTTCTACCAACTAAACTACAACATAAACTGTGAACTATGATGATATTTTAAAACACAGTTCTAGTTTCTTTCATATCTTAATATCATAGATAATAACATCACGTTGTTGTGATGTACTCAGGTATAGTAACAAGATAATCATTGTCTTCAATGTTCTACCAACCAAACTACAAGATCAACTGTGAACTATGATGATATTTTAAAACACAGTTCTAGATTCTTTCATATCTTAATATCATAGATAATAACATCACGTTATTGTGATGTGCTCAGGTATAGTAACAAGATAATCATTGTCTTCAATGACAAACCAACTAAACTACTAAATCATAGTTCATACGTAACACATAACCTGTCTGTAACCTATAGCTATACCTTGACAATATTTCATCAATATAAGACCATACTTCATACAAAACGAGCAATGGTTACTCATAGACATAAAAATATCCAAAAAATAGATAAATTTTATAGAAAATATAAAACTTGTTTCAACTGAACTGTAAGACTCCTTGCTTACAATGAATAGAATGAAGAATACACAATAATGCTTTACGTGGAAAAATTCATTGCTTTATTTAAAACAAAATTAATGACGGCAATGAGAATGAAAGAGATTATTAAAACGGCAGTTACTTACCGAGCCACGATGGTTTAAAAAGTTACATCTCATGAAGCAATGAAAGATGACGCGATGAATTACTTCAAGATAAGGTCGACATCAATCAAAATAACGTCCATCAGTTCCATGCAACTACAACAAACACAAGAAGAAATAATTAAAAAGCTCGACATTCAAATGTAGTCAGTGTTGATAAAAATGTCATGGCAACGTGATGGAAATTTTTACATGTAGACAAGTCGAAAATGAAAACATTAAATTATTCAACATCCATTTGACATGCGAGCAGGTGTTTTCGAAACAAGTATTTTCACGTCTGTATGCAAAAAAATTGACCATGAAAAACCCAGACAGCCACAAATAAATGATCTAGTGAAATAATCCGTTTCACCGAAGAAAATAATTTTTTACGATATCTACAGCATTGACATTTATAAATGAAAAAAAGACGATTATCGCAGATATTATTGAAAGCCTCGATGAAACGGCAATCAAGAACCAAGGCAAAACAAAATAAATTGAACGTTACAGGCCCAAATGTTGATGATTAGCGACTTTAAGGAGTTCGTAATGGACGCCTGGCAACTTTTAGTTGATAAATGGACGTTAGACAAAGCTCAAGTGATTGATAAGTGAGTCTATGGAATGTAGAAACATATGTCCACAATTCGTTAAAAGTAAAATATTTTCAACAACAAGACGAAAACCATTGACTAATTAGGCATTAAAAAGATCATACCTTGAACACAACAAATTTATAGAAAGAATCTTTGAATCATTCATTTTGCGATGGTGAAATAACTGGCTTCAAAATTCGAAGATGTCTGTTGCGGTGATGTAAACAAAAAAATTGGAAAAAGGGACTGTACAATAGATACATAGCAATCTTTTGTTCAGGTCAAATACTTAATATTTGTTTATGTATGTAAGAGTTAAAGAGAGATCAAAAAATTATTATAACAAAAACACAAGTTTTCGACTAAAATGAAATATTAATACTTCGCAAGAATACAAAAAGTTTATCTTATATTAATAAACTTACCAAATGAAAACTAGACATTTCAAACCTTTCGTCAGCGAAATATTCTGGATACAGATAAGAAAAAATTACGGTGTTAGCTAAAGCGATGTAAAGTTGATTATATTCCTGAATTTTATTGACATACCTCAGTCTTTACTCGTTGATGATAAAAGAGAATTATAAATAGTAAGACAGAAATTTGAAGTGAAATTATGTATTAGAAGGCATGTGGTAAAATGATGGACATTCTACAAAACTAACATTATTTCTACAAAAGCTTTTTTTCGTGTATTTATCTAATCACAATCTTTTTGCTCTCCAAATTTAAACATTAAATTTTCAAATAAAATTGAGAAAAAAAGCCATACAAAAATGCCAGAGGGGGATTAAGACGACAATATTGAAAATGGAAATGCGCAAAACATGTTCAGAAACAACGCAGGAAAAAGGAAACCGAAAATTTTTTTACAGATATAAACAATATATTTTTTCAATAAGAGAACATTACTACTTCAGGGTTAGAGACTAACATATGTGTTAAAAAAATGACAAAAAGAAGACGAAGTGAAATTTTACCATATTTAAATTAACATTTTTTTTTGATTCCCCAAAACAAATAGCGGCTTAAGTCCATTTACAGTCGAAGAAATTATTTTCCTTGAGTAGCAACATCCAGGCTTTTTTAACAACTTTGCACGGTAAGATTCCTAGAGTTTATTTGCTAGAACGTCAATTGCACGTAATCTAGTATTACATATCAAATTATGCTTGGTTTCCAGATAAATTTTTTACTGCATATTTTATACTATGTCAGTGTTGTCCTTAAAGTCATTTTCCTTCCATTAAATTGCTTTTTTTTCATTGAGCATTACGCAAGCTGATTATAATGTGTAGTTTAAGGAAGATATACATAAAAATTCGAAGTTATTATGATTACGAAGTTATTATGATTTTTTCGTAGTCTGCCAAATGATTATAGCAATCACACCTCCAACAAGAAGTAAAATCACCAAAAGACAGCACATTTTTTTACGAGATGCTTTCTACAGGGGAGGAAAAACAAACAGAAGGAAAATTAAAAAAAGAAAGACGGGGGAGATACACGATTGATTATTAAAAAATATATTAGATGGTGCTCTCCCGGAAGGAATGGTGACTAATTAATATAAAAGTAAATGATTGGTAGGCAGATATTTATTATGAAGGTCAGTAGGTTAGTGGAGTCTTCAGTAGAGCTGTCGGTATTTTGTTCATAGCCGTTTCAAAATCCTTAGCAGTCATGCGTTCACACAGTCAGTCAAAAGTGATACCAACAATCCTTCCCATGACATCACTGACCACTACAATCTACATCTACAAACATGTGACGTAATAAACATGAAGAGTCACGTGACGAGAAAAGAATTGTTGGCTGACGACAAGATTTATAATGTTGAATTGAATTGAGTAATTTCCTGTAGGGAAATTATTTTCAAAAGGTTTTAAAGTCCCGTGTCTGCATTAAACAATTCTCCATTCACAACTGTACAAAATTTAATATTTTTACCTGATATTCGCTGGCTTTCTGTAGTTGTGTATTTGCTTCTTCTACATGTGTACCAGCCGTAACAACGTGATCCTCAATGTTATCTGAACAAACACATCAAGTATGAATTTAGGAAAGCATGAACACATGTGCATTAAAGCAATCCCATCTATCCCCCAAATCCCTTAATATCCCGCCAACATCATGAACACGTGTGTATTGAAATATCCCTACCTATCCCCCAAATCCCTTAATATCCCGCCAACATCATGAACACGTGTGTATTGAAACATCCCTACCTATCCCCCAAATCCCTTAATATCCCGCTCAAATCGTGAACACGTGTGTATTGAAACATCCCTACCTATCATCTCTCCCTGTTCATGAATCATGGTCCCCAGATCCCTAAATATCTCATTTACATCCATGATATCACTCTGAATACAAAATGAGAGAAAGAAAATTAAAAACAGGTACGCAATGCGTACACAAAGATGCGACACAAATTCAATTTAGGTAATTTGAAAATAGCAAGCGCAACCAGTCTACGTGTCCCAAATGCAGGAATCACCATTGCACGTTGGTGATAGCAGGGAGAGCACATTGTTATACACATTGTATGTATAAGTTTAAAGATTGGTAATCCAGGCATATTTAAAAATTGAAAGTTTCTCCGGATTGTATAAAATGATTTTCTTGAGCTTTCGACTCGGTGCTTCGAGCCTTCATGAGAATAACAAACGATGTTATTTACAACTGTTTTTAATTTGTAGACGTTTAGAGCGTCTAATTGGATTAGCGAGTGGATTAATGTGATTGGATGGTGTGAAATGCGTTGTCATGGGTTCTGGTGTATTGTGAATATGATTGGTGTTAATATTGTATATATATATACCAATGATATAGACATTGTGGTTTAGCCTGATGCCAAAGTAACCATTTTATAATTACCTCCAGTTGTCTGACTGCTCTCTCGCGTTCCTCAAGTAATTCAACATTAATTTCATCTTCCTGTTGCACCTGAATAGTTGTTGATTGACCTCTACTGACAGAAATGTTTAAATTATTGAAATACAATGTTTGTAATGTATCCTCTAGGTAAAATCTCAGTACAGAAACGTTGTTATCCAACGAAGTTTACAAATCCTGAAGAAAAATCTCTAACTTACTGATCATAAGATATTCCACTTGGCTCAGTTTGACCAAACTAGAAATGAATTAAATTACAAAAATCTATCGCCTGCTCATTAGATATTGGATTACAACTGTATTGGATTAATGAAAAGATTGGATTACAACTGTATTGGTTTAACAAAAAGACTGGATTAATGAAAAGATTGGATTACAACTGTATTGGATTAATGAAAAGATTGGATTACAACTGTATTGGATTAACGAAAAGATTGGATTACAACTGTATTGTACAAGTGGTTTAGAATCTTTACCACGCAAGCTCATTACAGAGAATTGCCCCACTATGAAATAAATTTTAAACTTACAGGTGCGAAATTGTCAGATTTTGCTCGAGCTTTTGATACAAATGCTCTCTCGCGGTCAGCTGCTTCCTACAAGAACATAGATTAAAGCACATTAAAAATATAAGTTGATCTATTAACGTATAGATACAACATTAACACATCCCATTATATCCATCAATGTACATGTATAATATCCACACTTTCCATTTAATCAATTTATGTACATATATACCATTACATCATTCAACGTACCCTCTGAACAGACTGAAAGTTGTTCAAGGCATCCATAAAGTTTTCACGAAGTCGATTCACTTGAACCTTGCGTTGTTTCTTAAATATCAACCATTATAACAGTCATATCTCTTGCATTAGGAGAGATTGAAATAAAGCCATTTATCTTTGGTCACCTGTTCCATAGGATCTTCAGCCTCAAGAAGAGGCAATTGTTTAATCATGGAACTTGTTTCACTTGCTAGCGACTTTGTACTTTTTTCTGTATTTTGTCTAAAATTACAATTTTACTTTCAACACAGAGATTTATATATTTTTTAAGTGATATGGAAATGTCAGATTGTTCTGTCACTTTTGATGATTGTAATGTACACCTAACTTCATAATGAAGGAACTCCCCCCCTTTTGATCATGTAAATGTCCTCACCCCCCTTCTCCTCATACCAACAAAAGTTTAGATAATTTAAACTACATACAATCTTTCTTGGACTGGTATTGCATCTTCTGACGTCCCCAACTTATTAACCAACTTTTGCATAACATTTACTATAAAATAAAATCATTAAACTTTATGTTAAAGCTCAGCGAAAAGTCAAAATATCAAAATACAGAAACTTTTGATGAATGAAGTCATTGTTACCATTAAGGGTGATTTGCTGTATATTACTTCCAGCTTGTTTACAAAGTCGTTCATATTCTGATTCCCCTCGACCATCTAATGAAATAAATTATATTTTATAATCATAGGAGAAGATTTTGAGCACAGACACATAATCAATGACCGTGTAAACAACCGCATGTATCTCAAAATCTGAGAAAAGAAGGTAAGGTTAGAGTGACATAAATGGTGATAGGGCATTTTCTAATTGCTACCGGAATATGGTACATGAGAAAATTTAGCTTTTTCTCAGAGAAAAATATCTCAAATTAATTACTTTTTCAGGATAACTTGATTTATAAATTCACACACAAATGAAATGCTGTCATTTTATTCAAGGAATTGAGGGCTCAAAGGATGCAATTTCTACAGATCTTACTACACCCCTCAGATCATAAATATGTAAACATGTACATTTTTCCAACAAACGCTTTGTGTTCTCATAAATAAAACAACATTAACAAATTATTTTACTCACTAGAAGACATTGGTCTTCGGCCTCCAAATTCCCCTCTCGACATCTTGTGAGCCTGGTTAAAAGGAAGCAGATTGATACGTATTTAAAAAAATAACAAAAATTCAATAACAAAAATGGCAAAAACGTACCGCCCAATTACGAACGGAGCGTTTTCAAAACATTCAAACTTACAAGGCATTATTAAAACACATATCCGATGACACGCAAAATTCGGTTTGATTACTTCACAGATCACAAAAGCAGTAAATGAGTTCTCTCCCGGAAGAACAGACTGGAGAATTTCATTACACAATTGAAAATCTTTGAAAGAAATCTTTACACACATACCTGGTACTTCAGATAGTAATTCTTGATGAAAATCGACTTTTTTTAAATGAAGTTTAGTCGAAACTTGTTAGAACGTAAGATAGATAGATAAGAAAAATTTGCCACAGGATATGGCGCATTAGGAAATGAAAAAATGCTCTGTTCTGCTTACATGAATTCTTTCATTTCGCATGACGAACACTCACCGGCTAATTCCGATGAATAAATTATGTTCAATCTGTGCAAGAAGACAAATAACATTTAAAAATCAAATCGCTTTGAAAATGTTCACTGCATAATAGAAACAGATGTGTAAAAAATCAAATACATTTATCGAGGACTTTTATCATTTGTATACTAACTCCTTGCGACCATTAATGATATTCTAGTTAGTATAAAGTATTAATTACCAAATGTTGAAATTTGATCCGATGAAAGGTGTACATAGCAACCAAAAACAACAACAAGAGAATACAAGCCACGCGAAATACTTGACAAACGTTGTTTATGATTGCAACTGTTTTAAGAATCATTGCTACATGCAAAATTGTTTTTCAAAGAAACATTGATTACTTCAGCAACTTTAAGTCCCAGTCCAAACAACTTTAGGTCCCAGTCCAAACAACTTTAGGTCCCAGTCCTAACAACTTTAGGTCCCAGTCCTAACAACTTTAGGTCCCAGTCCAAACAACTTTAGGTCCCAGTCCTAACAACTTTAGGTCCCAGTCCTAACAACTTTAGCTCCCAGTCCAAACAACTTTAGGTCCCAGCCCAAACAACTTTAGATCCCAGTCCAAACAACTTTAGATCCCAGTCAAAACAACTTTAGATCCCAGTCAAAACAACTTTAGATCCCAGTCCAAACAACTTTAGATCCCAGTCCAAACAACTTTAGGTCCCAGTCCTAACAACTTTAGGTCCCAGTCCAAACAACTTTAGATCCCAGTCCAAACAACTTTAGAGCCCAGTCAAAACAACTTTAGATCCCAGTCAAAACAACTTTAGATCCCAGTCAAAACAGCTTTAGGTCCCAGTCCAAACAACTTTAGATCCCAGCCAAACAACTTTATATTCCAGCCAAGCAACTTTAGATCCCAGTCCAAACAACTTTAGATCCCAGTCAAAACAGCTTTAGGTCCCAGTCCAAACAACTTTAGATCCCAGCCAAACAACTTTAGATCCCAGCCAAGCAACTTTAGATCCCAGTCCAAACAACTTTAGATCCCAGTCAAAACAGCTTTAGGTCCCAGTCCAAACAACTTTAGATCCCAGTCAAAACAACTTTAGATCCAAGTATAAACAACTTTAGATCTCAGCCAAACAACTTTAGATCCCAGTCCAAACAACTTTAGATCCCAGTCCTAACAACTTTAGATCCCAGCCAAACAACTTTAGATCCCAGTCCTAACAACTTTAGATCCCAGTCCAAACAACTTTAGATCCCAGTTCATTAACTTTAGTTCCCAGTCCAAACAGCTTTAGGTCCCAGTCCAAACAACTTTAGATCCCAGTCCAAACAACTTTAGATCCCAGTCCAAACAACTTTAGATCCCAGTCCAAACAACTTTAGATCCCAGTCCAAACAACTTTAGATCCCAGTCCAAACAACTTTAGATTACAGTCAAAACAACTTTAGAACCCAGTCCCAACAACTTTAGGTCAACAACATTCACACTAACATACAATACTTACATATTTCCTGTATCCAAAATAATACCCCAGGAAGACAAGAGGTAAAGATATTCCAAACCAAAGCAATAACAAAGCAACCATTGTTGAGAAAGGAACCTTAAGGAAATAAAATGTTACAACGATCCCTTTAAATGCACGTAATCATTCGTTCCCAGACCCCATGTCAAAGACCTACCGCGCCAGATGAATGCTTCCCTCATACGAAAAAATTGAGAAGAAATGCTAGGCCAGCAATAACTCCTGGGTAAAGAGTTCCGGTACAAAGATCAGACCTTGAACACAACATATTTGTAGAAAGAATCTTTGAATCATTCATTTTGCGATGGAAAAATAACTAGCTTCAAAATTCGAAGTTGTCGGTTGCGGTAATGTAAACAAAAAATAGGACTGTAGAATAGATACGCAGCAATCTTTTGTTCAGGTCAAATACTAATATTTGTTTATGTATGTAACAGTTAAAGAGATCAAAAAACATTATTATAACAAAAACACATGCTTTCGACTAAAATGAAATATTAATACATCCCAAGAATACAAAAAGTTTGTCTTATAACAATAGAAACTTACCAAATGAAAACTAGACATTTCAACCCTTTTGTCAGCACAATATTCTGGGTACAGAAAAGAAAAAATCACTGTGTTAGCTAAAAACGATGTAAAGTTGATTATATTCCTGAATTTTATTGACGTACCTCAGTCTTTACTCGTTGATGATAAAAGAGAATTATAAATAGTAAGACAGAAATTTGAAGTGAAATTATGTATTAGAAGGCATGTGGTAAAATGATGGACATTCCACAAAACTAACATTATTTCTACAAAAGCTTTTTTCGTGTATTAATCTAATTACAAATATTACATATATATTACAAATATTACATATATATCACAAATATTACATATATATCACAAATATTACATATATATTACAAATATTACATATATATCACAAACATTACATATATATCACAAATATTACATATATATCACAAATATTACATATATATCACAAATATTACATATATATTACATATCAAATTACGCATGGTTTCCAGATAAATTTTTTACTGCATAATTTTTACTATGTCAGTGTTGTCTGTAAAGTGATTTTCTATCCAATAAATTGCGTTTTATTTATTGAACATTAAGTGAGGCTATTATATGTGTAGTTTAAGGAAGATATACATGAAAATTCGAAGTTATTATGATTATGAAAATTTAGGACGCGAATTTCGTACTGTAATGTATTATTGACAATTATTTCGTAGACACCCAAATGATTATACCAATCACACCTCCAACAAGAAGTAAAATCACCAAAAGACAGCACCTTTTTTTACGAGATGCTTTCTACAGGGGAGGAAAAACAAACAGAAGGAAAATTAAATAAAGAAAGACGGGGGAGATACCCGATTGATTATTAAAAAATATATTAGACGGTGATCTCCCAGGTGGAATGGTGACTAATTAATATAAAAGTAAATGATTGGTAGGCAGATATTTATTATGAACGTCAGTAAGTTAGTGGAGTCTTCAGTAGAACTGTCGGTATTTTGTTCATTGCCGTTTCAAAATCCTTAGCAGTCATGCGTTCACAAAGTCAGTCAAAAGTGATACCAACAATCCTTCCCATGACATCACTGACCACTACAACCTACATCTACAAACATGTGACGTAATAAACACGAAGAGTCACGTGACGTAATAAACACGAAGAGTCACGTGACGAAATAAACATGAAGAGTCACGTGACAAAAAAGAATTGTTTTTGACAATAAGATTTATAATGTTGACTTGAATTGAGTAATTTCTCTGAAATTATTTTTAAAAGGTTTTAAGGTTCCGTGTCTGCATAAAACAATTCTCCATCCACAACTGTACAAAATTTAATATTTTTACCTGATATTCGCTGGCTTTCTGTAGTTGTGTATTTGCTTCTTCTACATGTGTACCAGCCGTAACAACGTGATCCTCAATGTTATCTGAACAAACACATCAAGTATGAATTTAGGAAAGCATGAACACATGTGCATTAAAGCAATCCCATCTATCCCCCAAATCCCTTAATATCCCGCCAACATCATGAACACGTGTGTATTGAAACATCCCTACCTATCATCTCTTCCTGTTCATGAATCATGGTCCCCAGATCCCTAATTATCTCATCTACATCCATGACATCACTCTCAATACAAATGGAGAGAAAGAAAATTAAAAACAGGTACGCAACGCGTACACAAAGATACAACACAAATTCAATTTAGGTAATTTGAAAATAGCAAGTGCAACCAGTCTACGAGTCCCAAACGCAGGTATCACCATTGTACGTTGGTGATAGCAGGGACGGCACATTGTTATACACATTGTATGCATAAGTTTAAAGATTGGTAATCCAGGCATATTTATAAAAATGAAAGTTTCTCCAGATTGTATAAAATGATTTTCTCGAGCTTTCGACTCGGTGCTTCGAGCCTTCATGAGAATTACAAACGATGTTATTTACAACTGTTTTTAATTTGTAGACGTTAAGAGCGTCTAATTGGATTAGCGAGTGGATTAATGTGATTGGATGGTGTGAAATGCATTGTTATGGGTTCTGGTGTATTGTGAATATGATTGGTGTTAATATTGTATATACATACACCAATGATATAGACATTGTGGTTTAGCCTGGTGCCAAAGTAACCATTTTATAATTACCTCCAGTTGTCTGACTGCTCTCTCGCGTTCCTCAAGTAATTCAACATTAATTTCATCTTCCTGTTGCACCTGTATTGTTGTTGATTGACCTCTACTGACAGAAATGTGTAAATTATTGAAATACCATCTTTGTAATGTATCCTCTAGGTAAAATCTCAGTACAGAAACGTTGTTATCCAACGAAGTTTACTAATCCAGATGAAAAATCTCCAACTTACTTGCGTCCAAATTCCCCTCTCGACATCTTGTGAGCCTGGTTAAAAGGAAGCAGATTGATATGTATTTAAAAAAGTTCAATAACAAAATGGCAAAAACATACCGCCCAATTACGAACGGAGCGTTTTCAAAACATACAAACTTACAAGGCGTTATTAAAACACATATCCGATGACACACAAAGTTCGGTTTTATTACTTCACAGTTCACAAAAGCAGTAAATGAGTTCTCTTCCGGAAGAACAGACTGGAGAATTTCATGACACAATTGAAAATCTTTGAAAGAAATCTATACACACGTACCTGGTACTTCAGAGAGTAATTCTTGATGAAAATCGACTTTTTTTTAAATGAAGTTTAGTCGAAACTTGTTAGAACGTAGATGGATAAGAAAAATTTGCCACAGGATATGGCACATTAGGAAATGAAAAAATGCCCTGTTCTGCTTACATGAATTCTTTCATTTCGCATGACGAACACTCACCGGCTAATTCCGAAGAATAATTAATGTTCAATCTGGGCAAGAAGACAAATAACATTTAAAAATCAAATCGCTTTGAAAATGTTCACTGCATAATAGAAACAGATTTGTAAAAAATCAAATACATTTATCGAGGACTTTTATCATTTGTATACTAACTCCTTGGGACCATTAATGATATTTTAGTTAGTATAAAGTATTAATTACCAATGTTGAAACTTGATCCGATGAAAGGTGTTCATAGCAACAGAAAAACAACAACAAGAGACTACAAGCCACGCGAAATACTTCACAAACGTTGTTTATGATTGCAACTGTTTTAAGAATCATTGCTACATGCAAAATTGTTTTCAAAGAAACATTGATTACTTCAAGCGAGTAAAAAATGGGTTGTGGGAATTCCAGATCAGCAACTTTAACGGGGAAGAAGAAAAGTACGAGTTTGAACAACTCGAAAGTTTTTTTACAGTCAGACATAAATAATAATATGGAGAAAAATGCTGTGAAAACGAATATTACGGAATATACAAAAATGAAGCGTGATTTATCGGCTTCGTCAAGCAGAACAGCAGATAGCGGAATATGTGAATCACCAACTGAAACAGTCAATGATGGAATATGTAATCAAACGTTGACTAAAGTCGAAGTTTTAAAACATCCTTCTTCACAAGGTAGGTAGGAAAAACTCAACTTTAACTTTGAATCTATACTTTACTCGAACATGAGCACAAAATGCCTATCTCGTGAAAATTAATCAAATACACAATCAGCATTTTAATCGCAACTACTCAATGCAGGTAATTTTATGTCTAATTTTCACAGGCAAAGCCGTTTTATTAAATTCTCCCGTACACCTTAAACATGAGACATTTCGAATGCACTAAGCGCAGTACAATCTAAGATATGTTTATATATAAATCTCATATGATATCTTATGTCGACGATATTTAGGCATAGGTAGGACTAGTTGTATGTTTCCATAGTAACATCAAAAACTAAATATTCACATTTCTAAAGTATCCAAAGAAGCTTGGTGTTCAATGACACAAACTGATGAAGAAAAGAGATTTGAATCAGAAACGAGAACAGACAATGGTGAAGACCCAGCATTAGTGGATAATAATACTTTAAAACAAAGATCAGTGACCAGAGGCGCCATTGCATTTGATATATCATTTTGCCCGGAGACGGGCAACAAGAAGAAAGCACAATTACCAAAACTCAAAAGGCGAAAGAAAAAAACACTAACGAAAGAAGAATTGGAAGAAAAAATGAGAAAAGCCACAGAAAGAAGACAGGTAAAAAAATTACTAAAGTTTTACGTATTTTTCAACATTGGTATCGTCATTACATAGTAGTAAATTACTGTATATTCTGACTGAAGCTTATGTAAGTGACGTCATCGGTGATGTCACCGGTATCGTCATTGCACAGTTGTGTAGTCTGACTAAAGTTTACGCGAGTGACGTTATTGGTATCGTCGATGCGCAGTTGTATAATCTGATCAAAGTTTATGTAAGTGACGTCATCAGTGATGTCACTGGTATCGTCATTGCACAGTTGTGTAGTCTGACTAAAGTTTACGCGAGTGACGTTATTGGTATCGTCGATGCGCAGTTGTATAATCTGACTAAAGTTTATGTAGAGTGACGTCATCAGTGATGTCGCTGGTATCGTCAATTCACAGTTGTATAGTCTGACAGTACTTCATGTGAGTGACGTCATCAGTGATTTCACAGGTATCGTCATTGCACAGTTGTATAGTCTGACAGTAGTCACGTGATTGATGTCATCAGTGATTTCACAGGTATCGTCATTGCACAGTTGTATAGTCTGACAGTAGTTCATGTGAGTGACGTCATCAGTGACTTCACAGGTATCGCCATTGCACAGTTGTATAGTCTGACAGTAGTTCACGTGAGTGACGTCATCAGTGACTTCACAGGTATCGTCATTGCACAGTTGTATAGTCTGACAGTAGTTCATGTGAGCGACGTTTTTCACGATATGAATTAGAGTAAACGTTAAGATTATTTCATGGTGGTTTCTTACAGGAACACAACAAAAAAATTCAAGAAAAATCACAAGTATTTATTCACCAGTACGAAATGATGACTGAAAGAAAAAATGCTACAGCACAAGGGAAGAATAAATGTGAAAAGAAAAATGACATTGTTATGCATAATGTAACCAATGACAACAGTTCCTTAACAGTACAAGAAATGTGAAGAAGGCACAGTTGACGCATAAAAAGACAACAAAATGTTATATGCCGAAAGATTTGTAAAAGATATTACATTTATAGACGCAAACGATGTTAGATTCGACCAATTTCCCAGACACTCCATTTCATTACACAAGAAGGAATAAGCTTCCCAAAAATTGATTCAATTCTATCATGTCTTGAAAAGAGCATCATTAAAATTGTAGAATGACCTGTTTTAAAAACTCACTAATCCTACCGTTCACGTAAAGAAAGGATGAACCGATCATTTATTTTCTTCATTCGCATCTTTCGAGATTTGTCCAAATTACGACGGTCGAGTGTTCAATCAATCTTCACAGCACCATAAATCTTTCTAATAAAGTAATAGGTAGCGTAAAAACCGATGGTTCCAGTCAACAGCCAAAAGGTGAACACCATCATTAGAGTATACACGAAGTATATCAAACCAGACACGAAGCTTGCAATCTCCAACTACAAAGATAAAAAATAAAGTTAGCATAACGTTAATTGTTTGTTCCCGGGTTCAAACCATTTACTTTAAAGATAACATTGTCGAACATAAAAAGGATGATTTGCAAAGAAAAGCTTTGATTGGGCTTCGATGCTATCCGTCAATTTCACCGATGTATCACAAAGCATATTATGGCTTTAATTGCTAAGAACAGTCTCATGATAAGCATTTTCCTTAATCAATAAAAAATGACTAAAGACTTTGTCAACGAAACACTTCGTCTTCAACAAAATTTCTCTACAACAACAGACGAAGGGAGGTATATAAAAGGTTCAACATATGGCATTATTGACTTGCAATAAAAATTTCTTTCTTCTCCCCTCCTCTCCGTTTTGAAAGAATTGCTTTCGCCACGGCAGTAAAAAATAAATGGTCCGAAATTGTCTCGCCTGGATAATAAAACTGACTTTCCAAATTTTTTTCTTTCCAATCACATTTGTTTACATATATTTGTAAGATAACATTAATGCTCCGCCTGTCCATTACGGCAAAGTAATGAACTGCCAAAAATATTTCAGCCACCAATCAAAAGCGCGCTATTTTACCGGAAATGATGTCATTGCCACATAAAAAGAGTCAATAACCAATCAAATTACCTTATTTATATAATAAAATATAGCATAAGCAAGCACGTATAACGAACAGGAAGATGACGTAAGGAATGAACGCCACCACCAATGGTAATCCTATGTAAATATAAAATGAAGAACGACGTGAGACTGGGAACGAGTAGTTGGTTATTGACGTCATGAACAATACCTCAGCACAGAGTTGGAAATAAACGACCACGACAGCAATGAGTGAACAACACATGGCGAGGATCAGAAAAACAAGGAATAAAAAGCCAAAAAGATAGTAAAATTGATTCTCCCAGATCGCCTGAAGAAAATACACATATGAACGAGTAAGATTATCGAGATTTTTTTTCCTATTAAATGTAATCATTAAATACCGTCAGAATGAAAAATAATTCAATAAAGACAGCACCAAATGGTAAAATTCCCGCCATTATGTTGCTAAAGACGAATAGGAAAAAATATCAATTATTCTTACTTTAACAATCCCTCAAATACTATACAATCCCTCAAATACTACACAATCCCTCAAATACTACACAATCCCTCAAATACTACACAATCCCTCAAATACTACACAATCCCTCAAATACTACACAATCCCTCAAATACTGCACAATCCCTCAAATACTACACAATCCCTCAAATACTACACATTCCCTCAAATACTACACAATCCCTCAAACACTACACACTTTAGCAGAGATCAATTGTATATTGTGTTAACTCTGAGTAAACCCAAACTATTCTCGTTTCTACAATATTGTCAACAGTTAATAAAAATATTTTATTTATAAAGAGTTAAAAAGTCGATCGTCTTTAATCATACCTTGGTATAGGGTGAACATACCACACTTGTTCTGGTACCTGACGAGGAATCTGATTGGTTCGTACGGGATGTTCATACGGCTGATAAAAACATTAAGAACTTGAGACATTTTATAAAACTATATAGGTCCTAACAACTTTAGGTCCCAGTCCTAACACCTTTAGGTCCCAGTCCAAACAACTTTAGATCCCAGTCCAAACAACTTTACAACCCAGTCCAAACAACTTTACAACCCAGTCCAAAGAACTTTAGAACCTAGTCCAAAGAACTTTAGAACCCAGTCCAGACAACTTTAGAACCCAGTCCAATAAACTTTAGAATCCAGTCCAAACAGCTTTAGAACCCAATCCAAACAACTTTAGAACCCAATCCAAACAACTTTAGAACCCAGTCCAAAAAACTTTAGAACCCAGTCCCAAACAACTTTAGGTCAACAACATTCACACCAACATACAATACTTACGTATTTCCTGTATCCAAAATAATACCCCAGGAAGACAAGAGGTAAGGATATTCCAAACCAAAGCAATAACAAAGCAACCATTGTTGAGAAAGGAACCTTAAGGAAATGAAATGTTACAACCATACGTGACAATGCACATAATCATTCGTTCCCAGACCCCAAGTCAAAGACCTACCGCGCCAGATGAATGCTTCCCCCATATGAAGAAATTGAGAAGAAATGCTAGGCCGGCAATAGCTCCTGGGTAAAGAGTTCCGGTAACCAAAGCCGCGCGTTTCCATTTTTGACCATTCAAGGTTTTGTAGAGACGAGCGGAGAAGTAGCCGGCGAACATCCTGAAATGTAATAACTGGTTATTATATCCGGTTATAACTGGTTATTATAACTGGAAATCACTTTTTAACATACCCCATAAATACGAAAAGAAATACAACCGCTGACAATAAACTTCCTCGGCTTGCGGGCGAAAGCATACCAAACATGGCCACAACTAAAAGTAGATGTGTATTTATTTAATCACATAAACATGTTTTTATTCCTGCAATGCAAATATTTTTATGTCCAATCCCTGGAAAAACAAAGAATTGATTTAATTTTCTAAAGAAATCAATAATAATTTTGCTGAAAAATTTGAATTGGGCTGGCTTTGCCTCAAAAGACGATACATAACCTAGCGTTATAAGAGCCATAGCAAAGAGTTGAACACCAGAACCGACACAGGCTGTGAAAAGAAGGCGAAACCTCGGTGGTCGGAACACATCGCCATGAACCAACTTCCAGCCACTTTCTTCAATCGTGTCATCCTGAGAGATGGAATCATCGCAGGTGATACAGAAATACTCACAGTACTATTATTTATTAACAGTACAGTATTGAAATTGAAGACGGCAAATCTAACTGATCTAACAATTCTAAATAGATGTTTGTAAATGTGGATCGTCCAGGTTGGTATAGTCCTGAGAAGGACTGTTTTGTGTTGTTGACTCTGAAGATGACTACCGCTAAGGTTGTCAAAACGTCAGTCAACAACAACAAAAACAGTCTTTCTCAGGACTATACCAACCTGGACAATCTACATTTACAAACATGTAACGATACTCCCGGGTTCAAACCATTTACTTTAATTCTAAATGGCTGCGTTTTAACTCGCGAAATCTCCTATTTCTAATCATTAAAACTAGAAATTAAGTCATACTGTAGATGGTATACTACAGATCACGGCACAAGTATAGATCAGTGGGCAATTTTGAGAAAACCAAGCGTTTATACGCACATATTTTAAATCTCGGCGGGTGTTTTGCTCACAAACTTTCCATTCAGGACACAAAGACTACCAAGAACAGGTTCTCATTAAGGTTTCGGTAACGAAATATCTTGTGAATGGGTATTTTATTATTAGTTCTAAATTCCACAAATGCAAAACAATCATACCATACTATCTTCTTCATTATATTTAGCAATGTCTCTTCGTAATGTTCGTATTAAAATCATTACAACAACACCTAGATAAATGGTTGTTTGTTAACACATGGGGACTGGTGACTAGTATAAAATTAAAACTTGATCTGTGTTAACACATGGGGACTGGTGACTAGTATAAAATTAAAACTTGATCTGTGTTAAGACATGGGGACTGGTGACTAGTATAAAATTAAAACTTGATCCGTGTTAACTCATGGGGACTGGTGTCTAGTATAAACTTAAACACTGACCTGTGTGAACTCATGGGGACTGGTGACTAGTATAAAATTAAAACTTGATCTGTGTTAAGACATGGGGACTGGTGACTAGTATAAAATTAAAACTTGATCTGTGTTAAGACATGGGGACTGGTGACTAGTATAAAATTAAAACTTGATCTGTGTTAACTCATGGGGACTGGTGTCTAGTATAAAATTAAACACTGATCTGTGTTAACACATGGGGACTGGTGACTAGTACAAAATTAAAACTGATCTGTGTTGACACATGGGGACTGGTGACTAGTATAAAATTAAACTTGATCTGTGTTAACTCATGGGGACTGGTGACTAGTATAAAATTAAACACTGACCTGTGTTAACACATTGGGACTGGTGACTAGTACAAAATTAAACACTGACCTGTGTTAACAAATGGGGACTGGTGACAAGTACAAAATTAAACACTGACCTGTGTTAACACATGGGGACTGGTGACTAGTACAAAATTAAACACTGACCTGTGTTAACACATAGGGACTGGTGACTAGTACAAAATTAAACACTGACCTGTGTTAACACATGGGGACTGGTGACTAGTACAAAATTAAACACTGACCTGTGTTAACACATGGGGACTGGTGACTAGTACAAAATTAAACACTGACCTGATAGAAATATAGCAATAACAACGGAATTGACAATTGAGAACCAATGAATTTGTACATCACTCATATTAAGGTAGCTGTCCCAACGAGATGCCCACCGAATGTTACTTGGCTGTACACAACAATCAAAAGTTAAATTTATAGAGATTCAAGAGAATATCTAAAACATCATAGTTTAATTACTTGCTGCCCTGAGCTACTTACAAAATTAGCAACATTAAGGGGTGGCTACATAAGTTTCTAATTGTTATTTTTGGCATCAGTTAACTACAATGGTTAACTGATGATCCATGCTTTACAAATGGTATCTTTCATTGTTCTTAAAGTTGTGTAAGATGAAAGAATGTTATATGCAGTGCGGTGTTTGAAATTAAATGAAGATATGATCTTCACACTTTGCTGGACAATTTAAGCAATTGTCTCATGAACCTGAAAAATTCAGGTGACTCAATGTGATTCAAACCCATGACCTCTGAGAAAGAGAGTTTCAGAGACAATTGCTTGAATTGTCCAGCAAAGTGTGAAGATCATATCTTCATTTAAAGTTGTGTAAGGTTGTGAAGTTCACAGTAATGTACATGAAGGTTTTATTTGGATGATGGAATATAAACATTTTCAAGATCTTAAAAGTTCTTATAAAGAGGGCGATGGTAAATAGTTTAAACCATACCTCCCATATAACCATGTAGGCAAATGTGATCTTGTTTTCACCTGGAAAAACTTCAATGTTTAATCATAATGGTGTAGAAGAATTAAAGTATGTTAACAAACCTTTGGGATTTATTTCTTGAAATAATCCATCTACATTGTCTGGAAACTTGCACTTTTGCTCTGGGGCAATGTTTGCTGGGTCATCAGTGCCCAATTTTCCTAAGCTGGAAATATCATGTGCATAAGGCAGTGGACGTTGTGGTATTATATTGGTTGTGGAGGGGTAGTTAGTGATTTCAAGAAAATGCAAAGTTAAAAGCCAAAAACAAAAAAGATTTTTATTTAATATGTACCTTGCTGCCTGAGCCTCAAAACCAACGACACGATATGATTCACTGTTGAAATTAAATAGATGAATGTATTTTTAAAAATTCATTTATTTCAAATTTTTATTGAATAAACATTGGATCCTTACCCATCATCACTGTGATATTTTATAATCATATTCAACAAATTATTGAGATAAATCTAAAAATGAATACAAATGATATGCATAAATTATGTAAATTATTACCATGGCCAGGTATCACAGCCACTAAAACAACATCATGATAGTCTAGAGTATTTCTCAGTAATGATAAATATTTTGCATACATTATACTATCATACTTATATAGCTATGACATAAATTATTTCTACCTTTCTTAAACTATGCCAAATTATGCTGAAGATTTCACCATGCATAAACAAAATACTTATTGTTTTTTTATTGTGAGTATTAGAATTTGAACAGTCAAACCTTTCCATTTTTCTCAAAACCCAGTTTAAAACCATGTTCATAATGAATCTAAAGATAAATTTAAAACCATGTTTATAATGAAGCTAAAGACAAACAAAATCAATTTTCTGGTTCTTAAATTCACACAATTTTAAACTCAAAACAACAGGGAAGGTTCAATAATAAATTAAGACAACCTTGCACATTAATATGAACAATATGATGACAATAACAAACCTCAGAGAAGTCCTCTGTCCTGTACTTTGTAGCAATGGGTAAATTATCAATCAACCTATAACATATGAACTTGTTGGAATTAACATTTCTTTTTTAAATCCCAACACAAAATACGGAGATGGATTAAAACAGTGTGCGAATTAACGGTGCGCAATGTGCAATTTGCACATTGTTTCAGCTGAAATGAAAACAACTGCACATCACTTTTTCAAACAATGTGCAAAAATTAGTGGTTTTAACAAAAAACACTGTTGTAAATCATGAATTTGTTCATGTTTAAAAATATTAATTTAGCAATTAGCGCTATATAATAATTAACATAATATCGATTTGATTATGCCTCTAAAGAAACACTTTTGTCAAAAAAATTGCACATCGTTTTTTCCGAACTAATTCACACACTGGATTAAAAATGGTTTTCATAAGTGGGGTGCTCTAGTTGAGATAACATTTTGACATTATATAAGCTTAGTTCATACATGTGAAGATGATAATCCTCTTTTACTCTTTGAGCGATCACTTCTGACTCTTTAACACTTAATGTTTTCGCACAAAGAACAGTACAGGTCTTGTTCTCCATCATTTTAACCTAAAACATCATCGTGATAAGAGATAAACGGTTCTCATGCTTCTGTAAAGATCTCAAAATCATGCAATCATGATTATTTTCACTTTCTACACATGCTGGACGTATTTTATGCAGTTGCAAATGATTACAATCATGATGTCACATGGAAGCGAGAAAAAAGTTCTGCCCATAAAGGGGCCCATGCAGTGTGCGAATTAATGGTGTGCAATGTGCAATTTGCACATCGTTTTAGCTAAAATGAAAACAATTGCACATCACTTTTTCAAACGATGTGCAAAAATCTGCAGATTTAACGAAAAATACTGTCGTAAATCATATGAATTTGTTCATGTTTAAAAATATTAATTTAGCAATTAGCGCTGTATAATAATTAACGTAATATCAATTTGCTTATGCCTCCAAAGAAACACTTTTGTCAAAAAAATTGCACATCGTTTTTTCTGAACTAATTCGCACACTGGGCCCATGCTTTCTCTCAGAAATGTGGTTTAAATAAGAAATTGCTATGAATTTCTTTATCATAAATCAATGAACAGGAAAATATACGTACCTGATAAGGTGTGTTGACTATACGATCACCGCGCAATACTTCACCTGTTAATTAAAAACTTTGATTAGTTTTAACTTATTGTAAACTCAACTTGTCTACAAGAAGATAGGAGATAAAAAAATTGTTTGATAAAGGTAAAGAAAGTGAATGAAAACTACCTAAATTTTCAGGAATATACTGTTTCTTGGAGGGGGAACAAAATGGCAATGAGTAGTAATCATATGGAAGTTGGGTCTTGATGCTTGTCATTTTTACAGCCTATGCAACAAATTCAATAACATTTAAAAATAAATCTCTCGGAAAACGGAGGTGCCTGCAAAGGAAAGAAGATTTTAGAAGTATTCGAAAGATTTGTTTTACATCTAATTAATCTTTCATCATGAACAAATCTGATTTGCAAAGCTTAGGTTTTGAAACTACTGCATTCCAATTTAAACATATGGTTGATCTGAAATTTGAAGTCTTCCTAAAGAAATCTAGAAACTAACTTATACACCTAACAATTTATCCACAGCACCACAAAAGGGCATTTTTTACAATAACATGTCCCACATACTTTTAATATTCTACAACAATGCTTATCAAACCATCTCCAACAGTCTAACACTAATGTGTAAAAAGTTCCATGTGAGACAAACAATGACTCTCACAATACACAAACAACAAAACAATATTTCAAGCCATGTGTCAGTTTCTTGACTGTCATGATGTAAGAAACACTTGATTGTGTAAATAGAAGCTCAAACATTTACTTTAACATCCAGTGAACTGCCCTTCTCGTAGTCAATAGGGGCTATTCCAGGGAGATAAAATGCATCGGCGCACAGCAATAAATACGACAAAATCACCTGAAATTACAAAAATTTAATTTCAAAACTACAAAAAAGTACAGAAGGATGTGAAAAAGACATCGCAGATCGTAAAGATTTGATTTTGAACATTTGAGGATGGAAATTTTAAAAGCAACTTACAAAAACATTCCATGTTTAGAATCAGCCATTTTGAAGTAACTTTCTCGAGCGAAGTGCGCATGTCAATTTGCCACGTAAGAGGCATGGAGAGGCAGCCTGAGTGTAGGCTACCGAATCGTGCAAGGGTCCCACCCATGGTCCCACCTGCACCCCTCAGTCCCCAGCAATAAAAACACAGTGATCAATACTAAACGCAAAATTTCTTTTCTTTAAGTTACAGGTTTTTGAAAATCTGAAAAAATGTAAATAAGGTCACTAGTCCGTCTCCATTTGTTCTTCGTCATTTGTTATTGTAACAACTTCAGTGTTATTGAACACAACTTCCCTTTCTCCTCCTCGCTCACATGTTTCATCAGAACCTTCTTGAGACTCCGTAGATGTTTCCACATCTTGAAGAGAACTTGTAGTTACATCATGAGTCGAGACAAGCGGAACCTCGTGGCTAGAACTGACGACAGCTTCTTGTGAAACTTCGCTTGTAGTTTCCAATCCATGGAGATTTTGATCAACGTTTTCTTGAGATGTATAAACAGAGCTATCTTCCTGCGATGCAACCTGTGGGTCATTTCCGAGATTTCGATATGGTTGTCTTTAGCGGGTTCTGTGATCACGCCGAGAGCACGCAACTGACTGGGGTCAATCACGTGCGCCTCAATCAACTGCCCATCACTAGTTTGTACATTGGCAATGCTACTGACCTGAATAAGTCAAAAATAGTAGTCAAAAATAATTATTTTTTAGATAATAGCAAAAATAAAGTCAAGCTACCTGCATTATTTGTTCTTCAGTTAACTGATTGGTTGCCTCAATCACGTGAGCATTGGCGATGATCTAAATAAGGAGAATATTTCATTAGAAACATAAGGATGGAGATGGGTTACAAACATAGAGCATGAATACGGGAAATAATAATTGATATTTTACACTGCCAGAAGTTAACTTGAAAGTAGTAAACAGGGCTTTTATATAAGAGAGCAAAAGTTGTAACGCACTAATCTCACGCTGTCATTACGGTATTCTCAATTAGATGACTTGAATACATTTTATTTGACCAGTCTTTTATATTACATAGCTTTTATATATTTTCAATTTAAAAAACTGACCAATAACCGCGGATATTACGAGTGGCGTAACAAAGTATTGATGAGTTTGATTGATATGCATTTGTCAAAAAGAAGCATGCCTAAAATATATGATTGAAAACTTGCTCAGCACATGTTCATACGTTTTTTAGTTGCTATCTTTTACAATGTAACTTTCTCATAACTCTCTCATGATGAACGAGAGCTTCCTTATACAATGTAACTCTCTCATCATGAACGAAAGCACCCAGTCGCTTCATGGAAAAAAGGGGTTATCTACTTTTTAATAACAGTTTTTTAAAAAAACAACATTTCTTAAGCCAAGCCATTTGTATCGTTTAAATTGAACCCTTACGTCATAAAATTTTGATTCATTATTGATTGTAAATTTCTTTTTACCTTACAATATTTTTGTGATTTAATCTAGAAAGTGACTTCCTCGAATAATTTTGCGATTAAACAGCACACTTTTCGGATTGAAATGACATATTTTGATCGCATAGAGACAGCCGACCAATTTATTACGTAAATGCATGTTCTCTAGGTTTACAACTCACCTCTGCTGAAGCTTCACTTGTGATAATTGGCACATTTTGATCAGCAGTCATATCGGTCTCAACCCCTTCCTCGTGCCCAGTCTCTAGTATACCATGGCCATGTGAATGTCCTTCGACCAAGTGAACTGCATCAACTGATGCTTGTTCTTGATTGGCTGCAACAAGAGCATCACTGACAGCGACTAAAACCTCAGCCAATTGGACATCTGTTTCATTTGCGAGCTGACTGACAACTTGACCAGCAACTACCTAAATAAAGCTTTACTATAAAATTTTTCAGCAGGAAGACATTTGCTACGGTGAAGATTAGGTTTTAGAGTTAGGTTTAGTGTATAGATTTAGGTTTAAAATTCCAGTGATCCAGGGTAAGTGAGAATACATCATAGGGATTCATAGCGGCTCAAACACATTTAAAATATCATAGAAGTATTGTTGTTGGTCATAAATTTCTACGAAGTATTTAAGTATAAAAATGTTATCATTAGGGTTAGTTTTACAGCACGTAAAATTAAAATTTGATTTATGTTTACATATTCCGACTTTCCCCGAATCATCGAGGCGCAATAATGAATATTCCTACCTGTTCATGATCAACAGCCGAGGTAGACTTAGAATTGGAAGTTTGAATAATACGAGTTGTTTGTCCATCGGGTGTCATGGTAACACCATGAACTTTCATATGGTAACGCACACTTGCTTTACGTGAAAACGCTTTGCCACATATTTCACATTTGAATGGTTTCTCCCCAGTGTGAATACGTAGATGATTGTTGAAATGACTGCGATGGTTGAATTGACGTCCACAAGTGTCACATTTGAAAGGACGTTCTCCTGAAATTTTAACAATAGCATTACGTTGTTCTGTGGACTGTGATGATATTTAAAACACAGTTCTAGTTTCTTTCATATCTTAATATCATAGATAATAACATCACGTTGTTGTGATGTACTCAGGTAAAGTAACAAGATAATCATTGTCTTCAATGTTCTACCAACTAAACTACAAGATCAACTGTGAACTATGATGATATTTCAAAACACAGTTCTAGTTTCTTTCATATCTTAATGTCATAGATAATAACATCACGATGTTGTGATGTACTCAGGTATAGTAACAAGATAATCATCGTCTTCAATGTTCTACCAACTAAACTACAAAATCAACTGTGGACTATGATGATGTTTTCAAAACACAGTTCTAGTTTCTTTCATATCTTAATATCATAGATAATAACATCACGTTGTTGTGATGTACTCAGGTAAAGTAACAAGATAATCAATGCTTCTTCATAGGACCAACAAAGAAAAAATTAAAAATGCCTCTTCTAATCTAAGCCTCATTCCAATATCCATGACAACTATCTTTAATACCTGTATGTGTCCTGATGTGTTCCTTCAAAGTACTGAATCTTGTAAACATTTTATCACATTCTCCACATTTATAAGGTTTATCATCACTATGGACAGGAAGATGAACTTTGAGATCTGTAGAGCGTGCAAATCTTCGACCACATTGATCACATTGGAACGGTTTCTCCCCTGGTAATAATCACTTAAAGGTAACATCATGTGATCATACAACTGAACTAAATACAACTGGAAGGTTACTTCACATTAACGGAACATCATGTGATCATACAACTGAACTAAATACAACTGGAAGGTTACTTCACATTAACGGTAACATCATGTGATCATACAACTGAACTAAATACAACTGGAAGGTTACTTCACATTAACGGTAACATCATGTGATCATACAACTGAACTAAATACAACTGGAAGGTTACTTCACATTAACGGTAACATCATGTGAACTAAAGACAACTGAACTAAATACAACTGGAAGGTTACTTCACATTAACGGTAACATCATGTGATCATACAACTGAACTAAATACAACTGGAAGGTTACTTCACATTAACGGTAACATCATGTGATCATACAACTGAACTAAATACAACTGGAAGGTTACTTCACATTAACGGTAACATCATGTGATCATACAACTGAACTAAATACAACTGGAAGGTTACTTCACACTAACGGTAACATCATGTGATCATACAACTGAACTAAATACAACTGGAAGGTTACTTCACACTAACGGTAACATCATGTGATCATACAACTGAACTCAATACAACTGGAAGGTTACTTCACATCAACGGTAACATCATGTGATCATACAACTGAACTAAATACAACTGGAAGGTTACTTCACATTGGTAACATCATGTGATCATACAACTGAGCTCAATACAACTGGAAGGTTACTTCACATTAACGGTAACATCATGTGATCATACAACTGAACTCAATACAACTGGAAGGTTACTTCACATTAACGGTAACATCATGTGATCATACAACTGAACTAAATACAACTGGAAGGTTACTTCACATTAACGGTAACATCATGTGATCATACAACTGAACTCAATACAACTGGAAGGTTACTTCACATTAACGGTAACATCATGTGATCATACAACTGAACTAAATACAACTGGAAGGTTACTTCACATTAACGGTAACATCATGTGATCATACAACTGAACTAAATACAACTGGAAGGTTACTTCACATTAACGGTAACATCATGTGATCATACAACTGAACTCAATACAACTGGAAGGTTACTTCACATTAACGGTAACATCATGTGATCATACAACTGAACTAAATACAACTGGAAGGTTACTTCACATTAACGGTAACATCATGTGATCATACAACTGAACTAAATACAACTGGAAGGTTACTTCACATTAACGGTAACATCATGTGATCATACAACTGAACTCAATATAACTGGAAAGCTTCCTCGCATTGATATTTGAAACCAGTGATTCAACTTGTACGTCCAAAAGAAAGTTCCTTTACGACAGTAAACTAAGATGCGCGACTTTATCCAAAGACACTCGTTTTTCCGGATATAATTACCTTTATGCAAGTACAGGCATGTTTATATGAAGGTAACAATCCAGTTATGTATATATAGTTCAATGGTTCATAAAAGTAAGCCTGCCTAACAATAAGTAGCAACCAACTTACCTGAGTGAACGATCGCATGTCTCTTGAACGTGACGGCAGAAATAAATTCCTTCTCACAAATGTTACATTTGAAAGGTTTGATGCCCGTATGTCTTCCCATGTGTCCTTGCAACTCTGGTTGCGTGCGAAATGACCGATCGCATTCGTTGCATTTGAATGGTTTATCACCCGTGTGTACCGCCTGAAGAAGACAAAAGGAATATAAATTCTACAGCATCAATTTCTAAGGTGAAATACACAAAGTGGAAGAGTGCAAGAAGTTAACTCCTAGGGCACAATAGTGAATAACTATATGCATATAAGGATAGGTTTGGATACGAGAGGATAGTTAAAATTTAATCTTACCATGTGTGATTTGAGACCAGTTTGCACAGCGAATGACTTCCCGCAAACATTACAGGTGAAAGGCTTTTCCCCGGTATGTGTACGAAGATGATCCCGGAGTCTTGCTGGTCTGGTAAATTGCTTTGGACAAATGTGACATTTATATGGCTTATCACCACTGTGAGTGTATTTATGCTTCACGAGATCAAATGATTGGATACAGGCAAAATCACATTGATCACATTTGAACGGCTTTTCACCTGAAAGCACAAAATTAACAATCATTTCAATTAGCCCGTCTAACACGTACTACGTCACAAGTGACGTATACGATGACGTCATATCTCACCAGTGTGTATACGATAGTGACGTTTTAGATCATCGAAACGGATGAATGCTTTGTCGCATTCGTCACATTTGTAAGGTTTTTGTCCCGTATGTCTGAACACGTGACGTGAGAGTTCGGCTTGAGTCTTGAATGATTTATCACAGTCAGTTTGAGGACACGTGAACGGTTTTTCATTTTGATGCACGCGACGATGAACTCTGAAAGAGATTAGAGAGATTTAGCAAACACGACGTATCGTCTAGGACGTCTTGAAAATGGCGTGAAAACAACGCGATATTCCCATATATGGTCGTGTCCACGCCATATTTACGCCATTTTTAACGGCGTCTTAGATGGTGCGTCGTGTTTGCTAAATCACTCGATTAATTAGGGATTGAAACAGTTGGATTGAAACCATCTCCAAAGGAGTCAAAGGACAAGAGATATTTGCCATGTTGGTTGATATTTGAACATGTAAACAAGGAAAAATCCTCCTTTCTTAAATAATAAAATAGAGACTTTGTCGTGGTGACAAATCTGAAAATAGTTCTAAAGATAGCAAATACCATAGTGAATGGTAAGAGTAATATAATAAGTTGATAGTTCTTGAAGAACTGTTTCAAGTAAAGAGCACTAACCCAATTTCATTTAGAACTATTGGGTTAGTGCTCTTTACTTAAAACAGTTCTTTTAAGAACTAGCAACTTCTTATATTACTTTTACCATTCACTATGGTATTTGCTATCTTTACAACTATTTTCAAAAAATCCTTTGTTAAATACAATTAAGATTGCGGCAGTGACGTAACATGCTAACAACTATATAGTCAATCAACAAAATATCACCCCCCCCCGTCTCTTCAATAACTTAAAAGGTGGAACAACGCAGAGGGAAATACGGGATAAAATCACCCTTCATTAAAAATGAATGTGAAATCACTCCATTGGTCGTCAAACGCTAAGAGATAATCAAGAATACGACCGAAAAAAAACTTCTTTAGAAAGTTTTTTAGAAACTTGATAAAATTTGAAATTCTGTAGCAAGCATTTTAGTTCTTCATTCCATCTCTTTATTAGGTAGCTTTATCAGAGCCTACGAGTACGATTTACGTCATTTTGGCGCGAAAACATTGTAGCGACAACAACACGTAGTCGTCATCAATCTGAGTAAGATGTTTTGTGAAAAATTCGTAGTCGCGACTACGATGTCTTTTTAAGCAAAGAAAGTAGGTATATTTCTTCATTCTGTAAGAAATTAGTTTACAGCACTGTTTTCGACCATCCAAGCTTTACTTTAGAATCTTTTTTGAGCGCAGACGTACATTTAAAAGGAAAATACGACCTGCGAAACTTTCATGTATTTCGTACGCAAAGTGAAAGGTAAACAAACAATAAAATAGTACAAATACATCGTACATAAAATTTAAAATAGTTGAGATTTTTCAGTCTAAAGAGTCCTATATTCTCGCAAAATCAGTATTACCGATTTGTTGACATAATTATTGACAAATAGAGCCGTAGCTGCTTGGCAAACGTCGGTGTTTTTTTACAATAAAAAGGCTCGTTCTGTTGTTTATAGCTAAAACAAAATTTTGACGAAGCGACAACGACAAAAAACTTCCTCGTGCCATTCCCTTACACGGTCAAACTTCGTACTCGTTCTTGTAGTCGTACTTTTGCTAAAGTTCTCTAGTATTGTTTTTACCTCAGCGATCCAGGGTTATTAAAAGCTTTATCACAGCCAGACACATCACAGGAGTATGGTTTGTCTTCGGAATGAGAGAGCAAATGTGATCTAAGGGAGCTGGGATTATTAAATGCTTTATCGCAATATTCACATTCATAAGGCTTCTCACCTACACAAATATAAACATCGAATTAAAATTATCCAATCAGAAACCTTGGTTTGTGTCACATGAGCATCACGTAGTCCTTAGAGAATCATTTAGCAAACCCTACATGAGAGTATTTTTTCGTAGTATTATTTGTATTTACATGAGAAATGAGAATAATATTCATCATATTTATACTACTTCCTTATTTTAAAGTAGTCATATCAGCAAAAATGTTTAGTAGCGACATCAAAACTACGACATTTAACATATCGGTGAAAATTTTTTCACTTTGGTCAAATCGTCTTCTTGTCGTGGCGGTTTAAAGTTGATTTCAAACGGCCCTTGTCCTTCTTGGCATTAAGTACGGGTCAAGCAAAATTATGACGTCATCCGAGGTAGTTGGGAAATCCCTTGAAATGACGTCACAAAAGTAAGTCGTTCCAGGCTTTTCGAACGACGGACAAGGTCCATTAATTTGAGCATTTTTGCTAACTTTACACAGCCATGAAAACGAACGATTGGACAAACATAAAAACTTTCTTCACTGATACGTTGCAAATCACACTTTAATGTAAAACCGCAAATAAAAGTCTTGCTGAAAGAGGCAATTTGAATAATTCTTAAGGACCAACAAATACACTCTTATGCTTACTTACCCGTATGAATCAACATGTGTTGCCGTAGATTACTGGCATAATTGAATACTTTATGACAAACAGAACATTTATGAATCTTATCACCAGAAGCATGTTCCCTCATATGACCATAGAATGACCAAGATCTTATGTAAGCTTTACCACAGATCTCACATGTATATTTTGGTTTTTCTAATTCTGAAAATCAATAAAAATACATAGGAAGAACATGAATGGACAGAGTTGGCAAACAATAGAAAGTGAAAGTCAGAGGGATTTGGGCATAGGTACAAGGCATGCTCAGAACTAGGACAACACAACAGTATACTTTGGGTACATCAACCATCCCCTTTTGGGCACATCAATCATCCCTTGGGCACATCAACCCATGCGGTTCATCAATCATCCCCCTTGGGTACATTAACCCCTGCGATTCATCAATCATCCCCCTTGTGTACATCAACCATCTCCCCTTAAGTACATTAACCCCTGCAGTTCATCAATCACCCCCCTTGGGTACATTAACCATCCCCTTGGGTACATTAACCATCCCCCCTTGGGTACATTAACCCCTGCGGTTCATCAATCACCCCCCTTGGGTATATTAACTATCCCCCCTTGGGTACATTAACCCCTGCAGTTCATCAAACATCCCCTTGGGTACATCAACCACCCCCCTTGGGTACATCAACCATCCCCCCTTGGGTACATCTACAATCTCCCATGGGGTACTTAGCCCATCTCCCCTAAGGTACATGACCCATACTTCTAGACCTTTTTCACTGATGGCCTTCGTAAGACTACAACCAGTAAATTACCTCCAAAATTAGGACAACACAAAAGCAAACATAAGGTATATAAACCATCCCCACGAACCCCTGATATCCCAGGCAAAACTACTAGTAGTACACTACCTCCAGGTGCTGCATCTTCAGCAATTTTTTCTTCAAGAACTGGCTCAACATTCTCATTTTCTTCAAATCTTGATTCATTGTGATTATCACAATCACCTGCAACTGTAGCTACACCCTCGTTACATGCATTTGTCTGTAAAATAAAACAAAACCAATTATTCTACAGAATTAATCTTCATAATGTAAAGTTACATAGCACAAACCCCTATGTCTGTTGCCATGGAAACAGAAGAAAAATCTTGGTCGGCAGTTGATGAAGACTGTGATATACTTGATGTAACAAGATTAGCCTAAAGAAGATGAAACAAACCACACTATATTACAATGATTATAATTTATTTGATATATTCCACATTTCATAAATTCCATTCAACATTACACCAATTCAGTCTTACGTACGTACTTGTGTCAGAGTTTGGAGTTCAGAATTAGAAATTGTTGTCACGGGAACAATCTGTGCTGTATTTCCAGCATGGTCTTGAAATAACTGTACATCCCCTGACTGCGATAAAACCTGAACAGCTATCATCTCAGCTTGCATAGTAGATAGTGCATCATGGCCAACGGTGAGTATTGAACTAGCAGATACACCATTGTCCGATGTTGATGTTGCTATAAAAAATAACATGTGATAACAATCAAAGCAAGATCATCTATCCCTATGACACTTAGGATCCCTTCTGTTCACTCAATGTCCCCCTATACCTTGCTGTACTATCATCTCTCTATTTAAGCCAACAGTGGATATTTGTTCAGAGAGATTTCCAGTTTCAACAACTTCAAGATAAACAGCAGGTTGCTCGTTGCTTATGTCACCATGGTTACCTCCAGATGGTTGTATAGCAACATATAAAGTCTGTGGGTCGCTGTTGTCATCAACGATCTCCTGCGTCAATTGGTCATTATTCAATTCTGGTGCTGTCTGTTGAAGTTCTTCATTATCATAAGATGACATCATACTCTGATCTTTACGTTGTGATGTCTGGAGTGATATACTATCATTATTCAATTCGGGCGCTGTCTGTTGAAGTTCTTCATTATCATAAGATGACATCATACTCTGATCTTTACGTTGTGATGTCTGGAGTGATATACTATCATTATTCATTATCATAAGATGACATCATACTCTGATCTTTACGCTGGAGTGATATACTATCATTATTCAATTCGTGCTGTCTGTTGAAGTTCTTCATTATCATAAGATGACATCATACTCTGATCTTTACGTTGTGATGTCTGGAGTGATATACTATCATTATTCAATTCGGGTGCTGTCTGTTGAAGTTCTTCATTATCATAAGATGACATCATACTCTGATCTTTACGTTGTGATGTCTGGAGTGATATACTATCATTATTCAATTCGGGTGCTGCCTGTTGAAGTTCTTCATTATCATAAGATGACATCATACTCTGATCTTTACGTTGTGATGTCTGGAGTGATATACTATCATTATTCAATTCGGGTGCTGTCTGTTGAAGTTCTTCATTATCATAAGATGACATCATGCTCTGATCTTTACATTGTGATGTCTGGAGTGATATACTATCATCTGATGTCTACAATATTTAATGAAAATCAGGTTTTTTTACCACAAAGATATATTCTTACTTAAACTCAGAAATTTGTTATAGATTGTACACTAACATTTTCCAATTGCACTTTGTTTAAATCTGTCGTAACAGGTTCATTTGTTACAATTGTTGTGTCTAAAACATCCAAACCATGAACACCATTCTCACATGATGCTAAAAAACAAATAGAGTGTTGCGCAGCTGTTAAAATCATTGCAATCACAAATTACAAACACAGCATAGAGAAGTTCAGTCCATTTTTCATTTTTTTTACTCTTGACACGATAATTAAACTTGTTCTGTCGTAAACAAGAACAAGACGTTTTAAAACACCATCAAATTTTCAATCAAGGCTGTTACTTTCATATTCACATCAATACAGAAGAAAGTAAAATATCACTTGTGTTCGTCATCGGACAAACATATCTCACAAACATTGCTTTCAATTCAAACGTTAATTTTAGCATTCAAGACAAAGCATTAAGCCCACATGTTCCTTCTACAAAACAAAGCAGGCAACGTCTCCATTTAATTTCATAAAACACACAATATATCGTTCCCAAAACAAAACTGAGAACTTCATAAACGAGAAACTACTTCATGGACTAAGGAATTAATATGAAATTGCTGTTCAAAAGTAATTCTTGTGAAGACCGCTGCTTGCAAGAGCCGCCATTCAGATCTACTGACCACAAAGAAAGCGGGCGACTTCCTTGAGAAAAGCGTGGCATTATAGTTTTGTTTAAGCGCGAAATTGTCCCAGAAAATAAACCTTTTGTTTCACTTAAGGACGGAACTAAAAAGCACAAGCATTTTAAAATTTTCAATAAACTTCACCCACCTTGCTGTTGATCAGAACTCGCCATTTTTTCCCTCCCATAAAGCTCTTCGGTCGCTTTATGCGGCCATTTACGACTACTTCCGGCATTCAACGGCACAAATAAAGACTTGATGTATATATAATTTTTCAATACAGAATTTCCGTTTTATAATCAAAAGAAATAAAGTCGCGCTTGTGTAATTCACATCAAATCTTGATGTTTACAAAATTTGAATGCTTCCAAGCACCTTTCCTTAAAAACAAGATTCATAAACAAGCATAATTCACAACACATAAAACTTTCCCAGCAGTTTCATCTATAATAGTACACAAAATACTGACAACAATCTACTATGTAGTTAGTAATGTATATTATCAATACAAGTTTATGACCTTGTAATTATTGTTCGTTGATAATATGTCCAGTGAATCAAAGTCTGCTGAATTTAATAAAGAAATAGCAAAAATTAAGAAGTTGCATAAGGCGGAGGAGATTCTTTTGGTGTTTCCTTGGTGGCATCATCATAGTTTGGCAACAAAACCTTGCAAAAAAATTGATAAACATTATTTAATAATAAGTTGAAAATAACAAAATTCTTGAATAAAACCGTTAATGAGCAATGAGCAAATTTCATTATCACCCACTTTTAGCTGATTCCCCTCAACCAGGAGGATGGTTCAAGAAAGGGATGCAAAGGGGTATGTCCAACTCCTAGTCATGGCTAGAGATGTCAAGGGTTATGTCCCACTGCTAGTCATGACTAGAGATGTCAAGGGTTATGTCCCACTCCTAGTCATGGCTAGAGATGTCAAGGTTATGTCCCACTCTTAGTCATGGCTAGAGATGTCAAGGTTATGTCCCACTGCTAGTCATGGCTAGAGATGTCAAGGGTTATGTCCCACTCTTAGTCATGGCTAGAGATGTCAAGGTTATGTCCCACTCTTAGTCATGGCTAGAGATGTCAAGGTTATGTCCCACTGCTAGTCATGGCTAGAGATGTCAAGGGTTATGTCCCACTGCTAGTCATGGCTAGAGATGTCAAGGATTATGTCCCACTGCTAGTCATGGCTAGAGATGTCAAGGGTTATGTCCCACTGCTAGTCATGGCTAGAGATGTCAAGGGTTATGTCCCACTGTTAGTCATGGCTAGAGATGTCAAGGATTATGTCCCACTGCTAGTCATGGCTAGAGATGTCAAGGTTATGTCCCACTGCTAGTCATGGCTAGAGATGTCAAGGTTATGTCCCACTGCTAGTCATGGCTAGAGATGTCAAGGGTTATGCCCACTGCTAGTCATGGCTAGAGATGTCAAGGATTATGTCCCACTGCTAGTCATGGCTAGAGATGTCAGGGTTATGTCCCACTGCTAGTCATGGCTAGAGATGTCAAGGATTATGTCCCACTGCTAGTCATGGCTAGAGATGTCAAGGTTATGTCCCACTCTTAGTCATGGCTAGAGATGTCAAGGTTATGTCCCACTCTTAGTCATGGCTAGAGATGTCAAGGATTATGTCCCACTGCTAGTCATGGCTAGAGATGTCAAGGATTATGTCCCACTCTCAGTCATGGCTAGAGATGTCAAGGTTATGTCCCACTGCTAGTCATGGCTAGAGATGTCAAGGTTATGTCCCACTGCTGGTCATGGCTAGAGATGTCAAGGATTATGTCCCACTCTTAGTCATGGCTAGAGATGTCAAGGTTATGTCCCACTCTTAGTCATGGCTAGAGATGTCAAGGTTATGTCCCACTCTTAGTCATGGCTAGAGATGTCAAGGTTATGTCCCACTGCTAGTCATGGCTAGAGATGTCAAGGTTATGTCCCACTGCTGGTCATGGCTAGAGATGTCAAGGATTATGTCCCACTCTTAGTCATGGCTAGAGATGTCAAGGTTATGTCCCACTCTTAGTCATGGCTAGAGATGTCAAGGTTATGTCCCACTTAGTCATGGCTAGAGATGTCAAGGTTATGCCCCACTGCTAGTCATGGCTAGAGATGTCAAGGATTATGTCCCACTCTTAGTCAAGGCTAGAGATGTCAAGGTTATGTCCCACTGCTAGTCATGGCTAGAGATGTCAAGGGTTATGTCCACTGCTAGTCATGGCTAGAGTGAGTGCAAAAGGGTGCTAATTTTCTACAAAATGCTAATGTCCCAGCTAAAGCAAAACAATTGTGATAAATGTTTAAAGGAGCAAACTTTCAAAAATTTCTCAATCAAAATAAAAAGGTAGGAAAATTTAACAAATAGTCTTTTACATAACATGGCAACAAGTGGCCACCAATATCTAATGCAAATTAGCATACCTCCCTTACAAAACCAATATGGATCCATCCTTCTTTGCCCAACCCCCCCAATTGAACTAATTATTGACAGACATCAACATTAGAATGTATGATCTTCACCTCAAAATCACTGTCAGTACAGTATTGAATAACATGACCCTCACTCAGTTTCTTCAGTCGAAGGATGAAGAGTTTATAACAAGTCCAAACACAATTAGCAAGATAAGCCTGAAAACAAGTGATGAAAAAATTATGGCTAAACATTTAAACGGAATGAATAATAAATTGAAGAATTACTTTGATGACAAGGATTGCAGTAAATATTGCGATAAGGTATCTTTGATCAACTTTATCCAATCTCATGTACTGGTAATGATGTGAAACCTAGAATAATAAACAAAAATATTGCAAAATCAAAAATATAAACATTTCAAAGTCATATAAGCAAAGACCTTACCCTGCTTCGCCATACAACAACTTGATCATGATTAGTGAGTGCTCCAAACAGCAAAAGGAAACAGACACAAAGGTCAAATACTTGAAGACAAAAAAGGGCAAAAGATAACCTGGTCGACGCTTTAAAACGAAACAAATTCAATAATTTACTTTTTTAGTAAAAACAGTATAGATTATACAGGAGATATTAAAGGCTTCATATACTTTGAAATTTTTACCTGAATGGTACCATAGACCATGAAAGCAGTCAGGATAAAAAGCAACAGAGATATGGCAAGTGAGGCAAAATTGTTAGCTGAAAGATTCAATAGAATATTCGATAACACGCATCCATCAAATATTTATGATCTGATATGAAAATTCAACCTTTCATGATATGATTACTGGAGACATACGGACTCTCCTTATCGTAAGTGTTGGGGTGCACCAAAACTTCACAAATTACAAGAATTGCAGCAACTTGGAATACCTACAATGACATAGACTTTAAAATAAGTTTCCATAATTTCATAAAAGCACTATTGCTAAAGCACATTTAATATACACGACAAGTTTTTTGAAAATAGACATGTTTTGACATCTCATGATGCCATCTTCAGTATGAGTGAAATAATACGTAAAACAAGGTTTATATAAAAGTAATATGATACATAAATTAGAACAATAAAAAGGAAATAAGATAAATTAATGGGGAGCGTCCGAGCGTATTATAAACTAAATATTGTATTGAATTTAAAAACTTGAACATCGTGGTCTAGGTTAGTTTTGTTAATGTGGAGTGCTTCTTTGATTTTAAGGGTGAATGAGGTTTCGCCAAGGTCGATGAATTTGAAGCAAGAGGGTGAATTGTTGGTTTTACATGAGTGAGATTTAAGAAGGTGTCGGTAGATATGAGAGTTTTTGTCTGTTGTGTTAACTTCCCTGATTCTGGTGGATAAATGGCGCAAAGTTTCGCCAATGTATCGGGAATTACATCCCGCGCAACTGAATTCATATACCACCATAGATTTAATTGAATCAGGGATTGGGTCTTTGAATGAGAAAAGGTTTTTGATTTTGAATGATGTGAAAATTAGCCGAATGTCAATATCTGTACAGAAGCGTTTCGTAATGTTTGTAAGTCTGCGCTGTGTGTGTCGTGAGTAATGTCCGATGTAGGGTAGTTTGAAGTATAGAGTTGTTATTCCAAAATATTACTTTTATATAAACCTTGTATTATTTATTATTTCACTTATACTGAAGATGGCATCATGAGATGTCGAAACATGTCTATTTTCAAAAAACTTGTCGTTTATTTTAAAATGAGTACTGACAATTGACTTGACAAAGCAAACCATCAACTAAATCCTTTCTAAATTCATTAATATATATTCAAATAAACCTTTCTTGATGAACAATAAACTACGAGCGTTTGAAAGATTTGAATAATTCTTATTTATAACTGTAAACGCATTTTTCTTGTAAATGACAACATTGAAAATGAAATTTTAATATCTTCATTATAAAATCGGACAAAACTTCCTTTATTATCGGCAAAGTTTTGTAAGGAATTGAAAGTTTCAAACACAACACTCATGACACAGTATTACTTCGCAGTCTTCCTTCGATTAAACAAACCACTTGCTGTTTGAGCAACTTTTCAAAATACTCTCCATTCCTTTAACACAATTATACAATTATTTCCGAACATTTCCTTTTTAATGAAGAAATTAAGAATTTTTTGAGACTAAGATACAACAAAACGAAGAACAAAATAAACAAAGTGTTAAAAGCCTTCTATTATCTGTGATTTAACAATGGCGTAGATTGAAAAGACAAATAATTTTACCCACCAAATGCGTCAAGCCGAGTATTATAACACCAGTACGAATGTCAAGGCAAATACAGCATCGGTTCATGTAGGAATTCTCCCATTCTTCACTATTTATGCGCAGTTTTTTTCCCATATTTCGACAAGAAAATTACACGATCGACGAAATCGCTGTTGTTGTTCCTTGTCTTTAAAACGCAGTGTCTTGTGGGTAAATTTTTATAGGTGTGTTACATGACGTAGCATTGGGAAGTAGATGACGTAATCACTTATAGTTACTGAAAAGCAAGCACGTGACGTTCTACCAATCTGCATACTTTCCAAAAAAATAGGATAATGGTTTCCGATTTCTGTTTCGATACTTTAATGATTATTGGCTCATGCATTTCTTTCACTGAGTCAAAATAATAGACAGTGTGATATCATATATATATATTTGTATATAATGTAAAAAATTCAACATATCTTAGTGACAAGGCTTTTATGTATTCAGACAAATTATATAATCTCTCTATCAGTTCATTTGAGTGTCAGTGTCGGCTGTCGACGTAATCGCTCCAAAATAGATTGTTACCAAACCCAAAAATATTCATAAGTGTAAAATATAGACTTGAACATTAAAATATTAATGACGTTTATTTACAATAGTCAACAATATCCAACTAAGGGAGATCGGTTCCGGCCGATTTAAAAGCACCAAAAAGCTCGTTCATACATATACTTTATCACGAGTACTGAAGATGAAGCCAGTAATATTTATGGTCAGCGGGAAAACGTTGACGAACGACGTGGAAAGTGCTCTGCTGCCAGTCATTAACGTTAGTCAAATCATGGACGATGAAATCTGAAAGACAAAGATGAACGAAGATTTACCAGCAATCAGGTCAAATCATTTTCAATTTCCCTTTTTATTTATGCATTACAACATTCCATTCCGGACTTTAATATTCTTTAAAACTAAAGGTCAATCAATTAATCTACTTATCTCGAGCATTTTATACCTTGTGTAATGTTTGCTTTGTTCATGCACTTCCATTTCATTGCTTTTAAAGTCGTTCAGCTCTTTACGAATGGCCGCCTAAAATATCACATAGTAAAAAAGTTAGTATTGGTTGTCACTAAATGTACTTACGTGTGTGGAAGGTGAGGTGCAGACGGGGGGTTGCGGCCAGTATTTGACAAACTTGGAGTTCAGGGTCGTAAGTGATCCCAATCATTGAGAGCCTGAACAACCCCCGTACACCTTATCGCACGGAATCAAGTTGGTGGAAAGAAAATGAAAAAAATTTTTGTTCTGTACTCCAACGCAATATGTCGATAATGATGACCTAATGCTATGTCCGAGCATATAGCATGCGATATGTGATACTTGTTTCCAGTCTGCGCGCGCCGTTCCTACGATATTAACCTCGGTTACTGTAGCATAACCTCATTTAAACTATGAATGCATTCAACGTCACAGAGTACTGGGACTGAACAACAGTATAAATAGAATCAAGACCTTAGAAAACAGTCATTGGATATGTACTTAGAAATGTTGTATCCTGTTACTGTATTTGTGTAAAGTGTTCTTTTACGAAAGAAAAAAAGAGACGGGAATAATTATTTACCTTATCTTGAGGCGTTAGACGCGTCCACGGTTTGTCTGCTCTATGAACAAAAAATGTTGAGTCAAGACGCGACTTTGTATGATACTGCAGTACATAAGCAACATTCATGGGATTAAGGGGGATTATGGAGGATATTTTTAGGGAGAAATCATCATCTGTACACACTTTCTATCGTATTCTTGTACTTCATAAACATCAACGTAATCATTAAATTGCACCAAGATGTTCTTCTCTCTCAACTCCTTCACTGTTGGACGGCGACTTAACTAAAACGATGACACAACATCAAACATACGGGGAACATGATGCGATCACGTGATCTAACAGACGGGGAGAGGGGTCAACTGTCTGTCTAGACCAATGATTTCCTTACTTTTTTATTTAATAATTTCTTTTTTTGTTGAATATCTTGTTCAATTTCTGCTGCTGAGGCATCTGCAAAGGTTCAAAAACAGGCACAATGAAAAATGTTTAAATAATCCAACAAGTTTTAATAAAAATAAACAGACTAACTTTTTATAATTCCCCTCGCTTTTAACTCTTCTATCGAAGGACGAAGACTTAGCCGTCTAAAAATAAACAGTTTAGAACAACTCAATAAACGTTATGAAATAACAGTAATTACTGTAATAACAAATGATTACGACAGAACAAGACTAATTTTATAAAGCTGTTCACTCTACATAAGGTACATCCTATACCCACACCCATACCCATACCTATCCCAATTAATCCCTTATTCGTACCACAAAAATTGCTCCATTCAATATCGTAACACCTTACATTATGTCGACTGTTTCAAAAGTTATTAAATAAGCGAACACTTCAAAAGTTTTCACGATGTTTTCAATAACAGAAGGAATGGAAATAGCTTGCTTGATAACACAAATCATTACGATGAGAAAACGATAAAAGACATCAACAAACATGTCAAACAAATGCATTTCGTTCACGATATTTACAGAAAACAGGAATAGCACGTTTGATAAGTACGACTTTTCAACACTTGTAAATGAACGTGAATCAACAAAGACGTCAAGGAAACGTCTTTCGGTACCATCTACATGTGTCCTTATGAATACACTACGAATACACTACGATCTACATGTGTCCTTAACTATTCCCCAGAAATACAGCGTCTTGTCGTTCAATAGAAATATAATAATAAATACTATTTCCACCATGTGCAGCTTACAATCACCCTTCATACAACGCTGATATCAGCGTGACACATCAAGAACATTGATACAGTCCAAGGACATAGACCAATCAGACACAACATGTTTGAACTAGCAATTAACCATTCAGAAATAGAAATATAAATAACTACTCTTTTCCATATCGACCAAAATAGAATCGGAAAAATTCAACCAAAACGCCAATGTATGACTTAAAAATGAATAAAGCCCATGAGTTGATAGAACAGTTTTAATCTAACGAAGAAAGGAAAACTTTCAAGAAGGCAACGTTCTTTTAAACGCCGTCCGAAGAACGACCATAAAAATTCAGAAGTTATCCAACATAAACCATACAATCACAATACAAGAGAAACACAAAGAATTCTCTACAATGAAATATCCATGTCACAATTGTGCGTAAGGTAAACAATTGAACACAAGAACGGGTATGAAGAAAAAAAAGTTATGCAAATGTTTACTAAACTATATTTTGCAGGTAGAAGTAAACTCATAAATGATTGACGCCTTGTAACATCACACGTAATGCAAATAGATCACGTACTAACAAGTACACGCTAATACTTGCGAAACACATTGTGTACTACAATGTACAAACAAGTATTTCATCAGATTATATCATGCATTTCATAAAGGAATTGAACTACATGGAGTAAGTGACCGGTTCCTCCACAAATTTAGTAAATAAAATTATACCTTGTCAACTGGCTTCCGATGTAATCTCTCTTTTCATGTAGTTCCTCTTCACTTTTGGCTAAAAAAACACATTAACAAAAGGTCGGGTTTGAAATAGAAACATTGCAAAGAAAACCTTTCGTGGACGGAGAAAACGAAACAAATAAAAATAAGATGAAAACATGAATTAAAGGAAAATGCTACAAAATGACGACAAAGGATGGAGAAGTTCACTTTTCATGCGGAAGATGTTGTTATCTTTACAAAAATAATTATTTTTGACTTTAAATATTCATCACACACACAATGAAAAAGAGTAGATGTTTGTGCAATTGACGGTGGCTAATAATAAACCAGTATTTTCAAAAGATAACAAAAGAACAACATATACTAAATTTTCCTCGTGTTTAAATGAGAAAAACAAATCTTTAGTTCTTTCGTACAAAATTCATTAGATACAAACGAATTTTACAACAGGATTTTAAAGTTTCAACGAAGAACTAAAATTTGAAGGTCAATGTCGTCCACATAATTGTCTGTTGCGCAAGACTAAAGATAAATTATAAACGCCAGCTGTACGTAATGCTGACACATGGCCAAAACAAAGTAAGATTACTGTATATGCAGCAGGATGGAGAAAGTATAAAAATAACGAAAACTTTTGCTTGAGAAATTTAACCATTTTTCACACTGAAGATAGTTGAAATAGGCGAACGACAAAATTTTAACAAAACCCAAAGCAATCGTCGACTTCTATAGACTATCAGTCAATCCATAAAAAATGGAAGTCGATGAAAAAACGCTTAATCCAACCTACATCAAGCAAAATCATGAATCGGCTATAAAAGTTTTCATTTCAATTCAAAATGTAATGACCGTTACAGAAAAGTTACGAAAACAGACTGAAGAAACTTTTGCAAAAGTTTAAACAAAAATACAAGCTAATGCTGGTATTTTAGTACTTACAAACTCTGGGAAGATATCGTAAAACGTGTCTCAATTTACGAAATGAGCGACGAACGACAGAATGCACAATCATGATGATGGAGGAGGTACGACGATGTTCAGTAAAATGATTAAGAGCAAATACTGATCTTAAAATATAGTTGTTTATGCTTTCATATGAAATGATCGCAATATGTGGGCTAAGAACATCTGGTCGAACGACGAATCATCAAACGGACATTTGATGAACACGATTAAACTCACTTCGTTATTCAATCTCGACAAAACATGTATTTTATAATGAAGCACTCTCATTGGTTGCCGATAATTGATGACGCCATCTCTTAGTTCATAATCTAGGGTCGCACGTGCAAATCGGTGCCATGAAAACGAAAAAATATTCTCGAATATGTACAATTGAATTCTCGGTAATATAGAGCTAGCGTTGATAACATGGAAGTTTGTAATGAGTGTTACTCACTCAGTAAGAAAACCGCAAAGTAGAAGAAATACAATAAGCAAAAATAGAACAAGCTTATCAACAAACGGTTTGTGTTAATTGAAATATCCGCTTTGCCTTTTATCATCAACATCTCGATTTGAAAAGTAGTTTTTTTTTAGAAGAATTTCCCGTCTTCCCCCGCAACCAGCGCAGTAGGAGTGAAAATAAATCAGGCGATACTCAAACTGTTGCCTACGACGTAGGTGTTGTGGTTTAAAAACTATCTAAAGGATACAAAAGAAGTAACGTTCTCGTATCTGATAAACGATGTCTAGTTGTAAAAGTCTAAAATGGGGTTTTTCGATTCACCATCCCCCCAGTATTGCCTATTTCAAAATTTCACCTCCCCCCCTTGAGTACTGCCTATTTCGAAATTTCACCTCCCCCCCTTGAGTACTGCCTATTTCAATTTCACCTCCCCTTGAGTACTGCCTATTTCAAAACCTCCCCTTGAGTACTGCCTATTTCAAAATTTCACCTCCCCCTTGAGTACTGCCTATTTCAAAACCTCCCCTTGAGTACTGCCATTTCAAAATTTCACCTCCCCTTGAGTACTGCCTATTTCACTCCACCTCCCCTTGAGTACTGCCTATTCCACCCCCCCTGAGTACTGCCTATTTCAAACCTCCCCTTGAGTACTGCCTATTTAAAATTTCACCTCTTTGAGTACTTGATTTCAAAATTTCACAACCCCCCCTTGAGTTTTACCTATTTCAAAACTTCACCCCCCTGTTTATACCTCTATTAAAAACTCTTTGACGAGGACTGGCACTACTATATAAATATATTACACAAAATCCCCTTCCTTCACACAATAATGTTGTGTTTGTTTTCTTTTGAAAGGGAAAATAAGAGAAGCCTAAATTACACAATATTCTCACCTGGTATGATGTTTCTTTCTTCCAAATCTCCTCAACATTCCCATTTGAGAAATGTTCATCAAATTATCTATTTGTTCCTCTTCATCATTCTCTGAATTATTGTCATTGTCAGTAGAGCAAATATTATCATAATCTGGATCTTCATCACTAACTTCATGATAGGCCTGAACAGCTCTACTTAAATGAAGTAATAGAGAATAACATCAGCTTGGATGAGATTTGGACAGTACAGCATGTTCATGAGAGATCAAAGAATGCCCATGTGTCTCAAAAGGAAGATCATGGACACTGTCATACTACCAGCAATGACTTATGGAGCAGAGACGTGGGCACTTACCAACCATCAAAGAGAGAAACTGGCAATCACCCATAGGAGCATGGAAAGATCAATGCTCAGTGTCACGAGGAGAGATAAGATCCGGAATGAAGACCTGAGAGCAAGAACAAAGGTGAAAGATGTCATTGAGAAAGTTAATGAGGCCAAAGGAAAGTGGGCAGGACATCTAGCCCGAATGAAAAATCATGAATGGGCAAAGAAAACAACTGAATGGACCCCGTGGGACAAGAAAAGAGGCAAGGGAAGACCAAAAAGGAGATGGAGAGATGACATCAAGCAGAGGGCGGGCAGCATGTGGACCCAGAGAGCCCAAGACCGTGAAGAGTGAAGAAAGATGTGGAGGCCATCCGCCAGCAGTGGCGTGACAGGCTGATGATGATGATGATGATGATGATGAATAAACATGTTTATTTAATTTTTCACTCTGTCAAAATTGTAATCTTTGTTGAAAGCAAAATCATTTGGGTTTCACCAACATTCAATTGATTGAAGGTAATAAAAGCAATCCATCCACAAGTTAAACAAAAAAATATATAACCTCGAGTCCATATTGAGTTCACCGTTGCATTTTTCATCATCAGGTTCTGCTACTTCAACTACAAAATAACAACAAGCATTACACACTAACGAGTCACATGAGTTCTGTTTTTCAAAGACTTCGAAGCCAAGTTTAGGTAGGCTTATCCGAGAGAAAGAATATAGATAGACTTCTCTGGAAGAGTGGACTGTTGTGCTGACAAAATGTAGCCAAGGGTTTCTCAGCTCCATCTCCAGTCTTGAGGTATGGCTTCAAACTCCATGGTTATTTTAGGTATGGCTTTGGTTATTTTATAACTCAAATATGTATCTACTAATGGCTGGTTAATTTTGCAAGTCACTACTTAAAGTGTATTTTTGGATTATTAAGGATGCTACTTGGCTCAAATTCATAAGTAAACAAAGAGAAACGAAACTGTACGTTGTTTATATAATTAAATTAATTACTGACGTAATAGATAACTTATATGTTTGTAAATGTAGATCGTCCAGGTTGGTATAGTCCTGAGAAGGACTGTTTTTGTTGTTGTTGACTGACGTTTCGACAACCTTAGCGGTAGTCATCTTCAGAGTCATTAACTTATATTTTTACTGTCCAATTTTCTAGCCTGAAAGCTACATTGCGATATCAACCTACAGAATGCATTTTTTATTTTTTCACAAGTATGCTCGCCCCTTCAAGCTCTTGTGGGGTGGGGTGAAAGTTTGACATAAATAATAATGAATGTCAATAAACTGACGTACCAAAATGAGGTTTAGGAAGGATCCCCTTTTCCACAAGTTCCTCTCTAGCTTTTCTTGTTGATAACTTTCTTTCAAGTGCTACAAACACAAGAAGATATTCTGAATAAAGATAGCAAATGGGAGAAAGTCTGTTTAATTTCACGATGGACTTGTTTGGTCAATTTGACAGCAAAGATTTGTTTAGTGGGGAAATAATAAAAGACTTTCTAAATGATCAAAACATACATAATATGTATGTATATTATTCGCAAATCATCAAGAAAATAAACATGCAATTTGAAAAAAAGAAAAATCTAGAAGTTTGAGGTTTCATAATTAAAAGAAAAAAATGCTTATTTAAATTTCACACAAGGTTGAAGCACTAACAATTAAGAACACAACATCACTAGTGCGTTAATAATTTATCATGAATTTTCTAACGTCTTTCCAAGGAAAATTACGGTTTGGTACGCAGCGAAAGAAATATTTTGATGGTTTTACATCCTGATATTGACAAAATCCCCTTCAGCACACCTCTGGCACAAGAAAGCGATGTCAGATTATTTTCCTACTTCATTAAAACCAATGAGTTCAGTCAACACAGAACCTTCTCAGATTAAGACCTAAGAATGACTCTCATGACCTTGCATGTTTCATAATTCTTTAGTTGATATTCAATATCAGCGAGTAAAAGATAGTTAAAATTCTCGTACAAGCGAATGACAATCGGAAGTAACGAAAGCGAATGCAATTACGAAACAAATGCATATTTTTATGTATTTAGTAACGAGATTGTTGTATTATACCTTCCGAGGTTTGGATAAATTTATCACTTTTTTTCTTTCTTTTCCACTTCCAAGGACGGAAAAATTTCCCAATACTTGCTGCGATTTTCGCCTTTCGGGAAGTTGGTGGCGTGGCCGTTGCTGCGCTATCTGAGCCTCTAGGAGAATGAAATTGGCCAACAGTATTTACGGTGAGCATATTTGGTTCGCTTATTGCCCTTTCACGCGAGTTTTTTTGCGTTACATAACCATTACTTGCTTCCTCCTCCATCAGATTTATTATAAAATCTATTCACATTCTATCACAGACATATTGTTGCTGCTTGAATATTTGGTCACGTGATGAAAACCTCACCATCACTTCCGGTACAATTTCCCACCTCATCTTAATTGTGTTATTGTTGAACTGAAACTTTTTGTCGTCAGTTTTATAATTATGCAACTAATTAAAGAAGAATTTTATTAGAATTGTGTTAATACGTGTGCAAATACCAAACATAACAATCGTATGGAATAAAATGTGAATTCATCAAGAAGTCAAAACATGTTACCACTTTTTTAGGGTTCATTATATTTTACGAGTTGATTCTAATTGAAGAACGTGAGCATAATAACACACATAACAATGGCTTTAAAGCCGCTTAATTATCTTTTTTTCAATGTTTTTTTTATGATTTAAAAATTAAAGCTAGTGTATGAATACTCTCGTTTTTATAAAGAAGAAAGACAGAATTTATTAATATACCTAATGAAATCTGACATTCCAAAAAAGAATCGAAAAATCACATACAAGCGAGAATCTTTCTTGTTAATTATGCATTGACATAAATTATGCAAAATTTGTGAAGTTCTTACGATAATATACAAAAATTGCATAAACCGACAATTAAGTTACTAATGTCGTTTGAAACTGGACCGAAAGAACTATTTATTTAGGATTTGAAACATTAACGCTTTCAGGTCAGTGTTTTTTCCCAAAATAATAATATTCATCAATTTCTTATATGTAATATGAAACGTGTGATGGATTTGCATGATGGAATTGAGTTCACCTTTACAAACACGCTGTCAATCAATGCAGTTGTGGTTTCAGGTCCAATTTTCATTTGTATTCATCGTTTACTTTAAAATAAAAAGCAGGAAGTCCAACTTCCATCTGAAAAGCTTTCATCAATATATCACGAAATATAGGTTTTCTTTTTAAGGTCAGCCCATTCACAGTGTACAGCATTGTACTGACTGCAGAAGAGTTCTTATAATCAACATTTTTACAGATATACAACAAGCCTTGTGCATGTTTTCTTCAAGAAAAAGATGGAAATATTGGAGATTACATTTGATGGTGTTTGTTGTGATCGGAGTGCTTATGCTAGGGGAATACCTTATTTACTTCCTTTTCTCATTATCTTGGAATATTCCTTTGAAAAAATCACCAACTGACTTGAAACTGCTAATTTTGTCAGATCCTCAGATACAGGTAACCCAAGCTTTCTTAGTTAAGTTTTATACAGTGTATGTTTATTTTGAGTTTGTTATTTAGGGTTTTAAGAATGAAAAATCTGGAGTTATTGGTTATATCACGAGATGGGATGCTTGTCGATACCTGAAGAAGACATTTTCATATGATGAGCCAATATCAACCAGATGTTGTTGTCATTTTAGGTAATCATTTGTATTCCTCAGTAAGAGAAATATATCATGAAAAAGTGCTACTAGTTTGCTGTTATGACAATTTCTGTAAACTCATTAAATTAGCAGTTTTTATAACAGATTCTTCAATATTTTATTTTTACTTTCAAGGAGATTTGTTGGATGAAGGATACGTAGCCTCGGACGAAGAATTTTTTCAATATGAAGTTAGTTACACATATTTTAGTTCATGTGCATGGCAGTTTAAAGAAAAAGAAAATGTGTTTTTAGGAATGGTTTAAAGATATCTATGATGTCGATCCATCCACAAGGATTTTATTAGCTGGAGATAATGATGTTGGTGGAGAAGATGAACCAATTGACATTCACAAACTAAAAAGGCATGAAAAATACTTTGGTCCAGTAAATGAGATTGTTACTGTCAAGAATTGGCAATTTTTTAAAGTAATTAGACAAGTTTGTCTTATATTCTGTGAAACATTGTTTTGATTGGTACATTTAATGTTAAGGTGAATACACTCGGTTTTCTACGATATGAATTTACTTCGCAACATGAGAAGAATGCAATGGAAAGTCTTAACACATTCATGGCAACTGCTTTGAGAAAACTTGACAAAAATAAACACACTTTGGTTTTCAGTCATCTCCCTTTACGCTACTGGGATGCATATTTTGCAGTGAAGGTGATACATACATAACTGGTACATTAACAAAATTTTATAATAGTGAAAATATTCAATATTTGATATTTTCAGGTAATGAATAACATCAAACCAAAAGCTATATTTTCTGGTCATGATCACAAGGCAGGATTTTATAAAATATCAAAAAATATATGTCACAATTGGAAATCGGGGATTTTACATTGGGAATTTTATTTTCAGGCTAAATACAGAATGTATAAAACTGGAATATTTTCTACAGAAGAATATGTTCAACCCACTTGCAGTTACAGAATGGGTAGCATTCATATGGGAATTGGTGTTGTTATACTGGGTATATACTTTCTGTTGTCTGTGGTTGCTGTTCTTAAAATTTAAATATTTATGGCTTGTTTTTTTTTCTATCTAGAAGAAAATGGTTCTTTCCATTACACAATATTGAAATTACCTCAAAGATTTTTTTATCTTATTTTATATGCTGTAGTGTCAGTTCTATGTTTGCTGTATATTTTACTGTCAGTACTTTGCAAAATACCAAGATTTAACTCATGAGTAATGTCTCATGTTGTAAAATATAATGGATATGAAAATTTTATGATTACAGTCAATTGACATAACTGTGCTCTTTTAGTAAAATGTATGTACTGAGCAATATTTGATACCTTTATAGAAAGATGTAATTGTTTGGAATAAATTAATCACTATCATACCATCCCTTAATTATTCTACCCCAAGATCAACACATTATCACTAAAAGTATTGTGATGAAGTTGGAATTTATGCTTACTACCTCATTTTAAAAATGGCAGAATCTTTTTTTCAAAAAATTCCTTTGAGAATTGCAAATGATCACCATCAGCTTCAAGGAAATGGAGTTTTCCAGCCTCGTCCATTTCTTTTAACCCAAGCCAATCCTTAAAACAATGAATACATACTGTAAATAATCCAATAAACATGTTACAAATATCTAGTAAACAAACACTGACCCCACTTGTAGCATAAGTTTTATTTGACACCTCTTTCTAATAGAAGCCCCCCTTTCCCCCACCAAAACATTGCTGTTAAATATGATATCATAATTATAGTGCGTTATTGGGATAAGAAACACATTTTTAGTCTTCATTTTGTTTTTATTTGTTCACACTATAGCAGTGTGCGAATTAACGGTGTGCAATGTGCAATTTGCACATCGTTTTAGCTAAAATGAAAACAATTGCACATCACATTTTCAGAGGATGTGCAAAAATCAGTGGTTTTAATGAAAAACACTGTCGTAAATCATATGAATTTGTTCACGTTTAAAAATATTAATTTAGTAATTAGTGCTATATAATAATTAACATAATATCGATTTGATTATGCCTCTAAAGAAACACTTTTGTCAAAAAAATTCCACATCGTTTTTTCTGAACTAATTCGCACACTGCACTTTAGTAACAAAAATAATATTTATATAAATGTCTTTATCTCTTAAAAATACTGTTGTACCTCTTGGTATAATGGGCTTTCTTGTAGTGTAAACAGATCTTTGTCCTGACCAGGTTTATAATAACCAAACCACTAAAAAAAATAAAATCATAAAACCAAGAAACTTATACCAATCTTGTCCAAAACTTCTAAATTTTCACCTCAGATTCTTTTGGAATCACCATTGTATCTTTGGCAAACTTCACCATCACAAAGTTCTTAAGTTTCATAAGATTTTCCTTGTATGCTTTATTTTTTACCTTACAACAACAATTGACATAATTCATCAAATTGTCAATGTCTACTACTTTGCAATGAAGTTGAGAAACGAAAATGAAACAACTAAAATGAAAAAGAAAATGTTACCCTTTCTTGGTTTATATCTGCAAGAAAGACACTCTTTGTTTTGTATTCTTCTTCCTTTAATGGATCATGCCAGTATTCTGCTTGAACTAAACTAAACAAAAACAAATCTACATTTAATGCATTGTGCGAATTAGTTCAGAAAAAACGATGTGCAATTTTTTTTGACAAAAGTGTTTCTTTAGAGGCATAAGCAAATCGATATTACGTTATTTATTATATAGCGCTAATTGCTAAATTAATATTTTTAAATGTAAACAAATTCATATGATTTACGACAGTGTTTTTCGTTAAAACTGATGATTTTTGCACATCGTTTGAAAAAGTGATGTGCAATTGTTTTCATTTTAGCTAAAACGATGTGCAAATTGCTCATTGCACACCGTTAATTTGCACACTGCTTTAATGCAGTCATGACTATGAACAATTTATGTCAATCAATCAGCACTTACTTGTTCTGTACCCAGCTGAAAGAAAAAATTAATATTTTGAGTAAATGCACATATTATGCAAACAAAGTACATTAAATGTCACATGACTAATTTAATTAACATTAAAATTCACTTTCAGTTTTCAATTTACACATCAATGTTTTTGGATGAAATCATTCTAACTAAAGAGATGTATGGCATTACTCCTGGTAAAAAATTGTTCAAAGAAGAACATAAGGGAATTAAATGTAAAAGACCTAAATGAAAGAAAAGGATGAAATGCTAAAAAAGTTTACACCAGCTTTATGTTAATATACAGAGTCATTTTGAATAGAATGGATTATAAACACAGAAGATGGATGCCAAGAAGAGTCTGTCAGTAGATAAAACGCAAGACACAAACACACATTGATGCAAATTTAATGATTACTTCCACTACCAAACATGATTATAAGCATACCTGATATAAACACCTAAGTCCAACAATTTTCTTACATACTCACAGAGAGTAAAATTTTCTCCTGGACAGTGAGGAAAGCCAAACACACCTGTGAAAAAAAATTAGTTTTCAACATTAACAAAATACTTTCATAAAAAATATAGCAATTTCATAAGACATTATGGTGTCAGTTGTACCTTGGTGTTGTCCACCAAAACTGATCAAATTTTTCATTGGAGGTGAAGGACATCGTTGAGCTAGAGCACGGCTACAAAAATACAATCAATACTGACTCCTTTGGAGAAAATATCATTTAAAGCATGGAATGACTCTTACAAAAATTGTCCTCCTTGAGAGAACCCCATGGCATTATAACCATCCTTCAGTTTCTCGTCTGATGACAACTTTTTACAAACTATGTCAATCTATAGAATGAAAACTTATACGATCATGTCGACATTCTCAATTGATGCAATGAAATATTTTTGTATTATGCTAACCAACCTGTTTATTAGCATTCATGAGGAAACCATTAATAGTATCCTTGAATAAGAAATAATTTATTGGAATGTGTGATAATTAATAAATACTTTCTCTTCTTCACCAAATTTCACACATGATGATAAATGGAAAGTCGATACGAACAACGATATTAAGAAAAAATTGAGCAACCTCTATGATGCTGCTTCCAATCATTAAAGATCGGACGTAAATTCCAGGGATTAAATCTTCCACCATGTCTTTTATTGATCCCATACTTAAGGGATTGCAACAACTGTCACCTTTATAAAGATATTATGTCAATTACGAATCTTACTCTAAAATTGCTTGCAACTACAAGAGTACCGACCCATTCCATGCCAAATGACCACTGGAATAGACGCATTGCTGTAAGAAAGCACTCTGGCTGGAAAACAAATGGCCACCAACGAAAATGCAATGAAAACAATCGACATTTTTTGACTGCGTTTAGTCGCACTTCCTCACATTAGGTTTAATAATTGATTGAAGTTCATTTCCGCGTCATTTTTACTATGAGGAGACTGGGACACAGTAACATTTTTCCTTGGCAAAAAATTGAGAAAATTTCGAAAACACAATTACAATTGATAAAATCTTCATTGTACAAACTGTCATTTATAAAATGAAAGAAACAATTATACTTTTATTACATGTTAGTTCAAATCTATTATTAAAATGTGTTGAAAGTACCAGCTCCTATTTACAACAAGCTACACTTGAAACTATTACAACTTAAATATCCATATTGAAAGTGAACAGCTTTGTTTTTAAGTTCCAAACAATCTGTTTCCTTTTAGGTGCTGTACTTTACTGTTCAGTGTTAAAAAATTTCAGCATCTATTGACATAAACTACATAAATATGCTAACTGGAGTAAATATGAAAATTGACTAACGAAATCTATTGACTTCTTCGGCTTCCCTGTATTGTTTGTCATCTTGGAAAAAGTCTTTAAGCTGCCAGGTAAGAGTTTCAAATGTTGGTCGTTCTTCGGGTGATTCAGACCAACATTTCAACATTATACCATAGAGTTTCTCTGGAACTCGTTGTGGCTTGGGCATCCTATAGGTTGAATCTGCAATTTTCTTTATTACCTAGTAAGCAAAAAATATGTAGTTTTTAAACAAGAGAGAACACATTTAGTGACAAAAAATTTTACCTCTGCATTTGACATTCCCGGATAAGGTATTCTTCCATATGTTGTGATTTCTGTCAACAGAATTCCAAATGACCAAACATCTGACTTTATCGAAAATTTATTCTCAAGGCAAGCTTCAGGAGCGGTCCACTTTATTGGAAATCTTGCTCCTTCATGAGCTTCGTATATATCCTCCTCGAGAACTCGAGAAAGACCAAAATCAGCAATCTTAACAATAAGACCTTCACCTACAAGAACATTTCTAGCTGCTAAATCTCGATGTACAAAACCGTGTGACTCAAGAAATGCCATCCCCTCAGCAACCTGTGCAGCTACGTCCACCATTTTGGGCATATTTAACACACTACGACCTTCTCCATGAAGATAATCAAGTAAACTCCCTTTTGTCATAAGTTCTGTTACAATATATATTGGTTCTTCGCGTGAACACACTGCATATAACTGAACAAGCTTTGGGTGAATAAGTTTTTTCATTATCTCAGCCTCCTTTAGGAAGGCACCTGGTTGCATGGTGCCTGGACGCAAGGTCTTAATTGCAACTTGTGTCGTAGCATTCCATAATCCTTGCCAAACTTCGCCAAAATTACCGGCTCCAAGTTTCTTGGTAAACTTCAAAGCACCCCTGTCAATCTCCCACTTGTCAACCATATTGTACGAAATGCCGACGGTCTGAGGTTTCTCTAGCTGTAAGAGGACCAATGGATATGTTTTAAATGGTCACATGATGTGTTACAAAACTAAAATAAATAGCATGGAATAACTAAAACTGCCACATCTACACTAACCTTACAGCAAGGAAGACCAAGCTTGTCACATAAACCATCAGCATCAGTTTTATAATGCTGTACTAGCTCTTGAAGGTCAGCGAACTCACTTCTTCTTGTAATAAAAAATCCTCGGTTACCATCTAAAGCTCGTATCCTGTAATGTTTAACAACATCACCATCACGAACTGAAAGAGCATAATTATTGCCAGCATTTTCACTTTCCCTAATTAAAAATGCCCCGTGCTTGTTAGCAGAGGAAAGCAAGAATTTCTGGGCCTCGTTTCGTGATATCTTTCCATAAAACCAGCTGAAATTGTAAAAATACAAAAGTAATTAATTATTTAAGCATCACTCAAAATAAATAAAAAAAATTTCATGGTTTATTGCAGTCCAGGAATGTGTGACAAAACATCTTAATTGTTGATTCCTACTGTGACAAAAACCATGACATTTTTACTGCCCTGACATGATAAACAAGATTGAAAATTTTCAATCCATTTATAAAATTATCCCTTAACTCTCTGTTGTGACACTTTCAATGTTTTATAAGGCTATAGTTTAACAATTTTTACGAAAGAAATGGCAAATTATCAGCAATTTATGATAACAAATACAAATAGAACGGCCTTCCAAGTATTGTGAAATTACTTCAAAACATCGATAAACTGTTTTGGTAAACGATAAACAAAACAATCGAGTAAAACATTAGCGCAAAAATGTTTGTTATAAAATGCTCAAGATCTTATAAAGCAAATCAAACAAAATTTTAGTAAAGTACAGACTACAAATTTGCCATAAGTTGTGTTTTGATTGAGAGAAACAAACAGGAAGTAAAAACCAAATTATTGAAACGAGAAAATTTTGTTGATATATCTCAAGGTTTTATCAAAAAATCATCATAAAAAGCGATTAAGAAGATAACTCACTCTTCAGCTTCTAAGGTCTTGACTTCGGCCACATAATTACTTGGAATATAACCTTCTTTCTTGCTTTTACGCGATCTAGCAAGCCACCATTCGTAGGCTGTATTCTCTGGTTTTACCTCTAAATAATCGCCCTTTTGGAAAGTTAAATCCTCAGCTGTTCGTGCATCATAGTCGAAAAGAGCGACAAACAAACGATAACCAGGAGTAGTTGGACTGGTTGGTTCATTTTTTCCTGGCAACCTAGGTAAAGGAGGATGAGGAACATTCTGGCGGGTCATAGTGTTAATGACATCGTTTTGAGGTGGGTTTTGTGGCGTTGTTTGTTCTTCAGGGCTAGGTCGATTATCGGCTTGTTTCTTCTTGTCCTTTCCTGCACAATTTCCCATGGATTAGCAGTCATAGAGCTACAAAAAATAAAAATTTTAAAGGAAACAAATAACTATTTCGCCGGCGTCAAGCCTTCAAGCATAATTGAGTTGTCCACTTTCTTCCGGGTGCGCGTAAATCCCACGTGACGACGCCTATCACGCGCGTAACACACGCGTGTGTTCGCGTTACAACACATCAAAAGGTGCTCACCAACGGTGTTAGCCTATATGGTATGGTATGGCCCACAAGAGTCTGAACTGTGACGTTTTTGTTTGGTACAGGATAGAGAAGTCAAAATAGGACGCTTGAATGATATTTATTTTGCTCAATTCTAAAAATGAGAGACTATATCTTCTCTTGCTCCCCTTTTATTTAAATACCAAATCTGAAAAGAATGAAAATTTTTAATTCATTGCTACAAATGATTTCCCATTCGTTGGAAACAACAATTCACAATTCTTTAATGTGAGATAACGTCATAATATTTAGCACTCATTTCAGTAAATTTAAAAAATTATACAATGACAAATGTTAGTAGAAGGTACTACGTATATATAGTTAAGATAAATACGTCCAATTACCATTTCATAATTTCATAGTAAGTAAATTATCATGATTTAATGCAGTAGTCCTGACTTCTATGGCGTCTCTCTTTTTTAATGTAAAGTCATTTAAAATATTTTCAAGTTGCGACTTGAGGGCTTTAAATGTTGGTCGCTCTTCGGGTAACGCAGACCAACATTGTAACATAATATCATAGAGTTTCTCTGGAGCTTGTTGCTGTTTTGGCATCTTATAGTTTGAATCTGCAATTTTCTTTATTACCTACCAAAAAAAAGTATGTTGTTTTTAACTCTTTCTCGACGAAATCTTTTGTTTATTTGTTTCGTCCAATGTATGTTGCAGACCTGCTACAAAGGACAATAACAGAAGAATATTATTTCAATGACAAGCAATTTATTCACCTCAGAATTCGACATTGCAGGATAAGGTGTGTCTCCAAATGTTGCGATTTCTGTCAACAGAATGCCAAACGACCAAACATCTGACTTTATGGAAAATTTATTTTCAAAACAAGCTTCCGGTGCGATCAATTTTTTTAAAAATCTTTCTTTTTCATGAGCCTCATAAATTTGCTTTTTGAAAACTCGAGAAAGACCAAAATCAGCAATCTTAACAATAAGACCTTCACCTAAAAGAACATTTCTAGCTGCTAAATCTCTATGAACTAAACCACGTGATTCAAGAAAGGCCATCCCCTCGGCTACATGTGCAGCTATCTCCATCATTTTAAACATATTTAAGGTATGACGGCCTTCTCCATGAAGATAATCAAGCAAACTTCCTTTCGTCATAAGTTCTGTTACAATATATATTGGTTCTTCGCGTGAACACACTGCATATAACTGAACAAACTTTGGATGATTTAGTTTTGTCATTTTTTCTGTCTCCTTTAGGAATACCTCACGTTGCACTGCGCCTGGTCGCAAACACTTAATTGCAACTTGTGTCGTAGCATTCCATACTCCTTGCCACACTTCGCCGAAATTTCCAGCTCCAAGTTTCCTTGTAAACTTCAAAGCATCTCTGTCAATCTCTAATTTGTTAACCATATTGTATGAAATGCCAACGGTCTGTTTGTAATGAAAATAAATAGTATAGAGTTGTTACTTTAAACATGGAAACACGCAGGCATACTTGAAAGAAAACAAGGACAATAATTAGAATAAAATATAACCTTCCTACAAGGTTGTATCAATTTACAGCAAAGGCCTTCAGAATAATGATAAAATGCGACAAGATCTTGCAGTGAATAAAATTCACGATCTTTCCACATCAAATATCCACCTCCATATAATTTTAAAATTTTATAATGTATCACTTGTTTCCCATGTCGAAGAGAAAGAACAAGAGAATTTGCTTTTGTAGTGCTCTCTCTTATCAAGAATGAGCCGTGTTTGTTGATGTCAGCTTTGAGCAGTTCCTCTGTTTCCTCACGATTTATTTTGCCAAAATACCACCTAAGAATAATCAAAACAGCCCGTAAAGCAATTAATGCGTCCCAAAACAAAAAGATTAAGTACAAACATTTACTTTGCTAATAATAAATTGATTGATGACAATCGACATGTAGAACTTGAATGAAGAAAAAAGACTTTATAATATACAAAATCAAACTCACTCTTCGGCGTCCAATGATTTTACTTCGGCTACATAATTGTTTGGGATATATCCTGTGTCACCAGTATTTCGAGATTTGGCCATCCACCAGTCAAAATTACAGTCTTCAATATTTACTTCAAGATAATCACCTTTCTTGAATGATAATTGGTCCTCTCTTTGAGCTTCATAGTCATACAAGGCAACGCATACGATCACATCTTCAGCGGTTGTTGGTGCACAATCATTTTCAACTCTATTTATACCATTGTCGGAAAATGGAGAAAACATCAAAAATGAAATCAAGCAAAAAATAGCACGAAATAACCATTAAAAATTCATAAAGAAGACAACTTACTCTTCATCTTGACTATCATCGCTGAAGAACTCGTCAAGTTGCCAACTAAGGGTTTCAAATGTTGGACGATCATCAGGTTCCTTAGCCCAGCATTTCAGCATTATGTCTTCATACAATTTATCTGGTGCATTGCTGGGTTTAGGCATACGGTAATCTTCGTTCTCAATTCTCGTTATGACCTGAAAAAGTTAAAAACATTTGATTAGATTCAATGTTTCTACGATGCATAAAAATAAATCACAATAATTGTAATTTCAAATGTCTAAAGTACAGCAATCTCCACCTCGTGGTTACTCATCCTCGGGTATGGTTTTCGACCATAAGTAACAAGTTCCGATACCAAAACACCAAAACTCCAGACGTCAGACTTAATGGAAAAGTGTTTGTTAGGCAAGCCTCTGGTGCCGTCCATCTGATGGGAAACTTCGTTCCTACTGGGGCAACGTACGGTTTTTTTACGACTGAGCGAGTGAGTCCAAAATCAGCTATTTTCACATTAAGAGTTTTACCAACTAAAACGTTTCTTGCAGCAAGATCACGATGTACGTAGCCATGTTTTTCAAGATATGCCATACCTTGGGCAACCTGTGCAGGTAATAACCAAAATTAGAAATTCTCAAAAGCACATTTTACATATAAAGAATAATACTAACCTGTGTTGCCATGTCGATAAGTTTTGGGACTTTCATCAGCTTTCCTTTTGGTCCTCTTAAATAGTCCAGTAAGCTACCATTCTCCATGAGCTCAGTGACAATGTAAATCGGTTCTTCTCGAGAACAGACGGCAAACAACTGAACTAACTTTGGATGACTTAATTTCTTCATTAGCTCGGCTTCTTCTAAAAACTTGGAGGGCAACATTGTTCTCTCCTTTAATGTCTTAATTGCAACCTTTGCTGTGTTATTCCACAGTCCTTCCCAGACCTCTCCAAAATCTCCTGCGCCAAGGCATCTCTTGAATGTCAACTCGTTTTTGTCAATCTCCCACTTGTCGATCTGCTCAGTAAAGAGTTTTCATATTATAGAGAAATTGGCAAGAAAAATCGTCAATGAACAACAAAAGAAAAATTTCACCAAGGTCATAGCGTGTAACCATGGAAACGATAACAATAACTAACATAAAATATTACCGTTTTACAAGGTTGAACTAATTTACAACAAAGGTCCTCAGCATCGTGAAGATGAAAAGCAACAAGATTTCGCAGTGAATTAAATTCTTGATGTTCCCACATAAAATATCCACCTCTGGCTGACTGCTTGATTGTATAATGTTTCACTTCTCCGCAATTTCGAAGAGAAAGAGCGAGAGCACCTGCTATTGTATTGCTTTCTCTGATCAAGAAAGAGCCATGTTTGTTGATGTTAGCTTTGAGCAGCTTCTCTGTTTCGTCGCGATTTATTTTACCAAAATACCAGCTAAGAGAAACCAAAATTGCACATAAAATGATTAAAATGATCAGTACATAAACCCACATCTGCTCTATTTGTTACAAAAACTTACATACTCTAATTTTAACGGATATTATAAAAACAATTGAAAGCAATCCAAGACTTGGAGGAACAAATCATTCGAATTAATAAGCTTTTACTGACCAATGTCCGTTCACCAATAAATTTTTGACAGAATTATTTTTTGTACTGATTAAGGCCAAGGGGCGAGATTTGCACTTAAAGACAGAGGTTTGATATTACATGATAACAGCATTTTTCTTAAAGAACAGAGCATTTTATTTTTCATTTTGTATAATTTTTGAAATGCTGGCACATTAAAAGCGTGACTCTTCTATAACTCACTTTTCGAGTATTCTTTCTCTAAACACACCATTAGCGTCAGAAAGGTTGTTAAAGCAAAAACTTTGTGATTTTATCAAGCCCACATTGAGCTTTGTAAACAAAATGACTCAATCTCTGACACAACACAATGCAGTGCTTCAAATTTTATAAGAACGCTCTTTGAACCAAACAAATATGCAAAATTGTTTGATCAAATAAAATTTGAATTGAATTAAAAAAAATTTGATGTTAATTTGTCATGATTGATTCAGATTACAAAGGCGATTACAGACAGTTTTTGAATTCCTGAATGAACAAAACACTTACGGGCCCAATAATCTTTCGATGGTTGATTTTAAAAATCTCTGAAAAGCCTTAAAGAGCACAAATGTACATCAACATTATACTGTTTTATGAGCTATGTTATCTGAATTAGACGGACATTATAACACGGTTGACACATATATAATGTAGACTTAGACATTGTCATTTGATTACGATTAACTGCTCAACAAACCCCCAGCTGTGCAACGTTATGCATCAACAATTTAGTCAAACTTCCTTTTTCGCAATATCTGTATGCGACATAAACTTGTCAATTTTTCGATTAATCATTAAAATGTGACATAGAAGATAACTCACTCTTCATCTTCTAAGGTCTTGACTTCTTCAACAAAATTCTTCGGAATACAACCTTCTTTCTTTGTTTCACGAGATCTAGCTTGCCACCATTCGCAAGCTGTATTCTCTGGTTTTACCTCTAAGTAATCGCCCTTTTGAAAAGTTAACTCTTCTGCTGTTCTGGCATCATAATCAAACAGGGCGACAAACAAAAGATAACCAGAAGGACAAGTACGTTTATTCTCCCCAGTCGGTAAAGATGAAGGTAATTGATGTGTCGTAGTGTCTGTGTGATCGGTTTGTGTTTCATTTTCAACCTGCCCAGGTCGTCTCTTCTTTTTTTTCTTCCCGTTCTTTCCTAAAGATTTTGGCATGGAACAAATTTTTATCGCAATGGCAGATTTAAAGTACGTCAACATAAATTGGTGCTGCTCATTTTTTGATGTATTAACATTTCAAATACCTTAGAGACAATTCACGATTGTTCAAATTTTTTCTTTAGAAATACAAAACTAATTGTTTTGTTTTCAAAATATTTTAGTTTTAAAATTACATAGCAACTATAATTTTTTTAACCTTACGCTGGACTGCCACTGTTTATCGGTCATAAACTTACAAAAAACGTATACATTTAGAAGAAAAGAAATAAAAATTTTGCTTGTGTTAATTTGTTGTGCACTTTCTTCCAGGTGCGCCAAAATTCCACGTGACCATTCCTATCATGCGCGTGGTTGCGCAAGAGCACATCAGTGTTTAGTTAGTAGACTAATATCTAGTCAAAAAGTGCTCACCTGATGGTCATACAGCTGACGAAATTGTTACAAAGTAAGTAATGATTGCAATTGGAGGTTTTGTTCAAATTTTATTTGCATACAAAATCTACGTTCAAAAACAACAGTTCACAATTCTTTAGAGGAAAAAAACGTTGTAATATTTAACACTCTTTCTAGGAAGTTAAAAAATTATACAATGATAAATGTTCGTATATGGTACTACCACAGAATATGGATATACAGAAGGGTCACTCGTGTCGGAACCTTTGATGTTTTTTTCCTCATTCATGTCGTGCCGCGCATGGTGGCCGCCATTATTCCAGTAATTAGGGTTTTTTACTTGTTCCCAACCACTGAAATGTCCTAATGACATTTCTTATAAGTATTGAAATAATTTCGATTTCATTACGAAGAAATGACATTATGTTATTCAGTGGTTGGAAGCAAGTGTAAAACCTCAAATTTCTGGAATAATGGCGAGCGTGCGGACGCTATGCACACTTAAGTGACCCTTCTGTATAATTATTATTTTGTGTTACTACATATAGTTAAGATAAATGCGTCACATAATTAATCACATCACATTTTCATGATAAGCAAATAATCCTGACACAATGCAGGGGTTATTTTATCATTCTAGAAACTAATTTATTACGCTCAAGCACTGTCACATGATCCTTTTTAATTATCTTATTGTATTAACTTCGTCTGCTTCTTTGTATTGAGTGTCATCACTGAAGAACTCGTCAAGTTGCCAACTAAGGGTTTCAAATGTTGGACGATCATCAGGTTCCTTAGCCCAACATTTAAGCATTATGTCTTTATACAATTTAATTGGTGCATTGCTGGGTTTAGGCATACGGTAATCTTCGTTCTCAATTTTCGTTATGACCTGAAAAAGTTAAAAACATTTGATTAGATTCGATGTTTCTACGATGCATAAAAATAAATCACAATAATTGTAATTTCAAATGTCTAAAATACAGCAATCTCCACCTCGTGGTTACTCATCCCCGGGTATGGTATTCGACCATAAGTAACAAGTTCCGATACCAAAACACCAAAACTCCAGACGTCAGACTTTGTTGAAAACGCATTTGTTAGACAAGCCTCGGGTGCCGTCCATTTGATAGGAAACTTGGCTCCTTCATGAGCCACATACTCGTCTTCCACCACTGAACGACTAAGTCCGAAATCAGCTACTTTTACGTTAAGAGTTTTACCAACTAAAACGTTTCTTGCAGCAAGATCACGATGTACGTAGCCATGTTTTTCAAGATATGCCATACCTTGGGCAACCTGTGCAGGTAATAACCAAAATTAGAAATTCTCAAAAGCACATTTTACATATAAAGAATAATACTAACCTGTGTTGCCATGTCGATAAGTTTTGGGACTTTCAACAGCTTTCCTTTTGGTCCTCTTAAATAGTCCAGTAAACTACCATTTTCCATGAGCTCAGTGACAATGTAAATCGGTTCTTCTCGAGAACAGACGGCAAACAACTGAACCAATTTTGGATGAATTAATTTCTTCATTAGCTCGGCTTCTTCTAAGAACTTGGAGGGCAACATTGTTCCCTCCTTTAATGTCTTAATTGCAACCTTTGCTGTGTTATTCCACAGTCCTTCCCAGACTTCTCCAAAATTACCTGCGCCAAGGCGTCTCTTGAACGTCAACTCGTTTCTGTCAATCTCCCACTTGTCGGCATTTTTTGACGAAATACCTCGCGTTGTAGGCATATCGATCTGTTAAACGTGGGAAGTTTCGATGTGAGAGACTAATTCTTACAAAATGATTAAATTTCACCAAGATCATAGCGTGTAACCAAGGAAACGAAAGCAATAACTAACATAAAATATTACCTTTTTACAAGGTTGTAATAATTTACAACAAAGGCCTTCAGCATCATGAAGATAAAAAGCAACAAGATTTTGCAGTGAATCAAATTCGTGATTCTTCGATATGAAGTATCCGCCTCTGTCTAACTGCTTGATTTTATAATGCCTAACTTGTTCCCCATCTCGAAGAGAAAGAGCAAAAGTATTTGGAACAGTTTCGCTTTCTCTGACCAAGAATGACCCATGTTTGTTGATATCATCTGTTAGCAATTTCTGCGTCTCTGCACGATTTATTTTGCCGAAATACCAGCTAATAGAAAAGAAAAATTGCACGTCAAGTGATTAAGTCAAACCCCAGGGTAAAAATGGTCATTTATCTCACTTGGATACGGCCTGTGCTTACTGATGTCAAAATAACATATTTAAAATTGCCTTTTCATCGTTATCAGCGCAAGATAAATGAACAAAGAAATAATGCATAAAATTATGTAATCACCTTAGATGCTCATATTGTGTCTGGCACAAACAAACATGGCTAAATAATATTCTTTATATTAGTTAGTACATTAGGAATATCGTGGGAAATACGTTAATTCTGTTCGTTCAGCTGCATTTTGAAAACGGATGTTCGGTGTTTGCAAATCGTCCATACATCAAACTATTAAATGCTTATACTGTACATTAAAGTTTATACTATATAATTCCTCAGTAAGTTAAATATTAACCGCTAATTTGTCGTCATAATTACAACAAATAAAATGAATTTACAAACTGTGAAATCGCATATGAAAGAAGTCTTTTAAAAAGAATAATTAAAATACAAAATCAAACTCACTCTTCGGCGTCCAATGATTTTACTTCGGCTACATAATTGTTTGGGATATATCCTGTGTTACCAGTATTTCGAGATTTGGCCATCCACCAGTCAAAATTACAGTCTTCAATCTTTACTTCAAGATAATCACCTTTCTTGAATGATAGATCTTCCTCTGTACGAGCGTCATAGTCGTACAAAGCAACGTACACGATCACGCCTTTAGGTGTTTCTGGTGGAATTGCTGCATCAACATCGGTCGTCCTTGTTTCATTGCCATTACTGTCGCTAATTCTCTCGAGCTTTTCCGGCTCTTTCTGCGTTGTATCGCCTCGTGGCGTAGATTCACAACAACCCATCTTCAATCGAAGCTATGGATGGGCATGAACACAGACAGAAAGCAAACGAGCGACGTTTTCACACAAATTTTTATAAAACTTCCGGGTCGTTTATAATGTAAAGAATGTTGATGGCGATCATTTGATATACCTTCTTGTCACAAAGAGTGCAAGTGAAATTTAATAACCTTTTGAAACAATGCAAGATGATTGGTCGACAAATGAATGGATTTGTTAAACTTCGCGTGGATAGACAACGCTTCAGGAAATATTGTAATATTTCGATTTACAACTGTAAAAGACAAATGAAAATAGAACAACGTTGTCAAAAAATCGTTACAATCGCGAGCGAACCGCTATTCGATCACCATATTTTTTTTGCACGGAAATTCACTTCCTTGTCGTGAAGACCACAAGTGCGGTATTCTTAATTTGGGTAGCACAGTTGCTATGCTTTTTGCACGTAGATAAACACAAACAAAAATTTGAATAATTTCTCGTAGAATTTTTCGTATTTTACGATTTTTTGCTTTCAAATCTTGCAATTTCGCTGTATTCGAGATGCTATGATATCAATGGTGTCTTCATTATCTACCTTTCTTTGTTTCCATTCAAAATACATAATAAAATAAGTGTTATTTTACACACTTTGTGTCCTTGTGTATCAGAGAAAGAAGAACTTCAAGTTTTCAATAAATTATTATTATCACATAATGGCAGAAAAGCAGTAACGCCACTTCTCATTTGATGTTTTGTAAAATTTTCTACTGACTTGCACTGAAAATGGAGCGTTTCAAAAGGAACGCTTGAAAGAAGATGAGGAAAGAAATTAAAAGGAATGATTGTAAATGAGCTGCAAACGAGTGGCGTGAATGTTGTGAAAAATATGCAACAATAAGGAAGTCAACTGAAACACATCGGGAAAAAAAATTGAGGAGTTAAAATGCGTCCTGGTAAAAATTCCTTGTTTCTACCTTGTTTTGAACAGTAACGGTTCTGCTCAATCTAACTTGGGCTGGTCGCACGAAGAGTAGAAGGTAAATCACTACATGTCAAACGAATAACTCGCTATTTAATGCATATAATACGGTGGCCCATAAGGGACAAGACTTCTTTGTACAAAGCTTACGTCCAGTTTCTACGGAGAAATAGACCTCCGTAGAAATGGCAAATAGCGGCTCTAGATGTCAAATATATCAAATTCTAACAATTCAAAATGGCGGCGGAAACCACGAAGTGAAACTTGTATAGCGAAAGTGAGGCCTTTAAATGGCGCGTTTTTGTAGCGAATGTGGCACGGAATTTGCTAATGAGGCAGCAAAATACTGTCATAACTGCGGAAAGGGATTTTCAGGTAAATTTAATCATAGTATCATAACAGTGATCACTGATCGGTGGTCTGTGAAGGATTTGATCATACATTATTTCATTATGTGTGTGATTCATCCCCTGTGTGAGCTATTATATACTTTTGTGATATCGGGGACATATACCAAACATTTAGAAAAATATTTCAATTAATATTCATTTCTTGCATACCAATTTATTAAAAACTTATCATGGTATTACGATGTGTGTCCGCACATTAAAAAGAAAACTACAAAAATATAACTTGAAGAAAAGAAATGTCAATTTTGATGAGCAATATCTCAGGGATATAAAAACAGAAATTGAAGGAGCTGGACAAATTTCTGGTTACCGTAAAATTTGGCATCCATTCGAATAAATTATCATTTACATGCCCCACGGAGTGTTGTGGCTAGAGTTCTCCATGAACTAGATCCCCAGGCTAGTAATGAAAGAAAGGGACACAAACTTAAACGGCGAAAGTACTTGTCTTATGGCCCTAATCACTGTTGGCATATTGATGGTAAATTTCAGTTTACTTGAATATGTTAAATATTTTTGTCTATTTCATGATGCATACCAGTGGTAGTAGCCAAGGGTAAAACACCTCCAAATGTCATTTACATATGTTATGTACTGTTTGATAATACCAACATTTTCAAGGTTCATACATGAAGCTTTAGTTTAGGAAATATAGAGGGGGGGGGGGTAGAGTTTACTCATGTCCTCACCAGCACAACTGATGCATAGATCTTTGTAAATAAATATGAATTCCGTACAGGATATGATAAGCTCAAACCCTTTGGCTTCCCTATACATGCAGCAATTGATGGCTTTAGTAGGAAGGTTTTGTGGTTGGAGATATGCAAGTCAAACAACTCTCCAAAAGAGCCTACAAAATTGTATTTGGATTGTGTGATCAAACATGGTGGATGCCCCTTGCTAACTTGTTCAGATTATGGAACAGAGAATGGTGATATTGCAGCCATTCAATGTTATTTTCATGATGATGAGAATGCTCATAAATATGGAACATCCACTAGAAACCAAAGGATTGAAAACTGGTGGTCACATTTTCGTAAGTCTTGTACTGGTAAGTAGGATCTATAACAACAATATTAGAAATATGTAAGATGCAGTAACTTTATAAATTAAAAAAGCTGGTGTGAAAAGTTAGTGATAGTAGTTGTAGGTTAATTGTGATCACATATTTTAACTTTTGCAGATTGGTGGATTAACTTTTTCAAAGATTTACGGGATAGCGGATCAGTGAACTTTGAAAGCGCATTACACAGACACTGCTTATGGTTCTATTTCCAAGATGCAATTCAAGCATCATTAAACAAAATAAAAGTGTACTGGAATACGCATTTATATTAGGTCATCTTGCCATGAAACCACTCCAGGAGTTCCTGATTTATTATTTTATTTGCCAAAAGATTCTGGGGGTGTTAACTGTCTTGTTAGGGTCAGTCAGGATAAAATTGATGAAATGAAATTGCGTCACTTCGAAGACACCAATGACGAAAGTTCATATCAGGAATACTTTCAGTATGTTATGGATCACGAAGGTGTCAGATATCCAGACAGTCCTAAGGAGGCCTTAGATTTGTTTTGCTATTTAATGGAAAAAGCTGGAACTGAAGATTCCTTTTGTGATGAAATTTAATGTTCATTACATATGCCAAAATGCATTGCTCTTTCATAACAAGAGCTTTAGAGTACTAACATGAAAGATTGATAACATGCTTCAAATTGGATTCATTGTTACCTAATGTTTTTTTAACAAAACAATTAAATATGAACTTAACTATTAACTAATAATGCAGTTGTTACCAATAAAAATTATGAATTTTTTTACGGTTAGCACTCCCATTGATTGCTTTTCCCCTGTAAATGATAAAATACAATTATCATTATTAAATGAAGCCAAATCCCTTTCCTTCGATAAGTGCAGAGTCAATTGCCTCTTTTAGTTGGTTGTAACTATCTCTATAATGAACAGGCAATGTAATGATCACAGATAAAAATATATTTTTGAGTAGGGTTTTCCTAATTCCTGTTTGTACTCACTCAATACAAACTGTGCTGCACTGCCAGGTAACTTCTGTACAATAGAATGGTCTGGATAGAGAAGAGTGTAGGAAGTATACTTATTGAACTATCTAAAATGCTTCAAATGTTTATTTATTGCAGCCTTCATTAAGTCAGCTGCATTACATTGAGATGAGACAATTAGGGGTAGTGTTCTTCCCTTCAGCCTTTTTAACCTTTTCCCTTCAGCTTCTACGACACCAACTTGAATTTTAACATCCTCGTGTTGTTTTGGTTTCTTACACAATAGAATTTTCTTAGCTCGACTCACTTGCATTCTTTTCCGATATTCGTTGAATGTTAATGTTGACATTGGCCTAGTGGAGTCATTTGGCAACAGCAAACTTGAACTTAAACTGGATTATAATGTTGGCTCATCAGTGCTTGGTGTTGAAGGTAGGTTTTCTGATTAGAAAAATTTGAAAAGGAAATATTGGTGGTATGTAATGTAAATGCATCAAAGAGAAATATGTGTATAAATGCAAATTAAAATTACTAGCCTTTCGCAAAATTTGCCCTATTAACATGTAAAATGAAAATACATTATAAGTTTTCAGAATCTTTTACATAACCACAATAATATTTACGCACAATTAATATCCACAATTCATAATTGATGATTCTATTGATTCATAATACAAAAAATTTAAGAAGAAACGTTTTATTACCTGCAGATGTTGGTTTCCCGCAGTTATGACAGTATTTTGCTGCCTCATTAGCAAATTCCGTGCCACATTCGCTACAAAAACGCGCCATTTAAAGGTCTCACTTTCGCTATACAAGTTTCGCTTTGTGGTTTCCGCCGCCATTTTGAATTGTTAGAATTTGATATATTTGACATCTAGAGCCGCTATTTGCCATTTCCACGGAGAAGGTCTATTTCCACGGAGAAGGTCTATTTCTACGGAGAAGGTCGATTTCTCCGTAGAAACTGGACGTGAGTTTTGTATAAAGAAGTCGTGTCCCTTATGGGCCACCGTAATATAAGACACTAAGACTTAAATGAGGATATAAGACATTCATCGTATCGATGAAAGTTATCCATGTGATAAATTATTCATCTTTCACGCAGCAGGCCTCTATATATTTTAAAGAGGCAGATCATTTGAAAAAATTGACACCTTCAAAACAATTTCATTTAAACTACATGTACCAACAAATATGTATAGTTTTACTGAGTATTTGTAGAATGGACCAGAATTTTGACGTTAGCAAAAAAAGAAGAAATATTCAAACGCCTTGAATAGATGCAACAAAAAAGAAGATAAAATACTGCATACATTATAAAATATCGTCATAAAGTAAATGATTACGAGATGCAAATAAAAATATTCCAACTCGGAAGTTTTGGCTGCGTCAGAAAAACGGAAATCATGCTAAGATATATCGTATTTCCTCTTACGTTGGATAGAGTGTTTGCTTACTCAAAGAAAATTAATATGTGATCACAATATATAATCCCTGCCAAGTTACTACTCGTCTCAAAACAAGAAAGGAAGGTCTGGTTTGCGTTTTAAAGCTTCTACAAAGTAAATCAATATTTTTGTCCCGGAGAAATAATGGGTAATATACTTCCGTTGGATAGTAGTAAGAAAGAACAATGCGAAGGTATTTTAAATTATGTCATTGTAAAGAATTTTTTATATTTTCATATGAACAAGAACATTAATTGCAGTTGATAATACATCTTGACAAAGATTACTTTATATAAATTTATCAATGATTTAGAAATTTTCTTTAAATTCTCGCGAGTTTTATCAGCAACATTTATTCCATGTTGATACGACGAGCCCTACAAGTCTGAACACGTCCTATATGCTTAGACTGTAGTCGCGTTCTTAGACATGAGCAAAAAAGCAGTACATTTTTTTCAACTTCTTTACAAAAATCAATCAAAAGCCAAATTTGGCATTTTAATAACGATTTTAATTTCAAAAACGTTCAAAAATAGTCAATGCGCAACATAGATAGTGTATAAGAGTTAAGAGGAAGTGAAAGGATACTCGCAGTAGTCATATTTTTTTCTCACCATGTAAGTAGTCATGTACTTATATATATAAGCCCTTATACCATCCAATAATATCATGACAACGCATTTTATACCATCCAATATCAACTCAACTACTAACAAACCAATCAGACGCTCCAAACGCCTACAAAATCTTTGTAAATAATATATTCTTACATTCTGACGAAGGTTCGAAGCACCGAGTTGAAAGCTTAATATAAATTTCAAAATAAAAATCCAGGGAATCCTTAATATTATCATATATATATATATATATATATATGTTAATTAATAATAAATGAATAAACCAAAAATAATTGCTAATTATGTATTGTAACTTGTAAGTATCTTATGTTCAGAATGCGTCTTGTAAAGATATAGATCTATTGTGTACATTACATTAATTAGTGGCTTAATTAAACACATAACTAGAATGATCTGTCAGATATCATTGTTATGACACATATATAGCATGCACTTCATGTTGCTCAATTATATTTCTTTCAAAACTTGAGTGTCAAATTACTGAGTCGAGCGTGTTTTGTCTTTTTGCAGCATTTCACCAGTTTTCACAAATGCAATAAGTTAAATTCTGGCTTGCAAAGTGTATGAATTTCAAAAATTGTGCAGTAGATAGACCAAGATAGAATCATGAATTTTTTTCCTGTTTTTCAATAGAAATTGCCAAGGAATTTGTGGCGACATTCAGCGGATATTATGTGCTTTATTACGGTGTGGAGTTAGTAAAAATGAAAATGAAAGAGATTGAGAATGATGCGAACTCTGAAGATGAAAGTGAGAAAAAACTGATGTATAGAGAGGTATGTTGAAAAACAAGTCGATGCTTTTATGGAAACGTTTCAATCTACAGCGAGTGTGCCAAGCAAGGGGAAAGGAGCGAAAGTTTCATTCGCGCGACTGGCTGTCACCAAATAATTAAAGCCATCCCATTGTCTGTAGTTTATAACTCTTTCACTGAAAAGAAGTAAATGTACAAAGAAAGATCAAATGAGAAAACTTGAAATTTAGCAAAGCCGATTGTTCACTTCACTAATTTAATAAATCTATGATTTAGTAGTACATTCAAATTATGCAGAAAATGTAAACGTTGCATGTATGAAATGAAAAAACATGTTGAAATGTAAAAATATTATTTAGGATGCTTCCTGCAAGAATCCTCTCAAAATGGGTCACCTGAAAAAAAAGGGTGCAATTGTAAAGAATTGGAAAAATAGATATTTTGTTGTAAATCCTGATTTTTCTGTATCATATTATGAAACAGAAGATGTAAGTTAAGTTCATATTTGGTTTTTACTCTTTATAAAATACAAATTAGATAAAAAGAGCCATTTTAGGCGTACAACCAAGGCTGCAAACCTAAAGGTAATATAATACTTGCTGGCTATGATGTCGAAGAAAATGCTGATGATGCAAATCTGCAGAAATTGAAACAGCTCGCTAAAACACTTGGCATTAAGGAAGAATCATTACCTTCACCTGAAAAAACTCCACCCAACACCTTAATCCTGTCGCATGACAGAAGGCGCAAGTATTACATCACGGCCAAAAGTGATGAAGAAAAAATGGATTGGGTTGAAATGTTCAAGACTTGTGCAAGGAAGACGAAAGGTATGCTTATTTTTTTATATTTTTGGAGCTTAATTAAAGGTGGTTTTTACGCGTTGTGTCAAGGATTCAAGAACAAAGATCCCGTAGGAAATGCAGCTTTTACAACTGCCTATCGCCAAGCATGCAAGGAGTCTAATTGGTATGCAAAAAAGGTTGCTGGAGGGACGGAAGAACAGGTATAAAAGGAATAATATAACGGGGTCCAATGTGTACATATTGGGATAGCTGGAAAATGTCAAGTTGATTCATGTACGAGACGAATATGATCAACTTTGGATTATCTCATTTTTTGAAGATAAGAAAAACAACTGTTTTTCTTTCACATGAATACTTAACTCATGCTTATAATTTAAGTAAAAATTATTGTAAATTCTTGCGAAATGATCACGAGCAAAACATGAAATTTTTGAGTCATAATCTCAAATTGAAAAGTCATACGCCAATGCAACAGTGAAAGATTTTCAAAATTATCAAAGTTTACAAATTTCTTTTCCAGATATTGAGTGAAACATTGGTTGAACTGGTCAATGATCGTGTATTGGCAAGTGTGTACTATGATCTTGTTGATAACTTCACCATTAGAAAGAAAGTCAGAAAACAGGTGAGTGCTTGGAGATTATTTCTTCTTCGTCAATGAAATCATGTATAGGAGTAGCATTTCTTCTTACGAGAAGAGTTAAACAGGAAATAAGACTGCAGTTTTACTCGTAGTGTTACTATAAGTTTGTAGTGTTACTACTATAGCGTTAGTTCTAACCCTCCATTTAAAGAGGAAAAAACAGTTGAAGTTATTAATTGTCAACAGAAAATGCCGGGGCAGGGCATCAGATAAGCGTTGAAATCTTTTTTTTTCTTAAAGGTTGTGAAGATTCTCGAATCAACGGTTCTGGGCATTGTAAAACCAGCATATCAAGGTCTTGTCGAAACAACGGAGAAGATGAAAAATCCTATTGAAAAAACATTCAACGAAAAAAAGGAAGACATAATAAAAGTATATGTGCAGATAAAAGAAAAATTGACGGGTTAGTAGTAACCCTGCTTTAGTCAAATCAATTAGTCCTGAATGAATTAAAATTTGAAATGCTTGCTTTCAGATAAGATTGAAGCAATTTTGAGCAAGATAGGAACAGAAATCTCTAAAGATGCCCATAGACTGTATGAAGATTTGAAGGAATTGGTAGGATTTCATAAAATTACCCGATTTTATGACCTTAGTTTGTTAATAAGGAAGAAATAAAGTCTTGGCTAAATGCTTTCCGGGAATTTATGTTTTTAGACAGTACGGACAACAAAAGAGATGAGAAACGAATGCGTAGTTCGTCTGATGGATAAATTGATTGAACAAACAAATAGCAGCAAGAATGTTGTGGAAACCATGAAAATGGTAAAGACTAAGAGAAAAGAAACATTTAAAGTTGTCATGTTTGCTAAGGAGTTTAATTTAAGAAAGATTGCTCACACGTCAAAAATGGCAAGTCAACATCTCACCATTCACATGCAAATGGTTATATTTTCAGCATTATAGAAAGTTTGATGGTGTATTGCACAGAACAAATGCCTGGGATCATTGGTACAAAGTATACAATATGGAAAAAGAAATTATAGGCATTATTGCTAGATATGAGAAGACGTTTGATGAAAGTGGAAATTATAGTTACGTTTATAAATCTCATGACATGTTGGCATGGGTAAAAACATATTTTATTTGACAATTAAATATAAACCTTAAATGTTCATTTTTTGTAAGTTGAACAGAAATTGTGTTGAACAGAAATAATGTTGTTTAGGTGGCAGATGCAGCCTTTAACACTTTTGAATTAACTTTGGAGACTTACAGCAAAGAAAATGACATCTATGAAGATAACACCAAAGCATCAAATATGATGAAGAAAGTCAAAGATGAAGTTCTTCTGGTCGGTAGAAAGTTATCTAACAAAACATTTGTGCGCATGTGTAACATTCATAACATGTGAATCTTATTTTATAGAAATACGATTATGACTCACAAGTAACCCCACATGAAATAAGCTTCAAGATTACAACGGATATTGTTAAAGAATACTTTATCACGAAAGCTGAGCCAATTGTAAAAGAGGTGAGGATGTCTAAAGGATTGCGCTCAATTTTGATATAATAATGAACAACTAGTCTTTTATGTAATTTCAGATCTTAAAACCCCTAGAGAGCTCTATACCAAAACCTCTCGAAGAACTCATTAGCATTAGAGAAAGATATCATCTTTATGTTGAAGAAATTGTGAAAAACTTAATAAGACGAGGTACTTGTATGATGAGATATTTGTAGTTATAAGGAGAGACATTTCTTTAGTAAGATTTAAGATAAAACACTAACGTCTTTGTGAGAGAAAAAACCTAATTTCTGTTGATATAAGATAAGATCTTATTTGTATCTTTGAAATTTTAACTTTCAGAAGAGAAAAGGAAAGTTTCCGATGAAAAGAACGAAATTTCAAAAAAGAGTAATTCAGAAAAAAAGAAAGCAACTTTAGAAGAGAAGAATGGCACTTTGCAAGAGGAAAGTGAAGTTTCAGAAAAAAAGAGCGAGGCTTCCGGTGAGAAGAATAATGCTCCAAAAGAGAAAAGTGAAGTTTCAAAAGAAAAAAGTGAAGTTTTAGAAGAGAAAAGTGAAGTTTTAGAAGAGAAAAGTGAAGTGTTAGAAGAGAAAAGTGAAGTTTTAGAAGAAAAGATTGAAGTTTTAGAAGAGAAAAATGAAGTTTTAGAAGTAAAAAGTGAAGTTTCGGAAGAGAAAAGTGAAGTTTCAAAAGAGAAAAATGAAGTTTCAAAAGAGAAAAATGAAGTTTCGGAAGAGAAAAATGAAGTTTTAGAAGTAAAAAGTGAAGTTTCGGAAGAGAAAAGTGAAGTTTCAAAAGAGAAAAATGAAGTTTCAAAAGAGAAAAATGAAGTTTCGGAAGAGAGAAATGAAGTTTCAGCAAAAAAAGAGTGAAGTTTTAGAAGAGAAGAGTAAAATTTCTTAATAAATAAGGAAAGCTTCTGAAGTATGTTTGAGAACGCACATAACAGATTTACATGGACCAGTTCGCATTAAAATCATCAAACGCTAGCTAAAGAAGAAATGTACTTTTCTCAAGCCTGGAATCGATATAACAATACAAAATAAATGGTTGTATATAAAGAGGCATAAAAATAAGAAATTTTTACAAGGATACATTTTAATCCTTTGTTTTTTTAGAGTTACTTTCAGTTGGCTTTCTTATTGTTTCATATTTGTCTTCCCGATGTCACACTAACTTTCAATCATACTTCCTAATTTTTCTGTATTCAATGCAAGCGATCTAATTAAGACGTTTATTAGCTAATGCTGTTTTTTAGCCAAGACATCGCTCCACTTCCAGTGCAAATTGGAAGAATTTTGTTGCTAAAATTAGTTTCAAAAACCAATCACGTGGTAAGAATATAAAATATTTGAGCTCTGCTTTCTAAATGACACACATTTTCATTTTGAAGGATGCACTTCTGATTTACAAGGAGACAAAGTGTATCAGTAAAAAACACATTTTATTGATACATGATGTATTGAAAAATATTTTTTCAATGAAGTGATTATGAAATAGGAATTGTTATTTTCTAGCTCGTAAGTTTTGACTGGAAATGGCAAACGGATATCATGCTGAGATATATTGCATCTACGTCTGTGTGATGCTTTTTATATGTCTCTGTTTATTCAAATAAATATATTGTGTGATCACATAAACATCAACGTCGAGTCTCTACGCGTCTCAAAACAAGTGCAGGGCTATAATATCAACTGCAACGTCATTTTGTCTTGGAGAAATAATGGGTAACATAATACCCTTTGATAGTAGCAAAAAAGAAGAATGCGAAGGTATTTAAAATTATTTCATTGTAAAGAACTATTTTTTATTTTCATATGAACAAGGACATTAATTCCGATCGAGTTTGCTTCAGTTAACTATTGATTTTGAAACTTTTTTGAATTCTTGCAAATTTCGTCGTGACTATTTATTCAATGGTGACGTAAAAAACTTTTTGAGTCTGACTAGGTCGTGTATTTTAGCTTGGTGTTTTAACAATAGCAAAAAAGTACTCGTTCTTTTCAAATTCTAAAGGGAGGGTCTTAGACTATCATATATCATTACCTAACTATTTCAGGTATTTATAAATGTTCTTTGTAAGAAATAATAAAGCACTTTGTAAGAAGGGACAAACCGTCTACATATAAGAAAAGATACAACAGCTCTTTCACTACTTCAATCGATATTTCTTTGAAATCTGATAATTTACCAAGAATTTTTGTTCTAAGAATGTAATACAGTGCATATAATTAAGATATTTGTGAATGGTGAACTTTAGTTGCTTGTACGAAATTGTAAATAGGATGATTTGTCATATATGGTTGCTATTTCCCATTTATGGAATGGAAATGTGTTATATGAAATCAATTTTCTGATTCTTATATCATGATTCTGGTTGTATTATTATAACAATTTAATACCTTGCTATTGTTATTCAAATCATTTTGTGCTTGGGCTGTTGCAACTTCTTGTTTTGAGTTGATAGATTTATGGCTTATACAGCGTAAGGTTTTACTTATTCTTCATTTGATTTTTAATTTATCTACAATATTAATTTGGATCTTTATGAATGGTTTGTTTATATTTTGGTTCACGAACCAAATGACAAAGAAATAAGATGCAACGATATTTCTGCATTCAATCAATCATGCATAAAATTGTAAGAAAACTCTAGAAATATGTCCGAAATGGCCGAGACTAACTGTTTGTCTTTTGCAGCACTTGACTAGTTTTCACAAATGCAATAATTTCTTAAGTTAAATAATATCTTAAGATGTAAAAACTGCTGAAAATTGTGCTTTAGATCATAATCAAATTGCTAAAGACACTTTGCTTCTTTTACACTAGAAATTGCCAAGCAGTTCGTGGCAACATTTGGCGGATACTATGTGCTTTATTACGGTGTCGAGTTAGTAAAAATGAAAATGAAAGAGATTGAAAATGATGCGAACGCTGAAGAAGAAAGTGAGAAAAAACTGATGTACAGAGAGGTAGATTAGTGAGTTCAAATATAACATAAGTTGCGTGCTAACGACAAGTCATGTATTTGAAGTTTCGTACTCGTAGTCAAATGTGAAGCTCCTCAATGTCAATAAACGAGGGCAGGTGGTAAGCCCCAGTAGTTTAACTATGATAAGGCATTCCAAGAATGAATGCCGACCTTTGAACATTTGAAAAATGTAAATACAGTAGAAATTTCTGGAGGCGTTTAAGGCTAAAGGAGTGGTGTCAAGCATAAAACAAGCCTTTCAGTTTCGGAATTCGTGCTTTTTTGCACAATTTCTAAGAATATCTATGACGATAAATTTCTCAACTGAGATTATGTTAAAAAAAGGTACAATAAAGAATTGCCTAAAGGATTTTAATCCTTGATTTGGTAAACCTGCAGCTTAGTAAATCCAATTATTGAAGGGAATTTGAACTTGTATGAAAGTGATATATCTCAATGCTTTACATAAAAACACATAAAAAACATCATTTCAACAACATTTCAGGATGTTGCCATCACAGATCCTCTTACAATGGGACATCTCACAAAAAGAGGAGGAATAATAAGAAAACAGTGGAAAAGAAGATATTTTGTTGTTAATCCCGACTTTACTGTGTCATATTATGAATCAGAAGAAGTAAGTTCATTTTATTCTTGGTTTTTACTCTCTAAATACAAATTAAATTTCAAAAGAGTTATTTTAGACGTACAACCAAGGCTCCAAACCTAAGGGTAAAATAATACTTGCTGGCTACAATGTCGAAGAAAATGCTGACAATGCAAAACTAGAAAAGATGAGAACGGTCGCTGAGTCACTTGGTGTGAGGGAAGACTCAATAACTTTGCCTACAAATGCTCCACCCAACACCTTGGTACTATCACATGACAGAAGGCGCAAGTACTATCTCACGGCTGAAAATGAGGAAGAAAAAATGGATTGGGTTGAAATGTTCAAGACTTGTGCAAGGAAGACGAAAGGTATGCTTATTTTTTTCAATTTTTGGAGTCTGATTAAAGATGGTTTCGTATTCCCTTTATGCGTTGTGTCAAGGTTTCAAGAACAAAGATCCCGTTGGGAATGCGGCATTTATGACTGCCTATCGCGAAGCATGCAAGGAGTCAAACTGGAGTGCAAAAAGAGTTAAGGGAGGGACTGAATTACAGGTACGTAACGAGTAATATACACAGGGAACATATGCATGTATTTAGGAACACCCACGTTCACTCGCGTAGTACAAATATGATCAACTTAAGAACTTCTTATCATGAGAATGGCTGGAAAAAACTCGATTTTTCAAATAAAAACGTTATAATTTAGGATTAATTCATTGTGCATTTCTTTTGAAATGACCAAGAGAAAAGTATCAGTTTTAAGAATCATAATTTTACTCATAATGTCATGGCAACATTAAAATGTTTACAACAATCGAAATTGTTCAATTGTTCGCTAATATAAATTGCAGATATTGAGTGAAACATTGGCTGAGCTGGTCAATGATCGTGTAATGGCAAGTGCGTACAATGATGTAGTAGATAACTTGCCCTTTAGAACGGTAATCACAAAACAGGTGAGTGTTTGAAGTCTGTATGCCTCCGTCAAAGAAATCAGTTATTGGAGTGGGATTGTGTTTTTACTCGTAGCCTTAGGCAGGACACTAAGATTGTTGTGTTCCTTACTCTTCCGTCCATGCAGAAAAAGCAGCTAGTTCTTAATTATAAACAAGAAAAAAAAGGAAGGGATATATCGGACAAATCTTTCAAATAAATTTCTTCTTAAGGTTATGAAGGTGCTAGATAGAATAATCATTCGCATCGTGAAGCCAGCTTACAAAGGTCTTGCCGCAACAGTGGAGAAAATGAAACCTCCCATTGAAAAAACATTCGACGAAAAAAAAGATGATATCATAGAAGTATACAAGCAGATGAAAGAAAAATTGATGGGTTAGTAGTAGTCTGTCTTAAATCTTAAAAATCGCTAAAACAAAGCGTTTGTCTCCAATACTCTATCTCCTGAACAACAACATGGTATTTTCAAACACAGCTCCAGTTTCTGACCAAAAGTCTTAATTTAAATGAACAAAAGAACAATTGTCGAAGATTGATCAAAGCTCAATGTTGTTTCTTTCAGAAAAGATTGAAGCAATTATGAACAACATAGGAAGAGAAATCTTCAACGAGGCCAATAGACTGTACAATGATCTGAAGGAATTGGTAAGATTTCAAAAAATTTCCTGTTCATTCTAGTAGTTCATTAAGTTAGATAGAAGACAGCTGCCATTAATATTTTTGGGAAATTTATTTACATTTTAGTCAGTGCGAACAACAAAAGAGATGAGAAAAGTGTGTGTTGTCCGTTTGATGAATAGCTTGATTGAAAAAACAAAGCAAAGCGAGAATGTTGAGGGAACCATGGAAATGGTAATAAGAAAATACGAGTGAAAAAGATTCTACTTTGCTTTTCTTAAAAACTTTGGTTTAAGGAGAATCAAAACCTTTAGCATTTGGTTTCATTTTCAGCATTACAAAAAGTTTAATCGTGTAAAGCATAAAACAAATGCCTGGGATCATTGGTACAAAGTATTTAATATGGAAATGGAAATAATAGGCATTATTGATAAATACGAGAGCACGTTTGGTCAACGTGGAAATTATGATCATGTTTATGCATCTCATGAGATGCTGGCACGGGTAAAGCCAATTGATTGATTTTTGAAAGAGAACTTCAAAAAAGAGAAAAATGAACAGAAATTGTGTTAATGTTGTTTAGGTGGCAGATGCAGCCTTTTATACTTTTGAATTAACTTTGGAGACTTACAGCAAAGAAAATGACATCTATGAAGATAACACCAAAGCATCAAAGATGATGAAGAAAGTCAAAGATGAAGTTCTTCTGGTCGGTAGAAAGTTATCTAACAAAACATTTGTGCGCATGTGTAACATTCATAACACGTGAATCTTATTTTACAGAAATACGATTATGACTCACAAGTAACCCCACATGAAATAAGCTTCAAGATTACAACGGATATTGTTAAAGAATACTTTATCACGAAAGCTGAGCCAATGGTAAAAGAGGTGAGGATGTCTAAAGGATTGCGCTCAATTTTGATATAATAATGAACAACTAGTCTTTTATGTAATTTCAGATCTTAAAACAGCTAGAGAGCTTCATACCAAAACCTCTCGAAAAACTCGTTAGCATTAGAGAAAGATATCATCTTTATGTTGAAGAAAGTGTGAAAAACTTAATAAAACGAGGTACCAGCAAGAGGCATTTTTAAAGTAATATAAAAAACAAACTGCTTAGTAAGAGAAATACTATATTTCTGTTCATATGATGAAATATTTTTGGTACCTAAAGGTATGACAATTTAATGTTTCAGAAAACAATAATGTTTCTCATGGGAAGAATGACTATTTAAGAGAAAATCAATTGTCAGGAGAGAAGAGAGTTTTAAAACAGAGAAGAAAAGGTAAGAAAGAAGAGGACGAAATTGAAGAAGGAGAGGAAGAAGTCGAAGGAGAAGAGGATGAAGTTGAAGAAGAGGAGGAAGAAGTAGAAGGAGAAGAGGATGAAGTTGAAGAAGAGGACGAAGTTGAAAAAGAAGAGGACAAAGTTGAAAAAGAAGAGGACGAAGTTGAAGAAGAAGAGGATGAAGTTGAAGAAGAAGAGAATGAAGTTGAAGAAGACGAATGTTCAGAAGAGTAGAATGAAAATATTTAATCAATGCATACAATGTAATGAGCATTGATGAAGTCAAAAATATTAATTATCGTAGCACTATCTTTCCGACTGACCTATATACCAAAACTGGATTTAAACATTCACTAACTACTTTACTATATTCTTGCAATTTGTACTTTTACACCAACATATATTGTTTCAGTTTATCAATTGTGAGTATGAAATGTACGTATGCCAACAATGCTAACATAATGTCGTAATTGCACATTGTAACAAAAATTGTAATGTGAGCTTGAATTATATCTTTAACTGAAATGTACAACACGTATTAAAGAATAAAATCTAAAGCATTTATTCATAAATTTATAAAATGTTAGAATAATACATAAACAAAGGGAAATATGCACAATATTATCAAATCCTAACTTTATAGTTTCCGTTATCGATGCAAAAGTAAACGGCAATCTATATGACACGAGGGGCCTATACTTTATGTAACATAATACATTTATACCTCGAATTAGGAAGATTTAGAAGGGAAGGAACATTGATTATAAAACATCAGATTTTGCCTCTCCAATGAGTTTTTTTGCAAACAATTTTCAAAGTAACTGTGGTAAAAAAAACATAACCAATGTTCGATGATGTGCTCCCTTAGTAAAATATAAGTACTGAAAATTCAACAACGCTAGGCCAAACCATTAAATTTACTTCAAGCTTGTTTGGGGAATGGTAGTGTTGTCTACCAATAACGCTGTAATCACTATTTTTCTACTTAGCAAGCGAGGAGTTTAGGATGAAAACACTTACATGTCACTGTATTGCAAACACAGATATGCAAACACTCGAGTAACAGAGGAGAGAAGTTCTTTGAAAACATCGAGGCAACTTATCTAGGTTAGATCTCTGTAGCTTGGTTCCGTTGAAACGAAGAAATCTGAAAGAACTGAATGAAGATACTCGAAAGTTGGTCTTTCTTGGGCATTCGCTTTCCAACAATCGAGCATTATTTGATAAAGAGAGTCGGGACAACTTGGAGGGCACGGCATTCTGTAACCTCGCTCTACTTTGGCAAGGGTTTGGGCGTTTGTCAATCCTGGGTAAGGTATACGACCATGGGATACAAGCTCTGTGAGAAGAATACCAAACGACCAAACGTCTGACTTAATTGTAAAACGATTATATAAAGCTGCTTCTGGTGCCGTCCATTTAATGGGAAATTTCGCACCTTCTTGAGGGTTATATTCGTCGTTTATAACAAGTCTCGCAAGACCAAAATCAGCAACCTAAAATATGTCAAAATTTGCTGTAGTTAGTTCAAGTTTGACTATTATCTCAAAGACAAAAGGACGTCTGTGATGTAGCTACATATTGACGTAATTATTGAAGGAAAAGTGACGATCTTGCTTGACTTGAACAACTTATGATCATCACTCATTAACAACAGCGACAGTGGCTGTCTTTGAATGCTACGGTAGTGGCAAAAATTGCTGATGATAAATTTCATTGCCATGTGACAAAACAGGGTGACATAAGTCTATTGTTGCAATAATTAATACAAATGGAAAACATCATTTCTTGGATGAGCACAGATAAAATACCAAATGTTCATACCTTACACGTGTAGGCATCCCCAACTAAAATATTTCTAGCAGCAAGATCTCGGTGAATATAATTTTGTTTTTCTAAATACTGCATGCCATCAGCAATCTGTGAAGCCATATCTATTAAAACTGGAAGTCTTAAGTTCTTTCCATCTCCCTTAAGGAGGTAATCCAACAAACTACCATGCTTCATTAACTCAGTGACAATATAGATTGGTTCTGTTTCCGTACACACAGCATATAGCTAAAGATACATTGAAACATAGTTAAAGCACAAAGCAAACAAATTAACATTTGCAATATTTGTAAATATTTTTTAAATCATTAATTACATGGTACTGAAAATGAGAGAAATGAGGAGAGTTTATAAAGTACAGTTATGAAAGTCTGGGATTACCTGGATAAGATGAGGATGCCTTAATTTCTTCATGATTTGGGCTTCTGCGAGAAAAGCCTTAGGTTGCATTGAGCCAGGTTTTAATGTTTTTATGGCAACTGATGTAGTGCCATTCCATGTTCCTGCCCAAACTTCTCCAAACATACCTTGACCAAGTTTTTGCCGTAGGTGAAGTGAGCTCCTAGGAATTTCCCAAGAGTCCTTGGTGCTATAGGCAAGACCAGCTGTATCTGGTTTTTCTGTGGCAGGGCATGGATTGATGAGCATACAACACAGCCCATCTGCCTCTCTTGAATAATGTGCTACCAGCTCATGAAGGTTGGCATATGGTGAGCGACTTGTAATGTAGAATCCTCCACCATCAAGTCGTCTTATACGATAATGCTTAACCACATCCCCTTCACGTACTGATAAAGAGTAGTTTCCATGGGATGTCTCAGAGTCACGAACCAGAAATGTTCCAGTCTTATTACAATCAGCAAGTAACTTCTTTTCAGCATCTGCCCTTCTTATTTTGCCAAAATACCATCTAATGGATGAATAAAAAAAAAATAAGACCAACTTGTTCCATCCAATACTTTTTAACCTCATTTTGTTTGAGAATTCTTTAAAATCAGCTGTTGTTAAAGTAGAATTACGCTCTTTATGTGGGTACTTGTCATTTTAATGTTATTTTATCATACCATGCATTTTTTTGAAGCTAATCATGTCAAAAAAGTGTTAAATAATTTCTTAATGATATGCTGCATGGACGTCGACAGTCAACCATTATCGGCACAACAGTTTCACACAATAGCCGAAAACAACACACAATAAATTACAGTAAATAAAACAGAAAGCGTAAACACCTGAATTTTTCGTTTCGTTGACGAGGACATTTGGTAATCATATAAAAGCACATGAAAATGCGGTTTACTCAATCAATCTCTTCAACGTTTACGACAACACAAGAAGAGAGAGGAGAGACACTAAGTTAAGATCTTTCAGATCAATAAAATTTCAAACTTGCGATAAAGCGACATAAACTTCCGGAAGACAGAAGGACGAAAACAAATTGTTTGTGAGCCTAATTTAAACAATATTTTCGAATAACTAGACAGAAAAACATGACAGAGAAAAGGTACTTACTCTTCGGCATCTAAACTTCTCTCAGCTGCGACATAGTTACAAGGAATATAGCCTTCACGACCAGTCTTTAACGAACGAGCAAACCACCAGTCGCCATCGCTATTATCAATCACTTGAAGCCTTTCACCTTTCGAAAAATTTAAATCTTCTGTAGTCCTTGCTGCGTAGTCAAAGAGCGCCACAAATACCGTAACTGTATGTGAATTACTCGCTGTCATAAGCGTATTTTGAGGTGCATTATTTAAGTCAGGGTTACTTGGAGTCGGCTGCGTTGCAGACAAAGCCGTAGACTGACCAGGAACTTCTCTTTTATTTTCACTCGGCTCAGAACCACAGCAATTGCCCATGACAGCTTCAGTTCTTTAGCCCACCTTAATGATATTTGGTGCTACTGACAGAGGAAATAAGTGCTATTGCTTAGCCATAATTTAAAGTTTATCATAGCATAACGACAATCTATTCGCTTTACATAAAGAGGGTGGGTGAAGCAAATGAGGTTAGTACTAGACCCAGGCCAACACGGCCAACACAAACACTTTCGTTATTTATTGACCAATTTTTATCTTCTATTTTAAGTGATTGTGTTGCTTTTTTACAAAAAATAATTATCGTAGCAAAGCTTGCATTTCCCGAAATGAAGTCGATTTTTACGGTGACTTAAAAGGTTTTTGTAACTTCCTTGTTTGTCGACCAAATCATCACATATTGAGTACCAGCCACCAGAATGTTCAGTTTTTCGACAACATATATCCAATTAACCCACCTCCACCAAGAAAGACAATCCAAATTCATCATAAACAAACCACTACGCCCTCCTAAATGTATTTTTTCTATTCCTGCTATCATTATTAACGGCAAGGCTGGAGTTGCAGTAGACTGACTGCTCTACAAACCACCATGCAGAAATCTGACACCAGCACCAGCTTTGACTTGTATTTTACATGTGCAACACTTTTTTGCATCAACTACGAATCACCTCCATACGCGATAAAAGGGTCAGTTCCTCAATGGAATTTAACATTGAAAAATATTCGTCCATACTTGGTGTTGTCGAACTATTGAAGATAAAGTTACGAAGACATTTTGTGGTTTTTAATAGTTTTTTAGTCATTAGAAGTATGCAGAAAACAACAAAAATAACATTTTAAACAATAAAAGTTCCTCGCTCGATGATATAGACTTGATACAAGTTTTACTAACTTTTATTATTTACTAAAACTTCCTGTAATATTGTAATATTTTTGTTTGACATTATCACTAAAGATCGTTTTGTACAACTATACTAGGTTACAAGAGTAGCATAACACTAAGAAGGGCACAGGAGGTTACTAGAGTTAGAAAAAACTGAGAAGAACAAATTTCGACATGAAAAACTTGTTTGAAAAAGACATGCATGTCACTGTTTCACTTTTAAAATGTCATCACTTCATGGTGATGTATCTTAGAAGGGGACAGCAAAACGCAATCACAGAGAACACGGCCCAGCCGAGGCCTCCAATCAAAAACAAGCTTTCTGTAACGCCAGCAAAAATACTGCCTGTGTTTGTGGAAAGAGAAAAAAACTTGAACTTAAGTAACCCGAGAGCAGGCGTTAGCATAATGATAGCGTAATTACTTCCAGCAAAAAGTGCAGCGCAGGCTCGTATCTCGGAGCATCTAAGGTTGGGCATATTATCAACTTTAGACCAGCGGTAGAACGTTGTCACTCCTTTATATAAGCTCACTATAACAAATGCAACCATGTTAAAGATTACTAATATGAGTAATTTTTCTTGTCTCTTTAGCAAAATTTCTTTATCATTGCAGTTTGGATCTTGAGAACATTCAAAACACATCAAGCCAGCTTCACCACTTCTCTCCGAGTAAAGCTCGACACAGAGGCAAGAGGCAGGTATATTGTAGAGCATACTACAAAGGAAGCCAAACCAAAACTTAATGTCAACATAAAGTTCACGTTTTTCAATGATGAATTCCGGTGCAACGGTTGTTTGGTAAAGCATCCAAATATACGCAAACAGGAAGCCGCTAATCAACAGAGCTCCAACGCAAATGAAAAATGAATATGTGTACATTATTGCTTCAAAGTGATCAATCCTTTTCTCTACGTCACGTCGAATCCAGGGGCCTGTAGAACACTTTAAAATACTACGAGTTTGATTTACTGCATAGCTGTCAGACTTAAAGAATTTCTCGTAGCGAGTATGAGATTGGATTGCATCAAAAAACACACCGACATCCATACCAAAGTTTAAGCCATAGATAATTAGAAAACAAACGAACTCTCGTGTCAAACCTTTATTGAACTTCATATTTCTGGGACATGAAAATCATTTGAAATTGTGCTAGAAGACTCTTCAAAGCTTCGGAGATTATAATATTTTCCTTAGCCTGAAGGCAAAAGAAAGATGATTTTGTTGATATGATGTCTGACTGCCTACGATGAAAACCTACAAGATGATCATCCGTTTTCTGAATAATTAATCTTTGTTTTTAGGATCAATGCAGCTCACAAACTTTGATTGGTCAAAATAGAAAACATCTGAGTTTCAGTCCAATCATGTGTTGATTACAATTTCAATATTTCAATAATTTAGAAACACCTGCCACACGATAAGTCAACATATTATTGGTCAGATGATCATGATAGGAAACAAGATTATGAACGTGGAATAAAAATAAACTGACTTTTGTCCTCTAGAAGGATTTATGACACAAGTTAGGTTTTATTTAAAATTTTTGAGATTACGTAGAAACAGTTTTGCTCCTCGTTTGTTCAATTATCACTAACTTTACGGACAGACGTTTCATTGTTAGCATTCCATATATATTTTTTCCTTTGCAGTTTAGTTTGGTTATGCTCGGGTTGCTTCATAGAAAAATGTTTTAAACGAGATATATTAATGACAACCAAATGCTAAGTTCTTTAGCTAACAACTGGAGATGTTTGGATAAAACGCTCACAAATCACAATAAATGCCGTTTGATCTTTCTGTAGTTAATGTAACTGATAAAAGAGGAAGATCAAAATTGGGAGAACGACGCATGTGCCAAAGAACGTGTATATGGAGCACTGACACTATGAATATTTTACGAAACAGTTCATTTTTCTTTATTTTACGTCCGCTAGTTCCCGACAAGGCCACTTTTTTAAGCAAGAGAAACAGCTGAATTGAAGAACATTTCGGCGTAGAAAAACTTTCAGACGTGCATTGAAAAGCTTATCTGAAGTCTCGTCGGATCTCGTCTTCGCAAAATAATGTTTAATACTTTAGAGGTCTTAATTATATTTACCCGCATATAAAATAGACTGTTTTTATATTTGATAAGTTTGTCAAAATAGGTAACTGAAGCAGCATGCTTCTAAAAAGGTTGAAACTATTCGAAATTGCCATTTATCGCCATTTTCAGCTTGCTTACACAAGCTACTACATTTTCTCTTGCTTACACAAGCTACTACATTTTCTCTTGCTTACACAAGCTACTACATTTTCAGCTTGCTTACACATTTAAGCTACTTTTCATTTTTCATTTGCTACATTTTCTGCTTACCATTTTCAGCTTGTTTACACTACATTTTCTCTTGTTTACTTTTTTTTTCTCTTTACATTTTTCATTCCATTTTCTTTCATTCCATTCCTTTTTCATTCATTCCATTTCATTTCTTCATTCATTCATTTCATTCATTACATTTTCAGCTTCAGCTTGCTCTACTACATTTCTCTGCTTACAACTACATTTTCAGCTTGCTTACACAAGCTACTACATTTTCATCTTGCTTACACAAGCTACTACATTTTCATCTTGCTTACACAAGCTACTAAATTTTCAGCTTGCTTACGGGTGCATTCAAAAATAATCCAGTGCCAATCTGTGACAAAAAAATAAACGATTTTAATATCGATAACTGTAAGTTGCATGATTCGGAGAAATGATGAAAGGGACAAAATCGATGAAAACATTGCCTCAAATGATTTTTCCAGTTATATATATATTTCACTAGGGCTACGCTCATAACATTGAATTTGATGTATGAAAAGCAATGCCAGGATATCATGCGTCTGTTCTGTTCAATTTTTTATCAAATATTGTTGTTGCATCTTGGATGCTCGGATGTTTATATATTGTTGATACAGACCACTGCTGACCATGTTTAATTGCTTTTCTTTATAATACAAAACCTAATAAATTCTACATTGTTGATTGCGTCATACAGATTTCGCCCATTTCGCCATATTTTGGAACGCATTTTTTCCGTGTTTTTAGTGAACAACCTGCAACCTACAACTTTTGGAGGTCTGGTAATATTGATAATTTTTTATTGCACAATAATTTGGTAGAAGCCTTTTGGCAAACGTTCGCGCTAAAAAGCATTGCGTCGTATTGCAGCCAAGAAATGAAAACGATATAAAAATTGTAAAAACATTAACAAGAATCAAAATAACAAGCTGCTTTGGTTTGTTTTAACTCAGCTAATGTTAAAAATATCTCTGTTAATGTTTATTATCAAAATAAAAATTTAAACAATTGCACCTGAAGCGTCGTCTTCACTCTTCATTAACATTAACACAAATAGACAATTCAAGAAAACCATAATGTAATCAACGACAACCATCAATTCCATCATTGATAATCATCAATGCAATCCATACCCTGTTTGATACTTTGAATGACCCTTTCGTTGAATTTCCTATAAATTCAAGTTAAAGTCGTGTTTTTTCATTAAGTATGACGATAAAAATTACAGTTCGCCAAATAGTGATTTAAAACAAGATACCTTCTCCTAAAATAATTAAGTAAAATTGTTGTGAAAATTTTAGCATTCCTCACTATCCCCATGAATCCCTTGAAACAAGTGACATATTTAAGTTTTCACCCCCACCCCCCTCAATCTTAATTTGGTCGCAGAGGTCCTGTTTAGCAGAGACAGACTTAAAATGAAAATCATTTTGACATTCCTACCTCAACTCTTTGATTTTATTCTGTTTCATTGATGCCTTCCATCTTTTTTCATTATTTGTATGTTTGACATTTAGGAAGCAACTTTGATTGATGCATTTTGCTAAACGTGAAACGTATCACTTCTTTTCCTAGAGAATTTGAGAAAGTTTAAACATTACACACAAGAAATTGACAAGGAATAAAACATTAAAAAATATGGAATGTCATTATTTAGCAATGCTAAAGTCAAGGGAGCAATAAAATCAGAAATTTAAAATGTATACTTTTGTTTCCAAAATGTGTCTAAAATGGAGCTTGCTCTACAGCTGCTACATGGCATCTTTGCCTGCTTGCAACTTAATTCAAATGCTTTTTGACGCATTTAGAAAAAAAATTTGATTTTTTAAAGTAAAGCTTTTAGCGTTGCTTTATTTGTTTCCGGTGTTTTTCATTTTCACGTGAATTTCACGGGGACAAAAAAGAGCGCGAAATTAATTGCCAAAATGTCAATCAACATATCGAAATTTCTCGACTATCTTCAATATTTTTGCTCAAAACCTTAAAAATACAGTTTTTATAACGAAAGAAACAGCCCAAGGAGTAAAACATGATTTGTCTTACTTAATTTCTTCATCCTGGAAGTTTGCAAACGAAATTCTTTGACGTTTAGCGCTGAAAAGCGAAATAAAATCTGTCGCCTAAGGTCCTCGCTAAAAATATATAGATTTACAACAAGCTTTGAAAGTAAAATATTCAACAAAATTTCGCTTCGTTAAGTTCTAAAAACTTACAGCAGACAAAAGACCAAGCTAGAATCAACCAAAGTAAATTGAAAGACAAGAGAAATGTTCGTTTTTATAGCGTCAAAGTCTTCAAGAAAGCAAAAACATCGACAAAGACACGCAATAAGCTTCAAATTATATTGAAAACAACCGACAAAAAGGTTTTCTAGTCAACAAATATCGAACCACACGTCAAGCAATGCTTTAATTCCTAGTTGAATTTATTGCTTTTTCAAATATTTTTCAAATAAAAACTTCACGAACTCACCTCTCCCTTTCAGGTCTTGTATCATAATCATCTCATCCGGCACTGGCAGAGTGGCAGTGTGAAAAGTTACTGACGTGACTAACATCATTTGTTGTGATGATTTCATTGGCTGTTTCCATGGAGTTTCTAGCAATTCCATTGGATACAGTTTTTCGAGCTCTGATTGGCTATAAAATACGAAAACAGTTATCCCAAATGTGTGAAAGCTATCATGTGTGTTTTTTTTTAAGCTTTTCTTTAAAAAAAAGGTAGTTCACGAATGAAAAACGTCTTTCTACTTTCATCAGAAGCAAGAAAAGTAGTACCAGGTTAAGTAGTGATAGTTTTTTGTTGTTGGCTGTTAAGAGTCTTTTGATATTTGAACAGAAAACGCAGAAATGTTTCTGTGGTAGACTTATCCTAAATGAATGCATTCTTATGTTTTCTCCAAAAATCAGCTGAAAATTTAAAAATGTTTAAAAAAATATTGATGTTATCATGGCAAATGATGGCATATGTTGTTATTGTGCTAAGATATAAAATGAATGATTTCACATTTGAATTTTGAGTCATCAGATTTGTGGTATAATAAAGTTCCTTGGGCCATTGTAACCAGAGAACACAATTTTAGTAACAATAGCATAATTTAGAGTGTAAATTTCATTAAGAATGAAATGAAAACTTGGGATTTATGTGAATATTTCATTTGAGCAAGGGACGAGCTTGGGATTTATGTGTATATTTCATTGAGCAAGGGACGAGCTTGGGATTTATGTGTATATTTCATTGAGCAAGGGACGAGCTTGGGATTTATGTGTATATTTCATTTGAGCAAGGGATGAGCTTGGGATTTATGTGTATATTTCATTTGAGCAAGGGACGAGCTTGGGATTTATGTGTATATTTCATTTGAGCAAGGGACGAGCTTGGGATTTATGTGTATATTTCATTGAGCAAGGGATGAGCTTGGGATATCTTTCTGCTATGATAGATAATGCTTCATTAAATTGAAGAAACCCATTATGAGTTGAGAGTAATTAACAGCACTCAGATATTTTGAAAAAATTACTGAAATGCAGCTCATGTTTTTATGAAAATAAGCAATGAAATATGCAATATTTGTCAACTTAACAAATGGGCATGTATACATTCTGTAACAAATCTTTTTATTTATTTCATTCTTAGAGATCACCATGAACAACACAAGGATCATCCTGTGTATGAAGGATCACATAGTGTTTCTAAATATTCACACATGCTGATGTATTGGTACGAAGAGAATATTTTTCCTTTAATGGCTGCTTGAGCTGTTGAAAGTTGAGGTAAATTGCTGTTTTGACATTAATGAGCTTACTGCCATTTGAAAGATATAAGTGTCCTGCCGAAATATTTTTCGTATAAAAATGAAATCAAGAGAACTTATGATTTAACTATTCGTCACTTCTACATTACCTAACACTTTATAATACATTCATGTGAATGACAAATGATGAAGTTGTTGATGGCTTATAGCTGTTATGGTTATTCTGGCTGAGGTCAACCAGTTGTAGAATTCTTTAGATTAATAATTTTGTTCCATTAGCCTTCCATTGCTACCATCATTGCTTCAACTGAGATTGACACTTGGTACCGTGCTAGTCCTCCTTCTTGTGTTCAACAGGAAATCATTGATATTGTAGTGAGACAAGACAAAGTAGGAATTTCTTGGTGCATTTTCATTTGATGTAACACCATTAAACACATTTGTCATTGTAAAGTTTTAAAACTTGAAGATCTACCTATGTAAACAAGCAGTGTTCATTAATATTTATAATAAGTTTAAATTAATTCTTAGTTGTAGTTCACATGCTTCCATTTTTCTTCCGCGAAGTGCACTGTTATCCTGCAATTGACGGTAATAAAAGATTGAGTTGGATGACGATAGGGTTGATTATAGAAGATTAAGTTTGATGACGATAGGGTTGATTATAGAAGATTAAGTTTGATGACGATACGGTTGATTATAGAAGATTAAGTTTGATGACGATATTGTTGATTATAGAGGATTGAGTTGGATGACGATACGGTTGATTATAGAGGATTGAGTTGGATAACGATACGGTTGATTATAGAGGATTGAGTTGGATAACGATACGGTTGATTATAGAGGATTGAGTTGGATGACGATAGGGTTGATTATGGAGGTTGAGTTGGATGACGATAGGGTTGATTATAGAGGATTAAGTTTGATGACGATAGGGTTGATTATAGAGGATAGAGGATTGAGTTGGATGACGATAGGGTTGATTATAGAGGATTAAGTTTGATGACGATACCGTTGATTATATAGGATTGAGTTGGATGATGATGGGCGTTGATTTTATATAGGGTTTGAGTTGGATGGCTATAGAGGATGATGTTAGATAATTTGGTTAGATGACTTTAGAGTTGTTATCAAACAGAGACGGCAGAGTGGTTTTAGGATTGGTGGGGCTAACGGAAGTATTGAGTTCTTACAAAACTTGGAATATTGGGGAGGGACACTTGCTTAAAATGATTGAAATTTTGACCTTCATGTGTAATATAGCTGATTTTGGAACAGAAAAAATATTACATTCTAAATGTCGTAAAATGGCCTGGGGGCACTTCTAAAATAAAATATCAGTCAAAAAGGTAAGAAATTAAGAAAATACTACAAACAATACAATACACTGTAAATTTGCCAAAACGTTCTGAGCGAGCTAAAATACATTAGACTTAACAACAATCTGCGTCAATTATTTGTGGATGTTGAACAGCAAGACCAACGAGCCACCTTTCTCATTCCCAGTCCCTGTCAGGGAGGGACGTTGGTCATTTACAGTATTGAGGATATGGATAATATAGTTGACATTGTGGATATGGATGATATAGTTGTTGATTGACAGGGATGATGTTATGACTGATATTAAAGAAGATAACGTTCTGCTTGGTTGATGTTGAATCCTTGAATGACATGAATCCTCCTACTGTTTGTGATATTTTTACTGTTTGATATTCAGTAGGTCAGTTTGGGAGTTTCTGTCGTAAAAACAAATGTCCCGTCAAGGGTGGGTTGAACCTACCTATACTTCAATTCATTATTATCATTTTTTAGTCGAACACTGACCTGTTGAACAATGCATGATGTAATCAGCAAGTTGGTTTTTTACATGAAATGATTTATGAAAATCTCTCTTTATCACTTAGCAACGAACGCGTCACCAAGCCAGATACAGTCGGAAGAGTTGTGCAACTATTGTTGCATAAATTTGGGGTCTATAATAGTTCACTTCGTCATAAAATTCATGATTTGAACACGTGTTTAAACGATATTTCTCCACATGTACAGGATCAGGAGTTGAAAATAGAACATAGCAGAACAAATGCGAAACAAACATGACGGTATTTGTGATACGTTATAAAATTTGCACTAAAAACATCAATGTTTCTGACATCACAATCAGCTTGCCTTAGCAGGAAGATTTATAATATGAGAAGAAACGACTTTAACACAAAAGAACAGCTTGATGATACGGTACTTGCGTTTCAAAAATAGGCTGCATAATTTTATAAAAGTATTATGAGTATGTTTAAATATAACCCTTTGAATATGTTGTTGATTCATATAATTTGTATTTGAATGCCCAAACTTCAAAGATTAAAAAACCTAAAGAAACAAACGCAAGGAACATTGCACAAATTCCATAAAAGCGAATAAAATTGACTTCCATCATCGTTAAAAATGGATGGCACTAAAATTTTTACTAAAATTTCAGCATCCATCACAACAAAAGGAAACGAAAGTGGCGAACTTCACAAATTTTTTGTAAGTTATTTAGCCAACCATAAACTAAAATATGGGGGGTCTTCTATAGGTGACATTGAGACGCAGGCTTCAACGACGGCTTTATTCAAAAGATATATAACATCTCGTTATATGTGTACTAAACATTAAAAGTGACTTTTTAACTTCACGTACAAAACTTCACATATTTTATCAAAATAAGAGTTTAAACATATATCTAACACTTGAGACGATGAACTCGACGCTTATAAATAGCGACTGACTGCTTTTATGACTTAGCAAAATACTTAAGTGATGTTATTAGTTTTAAAAACGGATGTTTCCTTTAAAGCCGCGTGTTTGGCAGTTATAGTTGTCTTTCTACAGAAAAAAAAACATACAAAGATTTATGAGTTGATGGTGGTATTCAAATTTAAGCTCTTTAGATATCACACTTTCCTTAGTTCTTTATAAAATTGGAATTTTTTCCATGTTCAACGCAAACCTATTTTCTTCCCAACAGTAAATACATCCTGTTTGAAAGAAAGACACGTGCGCACGTGAAAGCGGTTTTAGAGATAAATCAACGAAGGTGTTTTCTCATTTTTTATTGACATTCGTTGCCTAAAGAACACTGGAAAAAACGTAATGATTACACAATTGCGCTTCCTTAGTGAAGTTCTTTTGAATAATCATAAGACTGTTGACTTTTCATTGTCGGCAAGTGCACTTAACCGTTCCAACAAGAAAACTGGCTATAATTGGAAAAAGTGAAATAGAATATTGTGACAGGGAAAATACAATTTGCAAGAGTATTTATATAGAAATGAACGAAATAGATCTATAAAGTTCTCTCCTATTAAAGTAGAAATAAATACAGTTTAGTAAAAAATGTATTTATAAGAAAATTTGTTCTGATAATTATAAGATGAATATTCAAACTTGATCAAATTTTAAAGTTTATCATTGGATAGAATGAAGTTTTTCCAAGTTTTTGACAATTTTCATGGCAACAACGAGAAATTTTACCATGAAAATTCAAGAGATTCCCTCTACTTGATCACTTTGATGCATTTTCGATGGGAAAACGGAGACAATGTTATTGTCAATGCGATAATCGTCATGGAATTTCGCACGTGTGTCCAAAATTACAAACTAACGTTCAGTTAGATATTGCAACTCCAATTATTGAATACTAATAATCGCTAATTACAATAGAAAATGTTGCAAATCGCATCAAAAAATTGACTTCAGATGTTTCAAATCCCTGTTCATGTCTTCCGCGTTACGATTTAAGAATAATTGTCTAATGTTCTTTGTCTGCATAATTTTACCTGATATCGAGTCAAATTACACCTACGTTTCATGCATGTGTCGACCTCACGTGTCGTACGTCTAGTCAGGGTAGCCGTGAATGTTTTGACATTTGATGTCATCATCATCGATGAATTACGTGAGAGAAACAAAGTTAAAAATTCGCCAACCACTCAGTTTAGATTTATCAGGTCAGTATACGAGAGAAAGTCAAGAATACAAGATCTCGAGTTGTTTCTCCTTTTAGACGACGACGAACTCTGTTTCGGCGACAAGTGATATTGTTTTTCACGGGTTTGTAGTCGCATCAGGGTAAAATGTTCTCTGAACGTATGACGAGAAGACAGAACTGTCAGCTGTTTCTCTTACCTGGAAATACTTCGTATAGAAGGAGAGAGTTTGCTTTGGCATTTGAACCTTATCGTAAAGCGTTTACAAGTGGAAATGTTCATCAACAAACAGCGATTATCAATTTGCTCGTGGACACTTTGATATCGGCAGAAACGGAAAGATTGAAAGAAGAATTACCTGGAACGGCAGAGAAATTTGAACTCGAAAAAATCTTCACTTGTGAATTGTGTGAGAAATTATTTCATGACCCTGTCACCCTTGTCTGTGGTCATACATTTTGCTCAAACTGTTTACAAAGATATCTCGGATCAACGACTTGTCTTGTTTGTGGCCATTCGTCCACCTTGGAATATACGATGAATATTGTGTTGAGGGAATTATTAAGTTTATGGTTCCCTGAGAAGATGAAGTTGCGGCAAAAAATTGAAGAAGCAAACCTGTTGCTACATGATTCAAAAATGCGAGAATTTGATGAACTCGTAGAAAAGTTGATGGTTGAATATCCTAAAATTGCCGAACTGTATTATTTAAGAGCTATCGGCCATAAACGCAGTGGAAACATTCATAATGCACTGAAGGATTTGAATGTTGCTGTCAGCCTTTCTCCCTTCTCAAGTAAAGTGTTGTTTTGTAGAGGTCAAGTCTTAGAGAGTTTCGATGAGCAGGAGGAAACGACAGCAATGTATCTCAGAGCGTCAGCGTTAAAACCTAACAACTGCGTGTATAGATCGGTTCTAACTGCCTATTTGGAAATACTTCTCAGGAACATTTGCCTAAATCCTCACTCAGGCAGTCCACAGGAGCGCAAAGGAGTAAACAAGAGAGTTATGAAAAGTTTTGAAAGTACAATTCCTTTGAGAAGTTTTGATAAACTCACATCTTCTAGAAGAAATCTTCATGAAAAGATGGAAACCGTGAACAGAAGTAACTTGTTCCCTCAGGAAGACCATGAGTCTGTACTATTTACAGAAGAGCGCATGGAAGAAAGCTTAACGAAAGATAAGTACCCTAGAAATAAGAAAGTATATCAACAAGACACCAAGACCAACATTTCTACAAATGAAAAAGCAAATTGTACAATTCCTAGTGAAATAGAATGCAAACTTTGTTACAACCTGATGTATCAAGCTGTCTCGACACCTTGCGGACACTCGTTCTGTCAATCCTGTTTAAGACGGTGTCTTGACCATAGAATGGAATGTCCTTGTTGCAGGGCAAACCTGAATAGTTATCTAGAACACTTATTAAATGGAAAAGTTGGTACATGCGCGGTTATTGACAACATCGTGAAGTTAAAGTTTCCCACCGAATATCAGGAAAGGAAAGCTAACTACGAAAAAGAAATGAGCAGATTTTCAAGGTAAGATGAGCTTTATTTTATGTAACGATGTAAGACTTCTCTATAACGGGTATTCAATGAAAAAGATTTTAAATCCATTGATCCCATGGTAACGATGACTAGCTGTAAATTAACTACCATCGTTTAGTTTAGCATTTTCAATATATTAGAATTTTTTGGTTCCTAAGTCAGCCATAATAATGACCAAAACTGATTTGAAATTTCTCGTTTCACGCTAAATTAAAGTCAGCATTTCGCTGAGAATAGTTAATAGAACCAACTTTCAGGAAACATATTAAAATTTCCAATGATTTAAGATCATGCAAAATCACATTAAGGAGACATGAGTTTTAGCACGTGAGTCACAAATATTGAATAGATACACTTTTCAATGATTGTTGACAACCGCTTTAGGACATACGTCAGCCACAAGAATTGTCAAGTAAAACAAAACCACTCATTATTCACTGTTATCACGTAAATCAGTAGGCTTCCTCTGTTCATTACATAATCATGAATCTAAAGATAACTTTGACTAAAGTTCAATCGATACCAATAAACATACACGAAGTTCTTTAGAATACGTTAATTTCTTAAATGAACGCACTCTACCCATAAACTCTCTGTGTCATCTAACAGTAAATGTGCTATTGTCACCAGAGATTTTTTGAATGCAATTTTTCAATATAAATTTGACAGCTTGACGTTCGATTTTTAATAAAGCCAAAAAGTATAATGGGCAATGAACTATTTATTATCAACGATGTCGTCTTGAACTTTCATCTTTACTTTGAGGCAAAATATCATCAATATTAATTATCTGCATTACACAACTTTCGTAATCGTTTGATTAAATATTACTGGCTGAGCTGTCATATTTATATTGAAAAAAGCGAATTTACCATTTAAAGAATTTCGTTATGTCGATCGATATTAAAATACATGGTGTTATATTGTTCACGTGGTCAACGGATGTTATATAAGATGTTACACATGACACGTAACCACCTGTTACCGAACTTTCATTATTATCGATATTTGCATAATCGTCTGTTTTTTTTCCGTTTATAAAAAATGGGAATAATTTCTGTCATAAAAACGTCATTAGCTAGAACGTTGACGTGTGACCTTGCATAAAAATATCATGGACGATAGAAATGTTTGAGGAACCCAAATGTTTTATGAAAAACTGACACAATAGATAGAAATTTCTGTTTATTCTTAAGCCCGTCGACAAGGTACCTACTAAGTACTACATACACAAACTAATGAACTCTTAAAGTAAAGATTTCACCTTGCTCATGGATTCACTGTTTATTTGTAGATGTGACATCAATGACAACGAAATACCAGTCTTCGTATGTACTTTTGCTGTGCCTGGTATTGCCTGCCCTTTGCACATATTTGAACCTCGTTATAAACTTATGATACGACGGTGCTTGGAAAGCGGCTCACGTCAATTTGGCATGTGTGTTCCAGACCCCGAGACCGGTTTCTCAACAGTCGGTACCATGCTCTACATTAACGACGCAAAATTTCTACCGGATGGTCGATCTATAGCTCAAACGGTTGGATATCGTCGGTTTGAAGTCTTAGAGAGAGGTGTTAGGGATGGTTATAACACGGCGAAAGTCAAGTGGTTAGAAGATGTCCGGGATGAAGTCGACAGCAGTCAACTAAATCACGACGTTTATAAATTGATGTTACTCTGGTTCAAAACACTTCCACGTGAGCAACAGATGTGTATAGTGAAAGCAGTCGGTCCCATGCCTCAAGCATTGAGCGCAACGGACATGAACGGTCCCAATTGGTTATGGTGGATTTTAGCAGCAATACCACTAAATGTTGAAGCAAAACTTATCATTCTATCGATGGTTTCTGTAAGAGAACGATTAAGCAGTATCAAGAGATTTCTTGTTTTATTACTGACTAGAATATAAATTGAAACCATTGAACTAAATACTTCACAAGAAGACTACCCTTTGTTAAACATGCCTATAAAAATCTCCAGACTCTCCTGTCTGGAACTAAAGTCCCTATTTTAATACATAAACGTTGTTTTCGCCGTGAGAAAAGACTGGCACTAACCGAATTGCTGGCTTTATATATTGTCGTGAGGCAGTAGCAGTCCAGTTATATTTAGTTCAATGGGTAATGGTCAAGTGTAATAGCACAGTTATCTATTTTGTTTCTTTATATGTTGTACAAGCTCATAAACTTTATTTTGTCGATACACTAAATTATTCACATTCCATTTATAAAAAATGAAACAAATTTCCAAACAGCGACCTTTGTCCGCTATTTTAGTGTCATTTTCTTCAACAAGTAGATTGACGACGCTTTTCCATTTTCTATATTCCATACAACGGCCATTAAAAAATATTTTTTACGAAAATAAACTTGTCTATAACGAGTTTTCATTTTCTTTATTGTCTCGGTAACCGTGAGGATTTTGAGATTGCCAACGCCACGAATCTTCACCTGAACAAAATAGACAAAGCAAGAAAAATAACGACGAACAAATAGTACAGTTACATAAAAAGAAAGAAAAAAGATGTTTCCAAGACGTACCAACATACAACTGTAATGCCTTTAAAATTTCATTAAAAAAACCATTTTCAACATGAATTGAATACGAAATGTTAAACTTTAACATTCAGCGAATGTTACCGACAGACCATGAAAATTATTTTCAATTGAAGTACATACACGCAGACCTTTTGCCTTGAGTAATTACGAATAAAATAACCGTGTTTCTACAAAGATGTCACGTGCTTTCATGTTTTGGCCAATTACGAAATGTGTGTCATTTCTATGCAAGTGTAACACTTGCATAATCTAAGTGACACGACTGCGGATAATCTGGCCGAGTAAGAAATGTTTGTCATTTCATTTTATGTCAATACAGCCAGGTAGAACTAATAATTCACGTCTTGCAGTGAAGGACAAAGGTGTGTAGGCCTATTGAGTTGGCATGGATGAAACTATACCAAGTAATGTAAGCCTTTTGAGTTGGCATGGATGAAACTATACCAAGTAATGTAGGCCTATTGAGTTGGCATGGATGAAACTATACCAAGTAATGTAAGCCTATTGAGTTGGCATGGATGAAACTATACCAAGTAATGTAAGCCTATTGAGTTGGCATGAATGAAACTATACCAAGTAATGTAAGCCTATTGAGTTGGCATGGATGAAACTATACCAAGTAATGTAGGCCTATTGAGTTGGCATGAATGAAACTATACCAAGTAATGTAAGCCTATTGAGTTGGCATGGATGAAACTATACCAAGTAATGTAAGCCTATTGAGTTGGCATGAATGAAACTATACCAAGTAATGTAAGCCTATTGAGTTGGCATGGATGAAACTATACCAAGTAATGTAAGCCTATTGAGTAGGCATGAATGAAACTATACCAAGTAATGTAGGCCTATTGAGTTGGCATGGATGAAACTATACCAAGTAATGTAGGCCTATTGAGTTGGCATGAATGAAACTATACCAAGTAATGTAAGCCTATTGAGTTGGCATGGATGAAACTATACCAAGTAATGTAAGCCTATTGAGTTGGCATGAATGAAACTATACCAAGTAATGTAAGCCTATTGAGTTGGCATGAATGAAACTATACCAAGTAATGTAAGCCTATTGAGTTGGCATGGATGAAACTATACCAAGTAATGTAGCCCTATTGAGTTGGCATGAATGAAACTATACCAAGTAATGTAGGCCTATTGAGTTGGCATGAATGAAACTATACCAAGTAATGTAGGCCTATTGAGTTGGCATGGATGAAACTATACCAAGTAATGTAGGCCTATTGAGTTGGCATGAATGAAACTATACCAAGTAATGTAGGCCTATTGAGTTGGCATGAATGAAACTATACCAAGTAATGTAGGCCTATTGAGTTGGCATGAATGAAACTATACCAAGTAATGTAGGCCTATTGAGTTGGCATGAATGAAACTATACCAAGTAATGTAGGCCTATTGAGTTGGCATGGATGAAACTATACCAAGTAATGTAGGCCTATTGAGTTGGCATGGATGGAACTATACCAAGTAATGTAAGCCTATTGAGTTGGCATGAATGAAACTATACCAAGTAATGTAGACCTATTGAGTTGGCATGAATGAAACTATACCAAGTAATGTAGGCCTATTGAGTTAGCATCGATGAAACTATACCAAGTAATGTAGACCTATTGAGTTGGCATGGATGAAACTATACCAAGTAATGTAGGCCTATTGAGTTAGCATGGATGAAACTATACCAAGTAATGTAAGCCTATTGAGTTGGCATGGATGGAACTATACCAAGTAATGTAGGCCTATTGAGTTGGCATGAATGAAACTATACCAAGTAATGTAGACCTATTGAGTTGGCATGAATGAAACTATACCAAGTAATGTAGGCCTATTGAGTTAGCATCGATGAAACTATACCAAGTAATGTAGACCTATTGAGTTGGCATGGATGAAACTATACCAAGTAATGTAGGCCTATTGAGTTAGCATGGATGAAACTATACCAAGTAATGTAAGCCTATTGAGTTGGCATGAATGAAACTATACCAAGTAATGTAGACCTATTGAGTTGGCATGGATGAAACTATACCAAGTAATGAGAGAATTTTACCATCATATAAAACTCAACTACTGAGAACACTGAAAGAACGAGTGGTAGATGGAAGCTGCCATACTTTTAAAAACTTTCAAGCTCGAAATTTGTTCAGCAATCGTAAGAGTTAAAGGCGACTATTTTAATGAGAGAAAAGTTTTGGTGGAACTTTATCAATTAAACATTTTTATTTATCAGTGTGAAATTGTTATAAACATTACATTTATCATGATTTTGGTTATTTATGTGTATAGATCGTCCAGGTTCGTTGTAGAGTCCTAAGAAGGACTGCTGATGTTGACAGACGTTTCGATAAACTCAGCGGTAGTCATCTTCAGAGTCAAGTGAGGAGTAAACGTCAGGTTCGACGTAAACCAGACAACAAATAAGGAAAACCTGACGTTTACTCCTCACTTGACTCTGAAGATGACTACCGCTAAGGTTGACGAAACGTCAGTCAACATCAACAACAACAGTCCTTCTCAGGACTCTACTAACCTGGACGATCTACATGTATAAAGATGTAACGATACTACCGGGTTCAAGCCATTTACTTTATTGTGTTTAGTCTGAACACAAATGATCGTTTATTATTGCTCATTTTTTAATACCGGACAGTTGCATGAAACTTCAGGCCTGTAATGTATTATTGTAGAAAATGTTATATGGCAAAATTTAAATCAAACTTACACATTTCCTTTAAGGTTTTGTGTGTTTTCCATCCAAGTTCCTTCTCAGCCAATGAAGGATCTGCATAGCATGACGCTACGTCTCCAGGACGACGGTCAGTGATTTTATATTCAATCTAGATTAACAGGGTTTATGTATAAGAGAAATTGTGCTTTGTTAAAATAATGTACGTCCTTCTATGACTTGAGTATGTGGCATTACATCATCAATTTTTACTAAGATTATAATCACAAGTTCGTCAGTGGACAATTTTATGAAATATGAGGTAAAAACATGTTCCGAACAACAACATCTTGCACACTCAATATACAAGTTCCGAAAAACAACAACATCTTGCACACTCAATATACGATTGTCTTGTTTCAAGAAAGCTCATAGCTTAAGTTAACAAAATGTTTTTTGGAGCATGTTTTTTCTTATACTGAATACTGTATGGTTTGTGACCAACTGTACACTAAAGCCCACCAGTATACACTTCATAACTTAGGACCCTTAAAAGTTAAATCTATAGTTTTATACTGAATTCTTACAATTAAACATTTAAAGTAGACGACAATTTTTCTTATTACCAAAGCGTTTTGACGTTTTTTTTAATATAAAACTTTGCGACTTGATCATAAATTATTGTGTTTGTATAAGAATATCGAATCGAAACATGTTTGTGTCAAAAAATTTGTCGTCTACTCTAAATTTTTGGTTATCTCGTGCTAAGATATTTATTGCAATAATCTGCGTGATAATAAACGATAAATTTCCTCAAACCTTCTTTCCTGAAGCATTCTCAACTGCTTTGACCATTTCTAACACTGACTGACCACGTCCTGTACCGAGATTGTAAACCTAACAGAAGAAAGACGATATAAAACAAACCTATCCAGTTTACTTTCAATTATAAAAGCTCAGTGGAAGTAACAATCACGTGATCCTTTTTACTTACCTTAAACTCACAGCTTTCCTGGAGCATTTTCTTTAAGGCAGCCACGTGACCTAAAGCTAAGTCCACGACATGAATATAATCACGAACACCTAAACGGAGTTGTTGAAAAGATGGTTAAGCTACCAAAGCCTCGTCCGCATGTTTTAAGATATCTTATTTTTAAGGAGTAAAAATCAACCAAAAAATTGAACGTTTATTGATTTGTGGAGGGTTTAAAGTGTTTAAAATGTTCCTTTATCTATGCTCAACCAATTGCAAGGAAGAATCATTAATACATATCATTTCTTGTAGTTTATACAACCTGTTCCATCAGGAGTTTCATAATCATTGCCAAAGACATTTAAATGTGATCTACGACCAACTGCAACTTGTGTAATGTAAGGCATGAGATTATTGGGAATTCCCTAAATAAACATATTATCCAATCATCACATTGACAAATATCATTCTCAGGACATTTCCTTAAGTTTTTCTTGCGTGACTTGACGTTATTTATTAATCGTAAGTTAAAGCTTGAAGAACAAAAACAATAACAATAACCATGACCAGCCGACAATTTAAAGAAGTATAATATAAAACAAATTCCGAAGAGGCAAGACATCTTGAGATTGCAAAATATGAATCAAAACAAGACGAGAAGTAAACTGTAAATTTTCGACTTTATTTCAAAGTCATCCTCAGACATCATTCTGTCTGAGGATGACATCATTCTGTCTGAGGATGACTTTGAAATAAAGTCGAAAATTTACAGTTTACTTCTCGTCTTGTTTTGATTCATATTTTGCAATCTCAAGATGTCTTGCCTCTTCGGAATTTGTATTGTATTATACAAACAAGAACTTCATGTAAAACATTTTGGAAATTAATAGACGACGAAAAATAAAAATGCAACAACAGTTAATATCCGACGTCATAATATGTTTAAACATTGAAGTTCGTAAACTGTCAGGTGCACACGTGGTTAAGCAAGGTCGAGATGTGTAGAGTTCACGTTTTCTCCATAGAAAGCTGACAATCAAAACATTAAACATGATTTGAATCAATTATTTGATGGAAATGTGAAGAGCATTTCTGAAGCTGTTTCTTCTAATAATGTACTTTGCCAAAGACATTCTCTAAGCTATGTCTTTTAATATAAGTCCTGTGCAACATACACTGACGATGGGAGGATTAAACTCCGAGATTAACATTGCTCATCCCTAGATAACCATTAATCTCACCTGAGGATCCTCTCCGATGCGACCAGAACGGTGGGCACCAATCGGGTTAAAATAACGTAAAGATATAACATTCCAAGTCTGGAAAGAAAGAAAAAATTTCTTTAAGATTAGCTTTCATCACACAAATCTCAAACATTCATTACTTTGTCTGATATAACAAGATCACGAAGTATTTCTTCAATAAAATACTTTGTTTTTCCATAAGGATTAGTACAACCACCAGAGGGATGATTCTCGTTCAGAGGTAGATAACGTGGATTACCATAAACTGTAGCGGATGATGAAAACACAATATTCTTCACTTTGTATTTCTTCATACTCTAGAAAGAGGCATTAAATAAATATTACATTTAGCCCTCACAACTCCCTAACATTCCTTCCTGAATTTTACACATTCATCCTTCACAACTCCTCAACATCCTTTCCTGATATTCACATTTACCCTTCACAATTCCTTAAAGTTTAAATCCACAATGCACATTTCAAGATTCCTTCATATTTGCTTTTTATCCTCTCTTTCTCCCCATAATCCCCTACTATCCTTATGTACAGTTTTCATCTGAATGGACAAATGTTCTCTAGAACTAACCTCCAGTAAATATATAGTTCCTTGAATATTGTTCTTGTAGTACTTCAATGGAATGGATACAGATTCACCAACAGCCTTGAGACCAGCAAAATGCATGACAGCACAGAATTTATGCTAAAAAAGTCACATTTATTACATGAATAGGAATTCATGATGAGAGTGACACAAATTAATTAATAAATTTTCTTAATTCTTTACCTTTTCAAACACAGCATCTAGGCCGGTGCGATCCAAAAGGTCAACCTTATAAAATGTGACATCCTTTCCCGTTAAACTTTGAATCCTTTTCACACTCTCTGCTTGTCAATATAAAAAAGTATTCAAGACTATCATCTAAAAAAGCAACCTTAAATATTTCCAACCCAAAAAGATACTGCACATTTTGGTCTTGTTTTTTTTGGGGAAAAGGATATTTATATAAGAATGCTTGAATTCCATAAAAACCCTCAACTGTGAAGCATGTCTACCACATTGGGTGATAACATTATCAATTCTTACCTTCAGTAGAATTACAAAAATTGTCAATAATAACAGCTTCATAGCCAGCATTTAGAACCTCGACAACTGTATGACTACCAATGTAACCTGCACCACCAGTCACCAGAATTAGATTTGATGATGCCATTACACTATTTCAAGCTAGAATATAAAAGTTCTTTGTTTAGAGATTTTAAATCCTTTATTGTTGACCAATCATAAATCTAGTTCATACTTATGTCATTTTAAACCAACTGTCTTTGTGTATGAGTTTATGGCAAAAGTATAGACAGTATTGAATATGTTAATAAATAATAAACTTGCTACAATGATGCTATTCACATGTCATTCACATTAAAGAGGGATAACTACATCACAGACAGCTGACTGTCTAACATTATCTTTGCTACTGGTTACTCTTCAACCTTGCAAAATATAATACTATCAAACCATAGGTCTGTCTCAACCAATGGGTTTCAACCCATCTTAAACATCAATAAATTTGACAATCCAAGTACTTTGTACTTTAATATCACTCACGTTACGCAGAAAACATCGTACAGGAAAAATGTCCTTGGTGCAGACCCTCCCATTTCAAGTATTTCCTGTACAATCTAGAGACACTTCAAAAATTTATTTTGCTACAGCAACACCAACTGCACACTTATAATGACCTAATTTACCATTTTCCTCTAAAATATACTGAATAAAACATTCGTTTACTGGTTTTAAGTAAAAGCTTTTATTCACATACCAAATTCTTACGTTAAACCAACTAGTAATCTTCTGGTCCAGTCACGACAGATAAAATTCAACAAGGTTGTTCCATCATTTCTTGTGCTAAATATTCAAACAAATATTTATTGTAAATATTCAACAAAAACGACACAAAACCACATTTCTAGGAAGAAATTTCAACATTAATGATGTCTGAAAGCCTCAGAACACATATTTGACAAGCCCTATATGTAATAAATAAATATCTTCCTAAGACAATTCAGACATCAAGTTCAGCTATGAAGTAATTAAAAAACAAACTATATGATATTTCATGTAAAAGAAAAACTTCTCAAAGAAATACTCACTTTTTGATTAACTTAAAGTAATAATTCATCGAATTCAAAATGAACAAATTTCTGTCGACGTGGCTGAGGTTGCATGTGAAAAATATACCGGAAGTAAATAATATGAGATCAGAGACCGTAGAAATATTTATTTATCAAAACTCTTTTTTTACTAAAGAAAACATATAATTTCTGTCTAATTTCACTAGCAAAAAAGAAGAGCTTAAAAACTCCAGCAAACTAAGCAACAAGCAAACAACTTAAGCATCTTTTTTCGCGTAAGGAGTTGACCCTCCAATATTATTTAGTGATAATATTGTGGAGCAGGGGGAGATATTCAATATGAAACATGTCCATATCAGAGCAAAGTTCAGCCCCAAGATGGTTAATTGTCCCGGTATTTCATATCTAAAAATATTAAATCAGGGGGAGAGAACAATCGATGTTATCTCAAAACACTGTGCACTCCACATTATGCATAAATTATGTTAATGTTCTTCTTCAAAGTATAAATCATTTTTCTCGCTTGAGTTGAAGTAAGAAACTAAGAATAACATTTAACCATTTAAAGAACATTGTATGCATAGAAATGGCCGTAAATGTTCACCTTACATCTTGTACGTCTGATAATCTAAGTCGGCATGACATGCTGGGATGGGTCAATTCTCAACTTCAAGTTAACTATACGAAGATCGAGCAACTCTGTTCTGGTATGTAAAAGTTCTTTCTTCGTTCACAAAAACTGTACAAATACAATTTTGAATTTGAATATTTTATCGATATGTGTCTTTTCTTCTCATACGAAGGGGCTGCTTATTGTCAGTTTATGGACATGCTATTTGCTAGTAAGTATAAGCTTTTTTAAAAACAGCAGGTCCATAATACATTTAAAAAACGTGACAATTTTTATTATACATGACTCTTAGAAATGCGAAATAATTTGTGTACGCTTGTTGATTGATGGATGTATTGAAATTTGGAAACGCATGGAGAATTGCCTCTTTTGTTGTTTAATATAACTGTAATATTGTGTCAATTTATGATGGTATTGTGTTATCTAATCCTTAGATTGTATGCCATTGAAAAGAGTCAAATTTAACACCAACCTTGAACATGAGTACATCCAAAACTGGAAATTGCTTCAAACAGCATTCAAAAAGGCTTCAGTTGATAAGGTTTCTTTAATTTTTTGTTAAATATTTCATTCGTTTTGGGAAGTTAAGATAATTTCCTTTATTTTAGGTGATTCCAATTGATAAACTTGTCAAAGGCAAATTTCAAGACAATTTTGAATTCGCCCAGTGGTTCAAGAAGTTCTTTGATGCCAACTATGATTTGGGCATTGAGTATGATCCTGTGGCAGCCAGAGGTGGGGTTGTTGTCAATGGAGCAGGAAAAGGAAGCAATGTTGCCAGTCGTAAACAAGGTATGTCGACTTGAATCATTGTGGGAATTAGTTGAGAACAAACGATGGGCAATTTTATCAAGAAAAATGTATATCCACAGTTACAATCAAATTAAAATTAGTTTTTAGAAGAAGCTATTTTGAGTCGAATTGAAAGTAATACTTGATTGAAGCCAAATATGATGCAACAATACAGTATGAAAACTAGTTGAGAAAAAACGATGTGCAATTTTTTTTGACCAAAGTTTTTCTTTAGAGGCATAATCAAATTTGGCTTCTTTTTCTCACGTTATCAAAATTCCCTTTGGTTTATTTTTCAAATTTGGCTTATTTTAGTTTTTTTGTCGTCCTTTAAGAATCAAAATCAAAATGTTTTCTGATTTTACTGAAAATACTCAAAATAGCCATGATGCCACAAACAGTATGTAACGGTTTACAAAACAACGCAAATGCAAAAATTGACATTAATAATGTATTACATCCCTATTGTCATAAGCATATAAGCACCATGTATGTAGACTGTTGACAGACTGCCCAGTCTCAAAGTGACAATGTATTATTTCTTTTAGGAGGTGGTGGTATTAGCACTCGTAAACCAGGTAGCTGATAATTGTTTTAATTATGAAATATTGCTCAACAAACTTCTTCATTCTTCATATGTTATGCTGTCTATATTTGTTGGTTTATAGCTGGTGTTTCATCACGGACTTCAACCACTACTGTCACTAAGACAACATCAGCAAAGGCCACAAATGCAGCCAATACACAAGAGATCAAAGACTTAACTTCTCAGGTAACATTTCCTATTCTGAAAGAATTGTAACACAAACTACTGAGCAGTTTTCTCTACTTTATCATTAGGTGGCAGAGTTGACGTTGACTCTTGAAGGTCTCGAGAAGGAACGTGATTTCTACTTTGGTAAATTACGTGACATTGAAGTTATTTGTCAAGAATCTGGAGGTGAAGAAGATCCAACAATGAAACGAATGTTGGAAATACTTTATGCAACAGAGGTGAATTTGATTGATGGTTAGAGATCATAGGCTTGTTCACTATCAACACTGTGGGGGGCAGGCATAAAAATTATTTAACTGAAACCTCAAATTGTCAAACTTTTTGCTCAAATTTTTCAACCCTATAACCATATTTGCATCAAAGTGTGTAATCATTGGCATTTTTTATGTAAAATTACTTGCTTTCCCCAATTTCTGTAAAAATGATGTGTATTTATTGCCTAGCCCCCTTCAATTGTTTATAGTTGTGTGGCAAAGAATAAATATGATTTTCTAAATAGGATGGTTTTGTACCACCTGAAGCTGTAGAAGATGAAAATGTTGAGCAAGAGGAATATTGAATGAAGTCAACCATATTCTTCATGTAAAATATGAAAACGTGGAACAATTATTGTTGTCAAGAAAATACTTTTCAATGGCACATAAATACAAACTGTTAATGTTAATTTACTATAAGTCTTTGCATAAAAAGTATGAAAATAAGAAGAAATAGAAAGGTTTTTGTTATGGAATATAGTATGTATTAATTTAGAGAAATTAATGTCATGATCTTTTAACTTTTTATGTCTTTATTTAGTGTCAAAAATCTTGGTTTATTCAAATATAGTTCGATAGCTTTCTTAAGCATATAGGGTTGTTGTGAGTCACAAAGGATTAACTGCTGTGACTTATACATATTGATAAAATAAAGTTTAAAACCTCTCTCAAACTTATTATTTTTTGAATATGACAAAAAATGCTTGATGACATCAAAAGCTCGTAGAGGAACATCTATTTAAATCTTGTGAAATGAATTTTTTAGAACAATTATACAATGAGAACAAGCCAGCAAGGGTCACTTGTGTTCCCTTAGGAAGTTATATACTTTATACACATGCACTCAGACCACTGAGTGACTGATTTGTAGATACAGTTTCCTATGTGGTCACGTGATATTTTAATATAATTCTGCGACGCACACGAGACCAGCCCAGTCTATACCCCAATTAAGTTACATTGCACGCGAGCACGTACCAGGAAGAACTAACTAGTAAAAGAAATTGAAAAGTCTTTAAAAGTTTTCTTAAAATGATTGTAATAGGAAAGATCATGAAAGATTTAAAACATCTTAACCCGTTACTTCATGAATTTCCAACTCGGCGTTTTTATAGCGGCGAAACTCCACGGGTTTTGATCACAGGTGACGTGGCTTTTAAATTCATTACATAACACCTGAATTGGAATGTTTACAATTAAAGAAATATTTTTTTAAAATGTTACTCGCAATTTTCGTTATAAAACAAACATAAAGTTTTACTATGACGGTCATGTAACGGTTTCTGTGTTTAGGTGGTCTTGGTCAGTTGGGTCGTGGTTTAGCACAGTTGATGAGGTGATAAAAATAAATTGATCTCAGCATGATGAATACCTGCACGATTGAAGGATTGTAAATTTCCCTCATTTTGTGTGAAAAAATATCGCACATACATACATTTTAATAATCTCTACTTCTAGAGAAAAATATGGCAAGAACAATGTTGTACTGTCGGACGTTGTCAAACCGCCAAGCGAAGAACGAGATAAAGGCCAGTAACTATAAACTTTTTCAAAGATGTTCTAACTACCAAGCAATAAGAAAATTTGACTCTGAAGATGACTACCGCTAAGGTTGTCGAAACGTCAGTCAACAACAACAAAAACAGTCCTTCTCAGGACTTTATTAACCTAGACGATCATCATTTACAAACATGTAACGATACTCCCGGGTTCAAACCATTTACTCCATTTACTTTAAGCAATAAGAAAATGTTAATTCGTTTTTTAAAACATCATACCTATTCTTTCTTCCTTCAGGTCCTTTCATTTATGCAGATATCATGGACTTTAAAAACCTTCAGTCAGTTATTGTCAACAATGACATCACCTGGGTAGTTCATTTCAGTGCCTTACTCAGCGCCATTGGTGAATTGAATGTTGAAAAAGCTTTGAAGATAAATGTGATTGGTTTTCATAACATTATCGAAATATGCCGTCAATATGGGTTGCGACTGTTTTGTCCTAGCACAATTGGAGCATTTGGTGTTGATACTCCAAAGATGAAGACACCTGACATTACATTACAAAACCAAATACCATTTATGGTGTTTCTAAAGTCCATATGGAATTATTAGGAGAGGTGAGGTTTTTATGGAGGATTTTTTTAGGGGGTGTTTTCGAGGGGGAGGGCAAATGTATCAGAAAGGAGGTTTTAGGAAGAGGGAGAGGGGGTAAATACTGAAAGGGGGTTTATTATTTGAGAGGGAAGTTTTTGAAGAGGCAAGGAATTAGTTGAAATTTAAACTTAACTAATTGGTTCGTTACAATGATTACAAAATAAACCCTTGCATGTCAATCTTATCGTATTCATACAAAGTTGTTAAACCATAAATTTTTCATCAGTATTACAACTACAAGTATGGCTTGGACTTCAGATCTGCACGCTACCCTGGAGTGATTTCAGCTGATTCAGCTCCTGGTGGGGGAACAACTGGTGAGTAAATGTCTTTTATTTTGCTATGAATTCCTTCATAAACACCATATCCATTTTAATGTTATTTCGTTTTTACAGACTATGCTGTGCACATTTATCATGAGGCATTAAAAAAAGGCAGATACACAATTTACCTGAAGCCAAACACATGTCTGCCAATGATTTATATTGATGATTGTTTGCGTGGTACTATGGAACTCATGGAAGCCCCTGAAGAAATACTGAGTCGCCGTGTTTACAATATGCAAGGAATGAGTTTTACACCAGAGTTGCTTGTAAATAACATAAAAAAAGTGTTTCCTGAATTTCAAGTTGACTATGAAGTTGATCCAATGAGGCAAGCTATTGGTTAGTATTGAAATGCATCTTATGTTTACATTACATCTCTTGTCATATGACTTGTTAATGGATTATAAAATGGTGCTCATGTCATTGACAAATATATAGTACACTTTCATGCCCTGACCTTAAATATTTTTTTTGTTTGTTGTAGCTGACAGTTGGCCTGATGTCTTGGATGATACTAATGCAAGACGAGACTGGGGATGGAGACCATATTATGATCTCAATACCATGACTAAAACTATGCTTGATAAATTGACTTTAAATTATGATTTCGCAGGAACTGTGGAATTCACAAAAATGTCAGTATTTCATTCTTAAGTAATTTTTTCCTCTGTTGCAGTTTTGGTTTATGATTTTATTTTATTCTGAGTATTGTGCATTGTAAATGTACAAATTATGTCACTTATTTTGCTTTAGTTGAAAACTATATTTTTCTGCTTTATCATTTTATTAAAATTACTTGTAAAAGATATCTTTAATTCCTTAACTAAAAAAAACTTAGCAATACCAGCACAACCAACTCTTTGAAGTTTCATACCATGTTTGATAAGAATGTATTTTTTATAGACTATATATAATACTCGGTGACACCAAAAGAACAATTATTGGGGAGGGGGGAGGTGCAAATATTCATTTATGCAGGCAATACCATATTAAGTTCTTTAGTAATCTATTGTTTTCAGCCAATTATAGGATGCATTTATCAAATTTTGCCCCAAATTATCACGTTATCAACACTATTAACAATAATTACAACACTGAAAAAACATTTACTCATTGGTATATGTAAATAATGTTTGAAAGTTTGCTAGTAAGATTTTCCTTTATGCACAGTGAAATACTTTTTTTCACTCTTGTTTTGAAAAGTTTAAAACATTTTTTATAACATGAACATTCATACCTCAAAAAATGGAGTCTTTCATTTCTTATGTCAGTGATTTTCATGAAGACATCATGCTCAGGATAGCACATCATCCATCTCCTAAATTGGTTATGCAGTTTATATAGTTCTGTTATTTATAAACTGTTCTTACTAAATTTTCAGTAAAGATCATCTTTTATTGATCCAGTGTTACTACAGAAAGAAACCTAAACTAAACTAACTTTATTTATACTAGATATCTCTATCAGTTCTAAACTGTTCTTTCAAAAGATACAGTAAAGATCATCTCTTATTGATCCAGTGTTACTACAGAAGAAAACCTAAACTAAACTAACTTTATTTATACTAGATATCTCTATCAGTTCTAAACTGTTCTTTCAAAAGATACAGTAAAGATCATCTCTTATTGATCCACTGTTACTACAGAAGAAACCTAAACTAAACTAACTTTATTTATACTAGATATCTCTATCAGTTCTAAACTGTTCTTTCAAAAGATACAGTAAAGATCATCTCTTATTGATCCAGTGTTACTACAGAAAGAAACCCAAACTAAACTAACTTTATTTAAACTAGATATCTCTATCAGTTCTAAACTGTTCTTCCTAAAGATTCAGTAAAAATCATCTCTCCAGTTTAGCAGCAAAGCTCACCTGGTTAAGTTTCTTAAACTCAACAACTTGTCCAAGTATATACTCCAATATATGTTTGGCATCTCTGACATCTGCAGGCAACTTGTTCGTTACACATAATATTTCACCACATTCACGAACATAATATTCAATATCATCATCACTGCCTAAACAATGCAAACATTTTTCAACATTATGAAAGGTCATACATCGTCGTCATGACGAAATAAACTAATCATTTCGACATGTCTGAAAACAAAGGTCAAATATCCCCAGCAATAAATTGCAACCACACAATAAATTACTGTTTAACGTATTTTTAAACTCGTATGTTAGTAATAGTATATATAAAAGTTCCAACGAAACTGTATTCACATCTCCACAAAAATGTCGTTTGTGTGAGTAATGTCGAAGGAAACTTCACACTACACATACGTCACAATCTTGACATAATCTGGGGTGAATAAATTATTCTTATAAACGGTTAGATTTGGTCATTTATGCAGGTAGCGTGTTGGACACCTAAGTAAAAGAGATTATTGACGTGTTGTATATTTCTTTTCATTCGTACATTTGTTGGTGATTTGAGCAATTCTGACTTTTTCTGATGAAAAATGATCATCTAAATCAAAAAGTTCCATTGGTGGACCAGACAATTCGCGAAAAGTCGGCGGGAATACCTGAAATCATGAAATAAAAAAATTTTAAAATACATGCTTCTCTTCTGGACCCACAATTTGAGTTTAGGTCAGTTAGATGTGGGGTGAGATTATGTGACAACATACCGCTGGTTGTAAAGGAGGTAACGGCGTCTCAAACTGCGGAGGAATCAACTGTAGAGCCTCGTGTTTCACGTGCATTTCATCATAACTCCTATAAGAAATCACAGATAGTCATGAATAAAATTCAGGGATTGTCTTGAAGGTACAACAACATGTTTACCTAAGAACTTCTGGTACGATTGCTGTATCCAGTTTGAATAAATCTTTGTCGAACATCTTAGAAAAATCATTAGGGATCTGAAAAAGCAAAACTAGAACATAGAATAAAAGTTTAACATACATTTCTTTATGGTTGATGACAGTATAACATACATTTCTTTATGGTTGATGACAGTATAACATAAACTTCTCTATGGTTGATGACAGTATAACATACACTTCTCTATGGCTGATGACAGTATAACATACACTTTTCTATGGTTGATGACAGTATAACATAAACTTCTCTATGGTTGATGACAGTATAACATACACTTCTCTATGGTTGATGACAGTATAACATACACTTCTCTATGGTTGATGACAGTATAACATACACTTCTCTATGGTTGATGACAGTATAACATATACTTCTCTATGGTTGATGACAGTATAACATAAACTTCTCTATGGTTGATGACAGTATAACATACACTTCTCTATGGTTGATGACAGTATAACATACACTTTTCTATGGTTGATGACAGTATAACATACACTTCTCTATGGTTGATGACAGTATAACATACACTTTTCTATGGTTGATGACAGTATAACATACACTTCTCTATGGTTGATGACAGTATAACATACACTTCTCTATGGTTGATGACAGTATAACATACACTTTTCTATGGTTGATGACAGTATAACATACACTTTTCTATGGTTGATGACAGTATAACATAAACTTCTCTATGGTTGATGACAGTATAACATACACTTTCTATGGTTGATGACAGTATAACATACACTTTTCTATGGTTGATGACAGTATAACATACACTTTTCTATGGTTGATGACAGTATAACATACACTTTTCTATGGTTGATGACAGTATAACATAAACTTCTCTATGGTTGATGACAGTATAACATACACTTTTCTATGGTTGATGACAGTATAACATACTTCTCTATGGTTGATGACAGTATAACATACACTTTCTATGGTTGATGACAGTATAACATACACTTTTCTATGGTTGATGACAGTATAACATACACTTTTCTATGGTTGATGACAGTATAACATACACTTTCTATGGTTGATGACAGTATAACATACACTTCTCTATGGTTGATGACAGTATAACATACACTTTTCTATGGTTGATGACAGTATAACATAAACTTCTCTATGGTTGATGACAGTATAACATACACTTCTCTATGGTTGATGACAGTATAACATACACTTTTCTATGGTTGATGACAGTATAACATAAACTTCTCTATGGTTGATGACAGTATAACATATACTTCTCTATGGTTGATGACAGTATAACATAAACTTCTCTATGGTTGATGACAGTATAACATACACTTCTCTATGGTTGATGACAGTATAACATACACTTTTCTATGGTTGATGACAGTATAACATAAACTTCTCTATGGTTGATGACAGTATAACATACACTTCTCTATGGTTGATGACAGTATAACATACACTTCTCTATGGTTGATGACAGTGTAACATACACTTCTCTATGGTTGATGACAGTATAACATACACTTGTCTATGGTTGATGACAGTATAACTTACACTTCTCTATGGTTGATGACAGTATAACATACACTTCTCTATGGTTGATGACAGTATAACATACACTTCTCTATGGTTGATGACAGTATAACATACACTTGTCTATGGTTGATGACAGTATAACATAAATTTCTCTATGGTTGATGACAGTATAACATAAACTTCTCTATGGTTGATGACAGTGTAACATACACTTCTCTATGGTTGATGACAGTATAACATACACTTCTCTATGGTTGATGACAGTATAACATACACTTCTCTATGGTTGATGACAGTGTAACATACACTTCTCTATGGTTAATGACAGTATAACATACACTTCTCTATGGTTGATGACAGTATAACATACACTTCTCTATGGTTGATGACAGTGTAACATACACTTCTCTATGGTTGATGACAGTATAACATACACTTCTCTATGGTTGATGACAGTATAACATACACTTCTCTATGGTTGATGACAGTATAACATACACTTCTCTATGGTTGATGACAGTATAACATACACTTCTCTATGGTTGATGACAGTATAACATACACTTCTCTATGGTTGATGACAGCATAACATACACTTCTCTATGGTTGATGACAGTATAACATACACTTCTCTATGGTTGATGACAGTATAACATACACTTCTCTATGGTTGATGACAGTATAACATAAATTCTCTATGGTTGATGACAGTATAACATAAACTTCTCTATGGTTGATGACAGTGTAACATACACTTCTCTATGGTTGATGACAGTATAACATACACTTCTCTATGGTTGATGACAGTATAACATACACTTCTCTATGGTTGATGACAGTGTAACATACACTTCTCTATGGTTGATGACAGTATAACATACACTTCTCTATGGTTGATGACAGTATAACATACACTTCTCTATGGTTGATGACAGTATAACATACACTTCTCTATGGTTGATGACAGTATAACATACACTTCTCTATGGTTGATGACAGTATAACATACACTTCTCTATGGTTGATGACAGTATAACATACACTTCTCTATGGTTGATGACAGTATAACATACACTTCTCTATGGTTGATGACAGTATAACATACACTTCTCTATGGTTGATGACAGTATAACATACACTTCTCTATGGTTGATGACAGTATAACATACACTTCTCTATGGTTGATGACAGTGTAACATACACTTCTCTATGGTTGATGACAGTATAACATACACTTCTCTATGGTTGATGACAGTATAACATACACTTCTCTATGGTTGATGACAGTATAACATACACTTCTCTATGGTTGATGACAGTATAACATACACTTCTCTATGGTTGACGACAGCATAACATACACTTCTCTATGGTTGATGACAGTATAACATACACTTCTCTAAGGTTGACAGTATAACATACACTTCTCTATGGTTGATGACAGTGTAACATACACTTCTCTATGGTTGATGACAATACAACATACACTTCTCTATGGATGATGACAGTACAACATACACTTCTCTATGGTTGATGACAGTATAACATACACTTCTCTATGGTTGATGACAGTATAACATACACTTCTCTATGGATGATGACAGTACAACATACACTTCTCTATGGTTGATGACAGTATAACATACACTTCTCTATGGTTGATGACAGTATAACATACACTTCTTTAAGGTTGATGACAGTATAACATACACTTCTCTATGGTTGATGACAGTATAACATACACTTCTCTATGGTTGATGACAGTATAACATACACTTCTCTATGGTTGATGACAGTGTAACATACACTTCTCTATGGTTGATGACAGTATAACATACACTTCTCTATGGTTGATGACAGTATAACATACACTTCTCTATGGTTGATGACAGTATAACATACACTTCTCTATGGTTGATGACAGTGTAACATACACTTCTCTATGGTTGATGACAGTATAACATACACTTCTCTATGGTTGATGACAGTATAACATACACTTCTTTAAGGTTGATGACAGTATAACATACACTTCTCTATGGTTGATGACAGTATAAAAAACACTACACTATACTGTGGTTGTGTAAAGAAATTTCTTGAGAGTAAAAGTTTTCTTTTCAATAATTTACCTCCTCTCCTTCTTGCAGACAAACTTTAGGACTCTCAGCTAATTTTGATGTGTCAGGAATAAAATGATAGTCGGAGATCTAAATACAGTTAACCATAAACTACAATAGAAAGCAGTCATATAATGAAACTCAAATGTTTGAATCATTTCTCAGTTTGTAGCTCGTGGTTTTTTATCAACATTTTCTTTTATAAAATGTGTATAGATCGTAGCAGTTCTACAAATCGTAGCAGTTCCACAAGATCTACAAATTGTTTATATATTGTAGCAAAAAACCTCTGGATCTTCAGCATCAATGATGTTAAGACGAACATCCTCAGACGTCAACCATTGAAAAACGACATCCTAAAAAAAGGATCAGAAAGAAAACGTCGCGAGGAATGTTCAGTTGAAATTTTCATTTCCAAATCCAATGTAAAAGTCTCACTTGAACTTTACTATTTTCTTCTTTATCAAAGTATTGATCGTGAAAAATGTGAACTGAACCGATCACTGCAAGTTTTCCACCGGAACGCTACAGAAACAAAATATCGCCGAAATAAAATCTCCCTTAATAAAGACTGTCCTACGTTATGACGTTAATAACAACCATTTCATATAAAATTATTATCCTACGTTATGATGTTAATAACAACCATTTCATATAAAATTATTACCCTACGTTATGACGTTAATAACAACCATTTCATATAAAATTATTACCCTACGTTATGATGTTAATAACAACCATTTGATATAAAATTATTAACCTATGTTATGACGTTAATAACAACCATTTTATATAAAATTATTATCCTACGTTATGACGTCAATAACAACCATTTCATATAAAATTATTACCCTACATTATGACGTTAATAACAACCATTTCATATAAAATTATTATCCTACGTTATGACGTTAATAACAACCATTTTATATAAAATTATTATCGTACGTTATGACGTTAATAACAACCATTTCATATAAAATTATTATCCTACGTTATGACGTCAATAACAACCATTTCATATAAAATTATTATCCTACGTTATGACGTTAATAACAACCATTTTATATAAAATTATTATCCTACGTTATGATGTTAATAACAACCATTTCATATAAAATTATTATCCTACGTTATGACGTCAATAACAACCATTTCATATAAAATTATTATCCTACGTTATGACGTCAATAACAACCATTTTATATAAAATTATTATCCTACGTTATGACTATAATAACAACCATTTTATGTAAAATTATTATCCTACATTATGACGTTAATAACAACCATTTCATATAAAATTATTATCCTACATTATGATGTTAATAACAACCATTTCATATAAAATTATTATCCTACATTATGACGTTAATAACAACCATTTCATATAAAATTATTATCCTACATTATGACGTCAATAACAACCATTTCATATAAAATTATTATCCTACGTTATGATGTTAATAACAACCATTTTATATAAAATTATTATCCCATGTTATGATGTTAATAACAACCATTTCATATAAAATTATTACCCTACGTTATGACGTCAATAACAACCATTTCATATAAAATTATTATCCTACATTATGACGTTAATAACAACCATTTCATATAAAATTATTATCCTACATTATGACGTTAATAACAACCATTTCATATAAAATTATTATCCCATTATGACGTTAATAACAACCATTTCATATAAAATTATTATCCCATGTTATGATGTTAATAACAACCATTTCATATAAAATTATTACCCTACGTTATGACGTTAATAACAACCATTTCATATAAAATTATTATCCTACGTTATGACGTTAATAACAACCATTTCATATAAAATTATTATCCTACGTTATGACGTTAATAACAACCATTTCATATAAAATTATTATCCTACGTTATGACGTTAATAACAACCATTTTATATAAAATTATTATCCTACGTTATGATGTTAATAACAACCATTTCATATAAAATTATTATCCTACGTTATGACGTTAATAACAACCATTTCATATAAAATTATTATCCTACGTTATGACGTTAATAACAACCATTTCATATAAAATTATTATCCTACATTATGACGTTAATAACAACCATTTCATATAAAATTATTATCCTACATTATGACGTCAATAACAACCATTTCATATAAAATTATTATCCTACGTTATGACGTCAATAACAACCATTTCATATAAAATTATTATCCTACGTTATGACGTTAATAACAACCATTTCATATAAAATTATTATCCTACATTATGACGTCAATAACAACCATTTCATATAAAATTATTATCCTACGTTATGACTTTAATAACAACCATTTTATGTAAAATTATTACCCTACATTATGACGTTAATAACAACCATTTCATATAAAATTATTATCCTACATTATGACGTCAATAACAACCATTTCATATAAAATTATTATCCTACGTTATGACGTTAATAACAACCATTTCATATAAAATTATTATCCTACATTATGACGTTAATAACAACCATTTCATATAAAATTATTATCCTACATTATGACGTTAATAACAACCATTTCATATAAAATTATTATCCTACATTATGACGTTAATAACAACCATTTCATATAAAATTATTATCCTACATTATGACGTCAATAACAACCATTTCATATAAAATTATTATCCTACATTATGACGTTAATAACAACCATTTCATATAAAATTATTATCCTACATTATGACGTTAATAACAACCATTTCATATAAAATTATTATCCTACGTTATGACGTTAATAACAACCATTTCATATAAAATTATTATCCTACGTTATGACGTTAATAACAACCATTTCATATAAAATTATTATCCTACGTTATGACGTTAATAACAACCATTTCATATAAAATTATTATCCTACGTTATGACGTTAATAACAACCATTTCATATAAAATTATTATCCTACGTTATGACGTTAATAACAACCATTTCATATAAAATTATTATCCTACGTTATGACGTTAATAACAACCATTTCATATAAAATTATTATCCTACGTTATGACGTTAATAACAACCATTTCATATAAAATTATTATCCTACATTATGACGTTAATAACAACCATTTCATATAAAATTATTATCCTACGTTATGACGTTAATAACAACCATTTCATATAAAATTATTATCCTACATTATGACGTTAATAACAACCATTTCATATAAAATTATTATCCTACATTATGACGTTAATAACAACCATTTCATATAAAATTATTATCCTACGTTATGATGTTAATAACAACCATTTCATATAAAATTATTATCCTACGTTATGACGTTAATAACAACCATTTCATATAAAATTATTATCCTACATTATGACGTTAATAACAACCATTTCATATAAAATTATTATCCTACATTATGACGTTAATAACAACCATTTCATATAAAATTATTATCCTACGTTATGATGTTAATAACAACCATTTCATATAAAATTATTATCCTACATTATGACGTTAATAACAACCATTTCATATAAAATTATTATCCTACATTATGACGTCAATAACAACCATTTCATATAAAATTATTATCCTACGTTATGATGTTAATAACAACCATTTCATATAAAATTATTACCCTACGTTATGATGTTAATAACAACCATTTCATATAAAATTATTACCCTACGTTATGATGTTAATAACAACCATTTCATATAAAATTATTATCCTACGTTATGACGTTAATAACAACCATTTTATGTAAAATTATTATCCTACATTATGACGTTAATAACAACCATTTCATATAAAATTATTATCCTACGTTATGATGTTAATAACAACCATTTTATATAAAATTATTATCCTACGTTATGACGTTAATAACAACCATTTCATATAAAATTATTATCCTACATTATGACGTTAATAACAACCATTTCATATAAAATTATTATCCTACGTTATGATGTTAATAACAACCATTTCATATAAAATTATTATCCTACATTATGACGTTAATAACAACCATTTCATATAAAATTATTATCCTACGTTATGATGTTAATAACAACCATTTCATATAAAATTATTATCCTACATTATGACGTTAATAACAACCATTTCATATAAAATTATTATCCTACGTTATGATGTTAATAACAACCATTTCATATAAAATTATTATCCTACATTATGACGTTAATAACAACCATTTCATATAAAATTATTATCCTACGTTATGACGTTAATAACAACCATTTCATATAAAATTATTATCCTACGTTATGACGTTAATAACAACCATTTCATATAAAATTATTATCCTACGTTATGACGTTAATAACAACCATTTCATATAAAATTATTATCCTACATTATGACGTTAATAACAACCATTTCATATAAAATTATTATCCTACATTATGACGTTAATAACAACCATTTCATATAAAATTATTATCCTACGTTATGACGTTAATAACAACCATTTCATATAAAATTATTATCCTACATTATGACGTTAATAACAACCATTTCATATAAAATTATTATCCTACGTTATGACGTTAATAACAACCATTTTATATAAAATTATTATCCTACATTATGACGTTAATAACAACCATTTCATATAAAATTATTATCCTACATTATGACGTCAATAACAACCATTTCATATAAAATTATTATCCTACGTTATGATGTTAATAACAACCATTTCATATAAAATTATTATCCTACGTTATGACGTTAATAACAACCATTTTATATAAAATTATTATCCTACGTTATGACGTTAATAACAACCATTTCATATAAAATTATTATCCTACATTATGACGTTAATAACAACCATTTCATATAAAATTATTATCCTACGTTATGATGTTAATAACAACCATTTCATATAAAATTATTATCCTACGTTATGACGTTAATAACAACCATTTCATATAAAATTATTATCCTACGTTATGACGTTAATAACAACCATTTCATATAAAATTATTATCCTACGTTATGATGTTAATAACAACCATTTCATATAAAATTATTATCCTACGTTATGATGTTAATAACAACCATTTCATATAAAATTATTATCCTACGTTATGATGTTAATAACAACCATTTCATATAAAATTATTATCCTACGTTATGACGTTAATAACAACCATTTTATGTAAAATTATTATCCTACATTATGACGTTAATAACAACCATTTCATATAAAATTATTATCCTACGTTATGATGTCAATAACAACCATTTTATGTAAAATTATTATCCTACATTATGACGTCAATAACAACCATTTCATATAAAATTATTATCCTACATTATGACGTCAATAACAACCATTTCATATAAAATTATTATCCTACGTTATGATGTTAATAACAACCATTTTATGTAAAATTATTATCCTACATTATGACGTTAATAACAACCATTTCATATAAAATTATTATCCTACGTTATGATGTTAATAACAACCATTTCATATAAAATTATTATCCTACATTATGACGTCAATAACAACCATTTCATATAAAATTATTATCCTACGTTATGATGTTAATAACAACCATTTCATATAAAATTATTATCCTACATTATGACGTTAATAACAACCATTTCATATAAAATTATTATCCTACGTTATGACGTCAATAACAACCATTTCATATAAAATTATTATCCTACATTATGACGTCAATAACAACCATTTCATATAAAATTATTATCCTACGTTATGATGTTAATAACAACCATTTCATATAAAATTATTATCCTACGTTATGACGTTAATAACAACCATTTTATGTAAAATTATTATCCTACATTATGACGTTAATAACAACCATTTCATATAAAATTATTATCCTACGTTATGATGTTAATAACAACCATTTCATATAAAATTATTATCCTACATTATGACGTCAATAACAACCATTTCATATAAAATTATTATCCTACGTTATGATGTTAATAACAACCATTTCATATAAAATTATTATCCTACATTATGACGTTAATAACAACCATTTCATATAAAATTATTATCCTACGTTATGACGTTAATAACAACCATTTCATATAAAATTATTATCCTACATTATGACGTCAATAACAACCATTTTATGTAAAATTATTATCCTATGTTATGACGTCAATAACAACCATTTCATATAAAATTATTATCCTACGTTATGACGTTAATAACAACCATTTCATATAAAATTATTATCCTACGTTATGATGTTAATAACAACCATTTCATATAAAATTATTATCCTACGTTATGATGTTAATAACAACCATTTCATATAAAATTATTATCCTACGTTATGATGTTAATAACAACCATTTTATATAAAATTATTATCCTACGTTATGACGTCAATAACAACCATTTCATATAAAATTATTATCCTACGTTATGACGTCAATAACAACCATTTCATATAAAATTATTATCCTACGTTATGACGTCAATAACAACCATTTCATATACAGGTTTACAGTTTTACATTGTGCCGTCATCATCTATGTTCTCCGATTGACAGGAACTTTTTGTTACTTCAATAAACCTCTGCTGTATTTAATCTATTCAATCATATATATTGAAAAAACCTTATAACAATTTTTGTTTTGCCATTATTTCCGAGACGCGAAGTAAAAATTGGTATTTTATTTTAAACATAAGAATGAAATACAGTATGATACACGTACCTTTGAGGAATGAAATGCACAAACCGGACGATTTACTGGCAATGAAACTGTCCCAGTCGATAACACAGGAATCGCTGGTTTTACAACATGTAGCGTCGCACCAAATGGGTAGACAAAATTTAATGATCTATAAGAAAGCAAACAATTCAAATTTCAAAGTAAAATTTCAGTAAATAAATTGTTACAGCAACTAAATAATAGCTAGCGTCAGAAGGTTCATCCTCAAAAGCTAACTATACTGTAAAATTTCTGCTGCTGACAATGCTGCAAAAATGTATGAAAATAGCCCCCTCCCCCTTCCGTATATATAAAAATAAATACAATCCTTTTTCTATCATGAAGATGAAAGATTTATAGTAACAGTGAAAGAACTTACTGAGTGAATGTGGAGAGGTCACTATCAAGATCACCAGGAATATGTTTACCAGCAGCATTATTTATCTCTCTTAAACATCAAAAAATTCATATTCAAAATATACCTGTCTCAAACATACTCTATGTTGATGAATAAAGCTCATAACAAAATGAATTATATCTGATTCAAGAAAATACTTTAACATGAGAGTATTTGGACATGCAGCAGTGAACAGTGTGTACTCCTAGGAATCCATTATAGACAATACATATTCCCATAAATTCACATCTGTACCTGTTTAAAACTCCATTTGAAATATAAACTTCTTTTGGATGGAAGTATTTATAGTAAGATGTACGTATAACTGAATCTATAAATAACATGTTTTATAAATTGAAATGATGATCACATGAAATGATGATTAAAATCACAGAAACCAATCTTATATCCTCACCACAATTAACCATGATTCCAAAATCTTCAAGTAAAAAGTTGATATTTGTACCAAAGTGTACCTCACCACCCTCTCCCAGTAAAACAAGGATACTTCCACCTTTCTCGAGATATGATTTCATTGCTTCAAACTATAATATATTAATATGTATAATAGAAGATTAAAAAATTAATTTATGTTTGAAGACACAGTGCTTGCTTTGCTTCGAAATGCAATATTGTTAACCTTTTCTTACAAGCATTGAGCTTGCATAAGTTTGCAAGCCTGTTTTCATGGGCATTTAGTCCTTATATAATGAGGGGGCTAAGTATGAAGGAGGGGACAAATACATGTATTTTATTACATTGTAATGATTGTCAAATTATACACTATTATACATACAAGCCTACATGCAAGTGATCTTTTCAGTTGAATTAGTTACAGTGGCTAAATGTGAAAATTGTGGTTGGTTTCTTTATAGAAAAACATATGCATGAAGTACCACAAATTATATTTCAGCTGTCTGGAATATCTAGCATGTTTAGCGGTATTTCTACTGAAGAATAAACGTTTAAGATATGAAATGTTTTCAAGAATGATATGAACACCACACAAAAACTGTCAAGCAAAATGGAAAATGAGATTTGTGATGAGAAAATGTTTAAGTAAAATGCTGATGTGCAGCAAGTGAAAAACCCAATAACACATGCACACATACATATCCTCCAAACTTACTTCACTTGCTGATATTTTTTCTCTTGGTCCGGCAAGAACAAACAGATTGGCATACAACAATCTCTCCAAGGTTATTTCATCCTTATTACTGTAAAAATACATCATTTAATCAGTGTTTTCACATCATATTTGTCTTAAACCTTTCTGAAACAGGTATCACAAACATACATGATAACTTTCCAATAATTTCTCAGTTTCCTCACAAGATTTCTAAAGCCACTGGCTGGAGTAAAGAGCTCTTTCTTTGATGCATTAAAAACGATACTGTTATTTTGACCATAACTGTCCTCCGTTCGCTTCCATAATCAAATATTAAAGTCAAAAAACAAAACTACATTAATCAAGGAACTTGGTATGTGTTATCTACATCGATCTTTACGCATTTTTTGTTTAGGAACAAAGAGATTACTAAGATACACACTACTATACGCTGTGGCACAATGAAACGAAATTCCGTTAAATTGCTTTGTTTATCTACCATTGGCAACAAGCAACAGCACCACAAACTTTTAATTAAAAAACTACTCAATTTCCACAATTCCTCGCACAATGTATAGAAGTGATCGATTCAACTTTCCCTCTTCCTGTTCTAACTAAATTCTATTGAAATATAAACAAAAAAAGTGAATAAACTGATATGTTTACCTGCTCTGAATTTGTAGCGATAGGAGCCATACTTTATTTAAAATAAATATGTCCCCTCCGGTAATAATTTTATACGTTAAGGTATCAGGAGGGAGATTGCTCGTGATAAGTTGATGGTGTTACTTTGTATCCATGTAAATTTCGTATTCACTTCTTAC